ACTGTTATGCCGTGATGTTCCACCACACGACATGATGTTATTCATTTATGAAACGTAACACAACACAATATTTATTTACAAACTGTACAACTGTACAACATAAACGTGCAGTACTATGAAACGTAACACAACACAATATTTATTTACAAACTGTACAACTGTACAACATAAACGTGCAGCCAGACAACAATACTATCGTTCGAGTACCTGAATTGCATAAATCAACAAATCAGTATAATCTTCACAATTAATTCGTTTTGCCGATTAAATAGGTTCCCTGTATAATTTCCCCCGATTAATAGGTTTCCCGTCGAAGATTTTTTAAATAGCGAACAATCATATCTTAGGCATTGACGTCGTCTTGTCAGTAGTCAAGCTTGATTTTTACGGTGCGGATGATGTAGGTCAGGCAGAAATATGACCATCGATCGTGCAACGGTTCAAGAAAAGGCGCTATTAATTCGCGCTGGGCGTCAGGGCAACATGGATATCGAAACATTGAATATTACGTGAACCGAAAGATTCGTTTCACTTTTCAAACGAACGACTAGTTACGGAATGTTCAGGTTCATGGAACCTGTTTGGCTGGTTTTCACAGAAAACAACGCATCGCTCTTCGTAGCGATCTAATGACGCTAGATTTTCTACTGTATCTGGTCTTCTGTTTCTTCGATAATTTTGGATATTATTTCTTTATCAGACACGCCATTTTTTCGTTTCTATTATTTCATTAACATACATTCAATATTCAATGACGTTTGTTCTCTGTTTAGCGTTGAATAGATTGAACCATAATACAGTAGATCGACAAAAGATAGGAACATACGTAATTGCCAAGGTAACTTGCATCTTGATCATCGATTGTATGTACGAAAGCACGTGGAATAGTTAGAAAATTATATCTTGTTAGCAATGTTTTTATCCGTAGTAACAGAATCGTGAAAGGTCGACAGAAATCAATAAGAACATAAATCAACCTGAGAGGATTAGTATACGTATACCGCTTACGAAAGTCGTTACAGACCGTGTTCATTATACCTGTAATAGCGCAATCGTTGTTACTGCAGAAAAGTCAACTGGTGAATTCTATGTGCATTCATCCTTTTTGCCCCGTCAGTGTTATGGTGTCACTGCACCCTGAGCGTAAATCATAAGTAATCAAGCACGAAAATAACAACCTCTTCAAGGCCGATTCCATCGTGTGAGAACATCACCAAGAAGTCGCGGGGTTTAGTCTGCGGTGATGTGTATTCTTGATCGGGCTGCCATTTCGACTTTCGAAACAGATCGATTAAAAAAAAAATTTTCATTTTGAAGTTTGATTTAATTGTAAGTGTTCCAAGTGTACCGTAATTCTCCAATAAATTTCTTAAGTTACTAAACTACGAACAACAATTTCGAAGTAAACAGGATTCCTTACTGGTTCTACAGAGCATCTACAAACTGCTAATTTACAATTGACACATTTTTAACTAAACGAAACATTTGAATTCTCTATAATGCTCTCAAGAAACACTTCTACCCTAAAAAGTGCTAATCTCTAATAGGAAGTCCCAGAATAGACAATACCCGATTACTCAATTTATGAATTCTAATGTTCTCAATAATGCGAAAATAATTAAAATTTCTAAAAATTAGCAAATTATAAGACGAAACGCATCGTGTACCGAAGCACAACGACCGGTTTAAATTCATCGAAAATGGCCAACGTTCAGTAACATTAATCAGTCGACGACCTACCGCAACTCTAGAAAGTTGCGACGAGGTCTGGTGCCGATTCGCCTGCCAGAAATAATTAACGTTGAACTCAATGAATCGATTAAATAGACAAGACCATACGTTATACGCATGTAAAAAAATGTAATTCACACGATTGCCTATTTATGATCTCCGTTCGCGAACGCGCGTCGTAAATTTTAGTGTTCCCATTGTATCGTTTCGAACTCGTCTGGAATCCGTATTTTCATTGAGTTTTAAATGAAAGAAGAACAGCAAATACGCATTAAGTTCACACACGCGACAAGTGATTTGACCAAATGGAAACTTTTCATTGGACAAAAGGATGTCACTACCATGAACCGATATCGTGGAACGATGACACAGATCCTGAGAACACGTGCACCGTACCAAACAAATTTATTAAGCCATCTGAAATGGATGACGCCGCGTCGATGCGAATGGTATCTAACAATTCGCAATTTTGCAATTCATTGATCGATAGAGAGGACCCAGAATCACATTAGTGTCGATGTCTAATTGGATTCTCAGTTATACAACATTTTGTTACGTGTGAAATGATTTTCGAAGATTAATTTAAATTGAACCGCCACTGAAGTGTTCGAGAAAGAAATTGAAACAGAATTTTAGCGACAGAGAAGGTATTGTTTTTATGACAAACTTTTATTTTATAAATGTTTTTATAGGAAGTTTCGTTAAATGTTTTCTTAGTAATTAAAATACTAATTTAAATATAATAATATTTAGGTTTTATATTATGCATAAATTTTAAGAGTAATAAATATGAAGTATAGAATATTACTTAAAAATTACAGTAATTCACATGTATTCTTGTATATTTCTTTTTCAGAAAGACACACACAGAAAACTGGTTTCAGCTCCCATTTACTTTTTATGTCACTCTTATTACATGTGTGTATACATTTAATTTTCATAATTAATTGAGGGGGTACATTTTCTTTAGAATCTGAGTGTTAGAAAATAGTATTAGAAAGTGAAAATTTGCATAAACAACCACAATCTATATTATTCCTAAAAAGAATACATTTATTGTTAGTTCTCTTACCGCGTCGTGGTCATGTAAACTTTCTTATTGGTCAAGGAATATTCTTCAAAAAATGATGAAGACTGTAATCAAATTGAAGCGCGTATAAGGTTATGGGAGGCGTGGTCATTCTAGAGCAGCTCTAATTTTTCTTACTACGTCAATCAGCTTCGTACATCGCAACAGAGGAATCAAGCCTGGCTACAGCGCAAACTCTACTTTTGTTTACACTGCCACAGGTCGATGAGTACACCTTTTTTAAAAATGCATATTCGCGTATGTATAACAGTAAATTACATCACTGATATAGTTATTATGTATTTTGTCAACCGGAACATTAGCAGCGATAGATATTCGGTGTAAACGCGTGGGCGTTCCAACGTTTCGAATCAGCTGTTCGTAAAGTGTCACGCAGGTGCTATGTGTTGCAACGCTGTTGACAGTATCGGTTACACAATATTATCTTCAGGCATCAATAACAACCATTTTAAAGTTTTTTTCTTCGATTCTAGTATCCATTGGTACAAACGAGTTTGACAAATCATAACAAACGTCTTACTGTCATTGCTGATAAGGCAACTAATTGCCACCGATTAAATTCTGAATTTTCATAGATATAAACACGTGAAGTTGAATTAGAAGTTCTTTTTAAATTGATTATTTCATTAAACTGCAATGTCTGCAAATCATTAGCAGAAAATGGAATGAGGTTATCATTGAGCATATGTCGAGCTCGTAAAAACTGTTGAAACCTTTGTCCATAAGATGACTCCAAATGAATGTTTTTCGATTAGTTTCTTTTACAGAATCGCAATGCGTTTCATCTCAATGTCACAATAATGATACAAAAATTCTTTCTGTCTGTATGCTATCATCCTACATGAATTATGCATACTTAAATATATACACTTGATCGACAGAGAACCAAAGCACTGTATACAATTCTATTGTCTTGCATGGCGCAACGCCTACGTCGATCGTTCTTTGCTAAGAGATATCAGTCTTTTTCAGACATAAATGTAGAATTAAAAGTAAGTGCTACCAAGGACAAATCAATGTTGACTTCTCACCTTACGTGTTAACCCTTTTTGACAGCGTAGTTGACGATGTCCGGCCACGAAACGATGACAACAGCGACGTTCACACTGTACAATGGCGATTGATTGAAATTCTCACAATATTTCGAGCACGTAACACGTATGATCGCACGGTGAGCCTTCCTTGTATTCTAATGGATTTATCGTGGAGGGCAGATTCGTATCCAGCGAGGGCGCTTCAAGGGGAATCAGCATCGCGCCGACGCCGAAAAGTCTGCAAATTCAGCGTCCAACTACGATTCGTGGAAGGGATGTCATCGATCGAACGCCAAACACAAGGTCCATATCCTGTAAGTAACAACCCCTCTGCTGTGCTTCATTCTATTCCCTTTCACGGAAGGACAGCTGTTGCTGTCATTGTTGAAGAATGAAAGTATTTTATAACTCTGAAATGAGATGTGCTACTTGCATTGTTTTCGTTGTGACAGATTGAATACCTCCATAGGCTGTTTTTAACTTTGAATTCAAACACAGTGTTTCACTTCAGTTTGAAGTAATTAAACGCCTAATTCATACTTCCTTCCATCAAGTTTAAAATCATAAATTACCACACACAAAAGAAATCAGTGTAATATTGTAACAATAGGTGGTAGTATTAATAAATTTGGAAACTTAAATACAAGCACAGAAAAGTTACAGAGTGAGCCACTCATCTTACGAGATTTCGTGTTCTGCGGAATCTATAATACCGATAATTTAAGAAACCGGTGACTTTAACGACCTCTATAAGGACGGTGAATTCGGGAACTATATTCAAATCACACAGATTCGATCGAAATTGTACAATATTGTACAGATTAAACGTTCCATAAAGGTATTAACTAAAAAAGAATACAGATGCAACGGAAATCGCGCGAATAAAAGTTCCTCGAGTATTCTAAAATCTAAAAATGATTAAACCGCATAGAAGATAGTGAGCATAAATCCACCGCCGTCACTAGCAGACGTGTAAATAAAACTTATAATTGATTACAAATTAAGCTTGCAATGTATTCAGGATAAGACAAGGGAATAATAGTACTTTTCTTTTGTGCTTAGATATTTTCAATTATCATTAAAAATGAATAAAATCGTATTTATTAAACATTAAACATGCAAATATTACAATAACTTGGTTTGGATAACCCAGATAGATCTTTTACTCGTAATATATTATTTCATAATAGAATGTAACTGTTTACTTTCCATTCGTAAACACTTTGTTCAATACTGCTTATTACCAATGGGATAGTTCGAAGTTAATGTAACTCTCACTTACGTATTAAAAATCTGTAAAAAATAATTATGATGTATAATTTTCAACCTAAAAAGTATATTAATAAATAATTTATACGCAATACGCACTGATCATTCTTTTTCACCTTCGAGTCGGTAGTGATAGCGACGTAAAGCAGCTAAGCGTAATCGTTCAGTTTCTAACGCCTGTTCCAATTCCAGTACATGAACCTGTGCCTCCATTTCTAACCGCTTAGCTTGATGTAAGGTTAGTCCAGAGAAGTCTAAATCATCTAGAAAATATACAAGGCTAGTTATTAGAGCCTCCTATCTTTAACGTATTTCGTAATACATATACTACACGTATTGGGCGTACATTATTATATTATTTGTATAGATACTTAGAACACGCGTATCTGTGTATCAAACATGAAAAAGATAATTACCATTCTCTACAACGAGTTGACTACAATTCTTAGCAGTTGCAACAACGCTTCCTGTTGCCTGCGTTACATCCCTCGATGCTTCGGAAAGAGCAGCCAAGTTACTGCTATTTCTATTTGCTTTTACTCTGCTTGCGACTACTAACTGAGCTGTCGACGCAGCAATTCCTTGTGATGCGACTACCAGTTGTTCAAATTTACCGTTTCCGGCAACAACTTTATCCGCAGCTTCCCTGTATGCACGCATAAACTTTACAATCCAAATTACTAATACATGATAAATTATTTGTACTTACAGTAACAGGTTAGCACCCATTGCAACCGCTTTGGCTGCTGATATGAGTCCTTCCGACCACTGATGATTACGCTTATAAAATTCTGTTGCAGATGCCGTGCCCTAATGATAAAAACATATTACATTTGTCCACTCATAAATTAAGTAACAGTAACAAGAAGTTTGTACCTTTCCTTGTTCTAGGATTTCGGCTTGCAAGAACCTAGACTTCTGGACTAACTTTCTAATAGATTTCATCAGTTCTGTACACGAGTCTAAAATTTTTCCGTTTACTTCTAATTTTAATCCTGAATCCGCTGCACGAGATTTATCTAACATGTCCTGGTTAAGTAGTATAAAATATGTTACTATTGATAAAAATCATTTAACCAATAGAATAAAATATAGTGTACCTGTATTCTCTTTGCAGCTTCTTCTATTGCTTTATCCATACTTAAAAGTTCGGTCTCCACTAAACTTCCTATAACTTCAACATTGCCTTGACCATTAGACAAGGTTGCAGCGAGTTCGCATATTTTTTTAAATTGCTTTCTCACTTCGTCAATTTGGCCCACAGTCGTCGGCGATTTTTCTTTTATGTAATTGAACATGGTTAAAGATAGTACTCCTAATTGTTTACATTCATCAGTCAGTTCTACAATACAATGAGGTAGAAAATTAGAAATGTGATGTTTTAACATTTCTTTTAACGCTAGACGTCTTCCTAACTTACTATCGCCCAACGCAATATCGATGGACGTATTCGATGTAGATTTTGCGTGAATTAAATAAAGACCCAAAACATAGGCAACATGAATTGCAGTTTTAATGAGCATTTTTGCTTTCGTTGTATCACATACATAACCAGTGTATGTTGCATCCAAAGCATCTAACGATTTTACAATCGATTCCTCCAATCGTTCAAGGTACTGAGGAGTGCAAGTTAAATCAGACATTGCTGGATTGTCTATAGCACTCAATGAATATTGTAATATATCTTCCGCTTCAGAGATACAATTTACTGAAACAAAAGTACAATTTTATATGTACAGTCCTACACTATTTCTCAGTTTATTACCAGGGAATGATATGAAACACTTACACAATAATTCGTACAGCATAGTGTCAGCACGCACATTCATTTCATTACGGCATCGTTCAGTCTCGACTTCCAACTTTTCGATCTTTAAATCTAATTCTTCTTTTTGCGCTAATAAATCATGTAGATCGCCTTCTAAAGCCGTTTTTTCAGAAGTTATAAAATCATTTTTGGCAATCAACGCCTAAAATATTACATCTTTACCGGAACGAAATAAAAACAAAATATAAACGTAAACTTTGAAACAAAGGAAAACTAATAACCAAGTTTTCAGCTTTCGCGGTATTCAGTTGTTGTTTCACGTCATCCAAGTCCTGTTGTGCTTCAACGGCTTTTCGTGCTTCTTGTTCACCTATGGCTTGGCCCTGTATCAGCTCGTCAAGTCGACGTTCTGCCTCGACAGTTCGACGCTCAGATTGTTCTTGTGACATTTTTAGTAAACCAAGTTGTTTGTCCACATCCGCTTTCTGTTATACAAAAAAAGGTAATGAAATATTAATGTTTCTTTGTCAAAACATAAACGGATCGTGTAAATTGTTAGAAATATAAGCTCGGAGTAAAAGTAGATGGAAGTGTTTATCTACATACAAATGAAAATTCTTACCTTCCTAATTAAACTGATATGTTCTTCCCTTAACTTTGCATACACGTCTTTCAATTTTTGAAACTTTTCTTCCAAAGTTTTATACTTTTCTGGAAAAGAGAAGAAGAAATATTATATTTATCTTTCAAGATATAAAGTTCCGAATGTTTCACGAGTGAAACTTCTAAAAATCATTACGATATTTTACATAACGTAAATTAAAGTTACATCCACGAACCTTCACTTTGATGAACCTTCACCATCATGTCTCCTTTTTGTTTCAAAGAATCTTGATTGACCTGTCTTTCCTGTTCTACCTCGTTACACTAAAAATTTAAAGAAAACCCGTTTTTTTTTCTCAATATTATATCGACGATAAAACATAACGTTTCTACCTTGGCAATCAGACCAGATTTCAATTGCGTGACTTGATTGTGAAGGTCTCCCACGATTTGTTGATGTTCGGTGAGTACACGATGCAATTCTTGTCTCTGACGACTAATTTCCTGCTGTAAATGATCTATAAGACTTTCTCTAAAATACAAATAATCACTTAATAATTTGCCATCACGAAATTCAACCGCGAGGATAATTTTCAGATTTTGAGTAAGTCCATGTTTACCTTTCTGCTATTGTGTCGGGAGAGATTGAACCATTCCGCGTTGAATCAAGTTGATCGCCTGGTAATGAACTCGTGTCAGAAGTATCAATAAGATCCATAACCATTTCACTGTCCAAAGGCTCTTCTGGTGGCAATACGACTCTTGGTGTGACATAGTCCCGTAGTTCTGATTGTTTTAAAAAGTTCGGTGGATTCTGGAATGAAGAAATTGTACACAATTGAAATTCAAACAAAATCTCATCTCTGTAATCGTAGGTTTTCTCATCTCACAACCTATTACAGAGTGGTGACTTACTAGACTGCACATATTCATACAAATATAGACATCTACGATCTAATTTTGCGAATATTATGATCAAACGGAAATTTATTTATTCCATTAACTATTATATTACAATGTTACAGATACATAAAATTCATAGACCGTTAATGACATTCGTTAAAAAAACCCTACGCACCTCAGGTAATGCAGGTATACTTATGAGTCCTTTAAAATACTGTCTCTGTTTAACTGTATTGTAAAATTTCTTCAGTTCTTGGAACTGTTTCGAGAATCGATCACGATGACCGGCCAAAGTATCGGCCGGCAGCGCGCCGTGAAGTTTGAACAGAATTTTCACACAATAATCGTGCAACTGTGCTGCGTCTAGAACGCAGGGAATTAGGGGTGCCAGTCGACACTGTCCGCTGGCTGTCATGGAATTGGAAGGTGTGTTCTTCAATGAAGCGGTAACTAAAATCATTGGTACAACTTGATAAACGTGTAAAACAACTTCATACAAGTGAACAGGTTAGAGGGAATCACGGAGAAACTCTTTTTAGCCGTGAGAGGGTAAATAGTATAGATGAAAGAATAAAAATAGTATTCAATAATTAATGCTTTCTTAAACGTGCATTAAACTTAAATTGAAATTTTAAACTAGAGTCAAATAATAGACTTTATTCCATACCTACCTGCGCGTTGCAAATTTAAGATATCATCCATATAGTCGAACATCTCGACCGACATTTGGAAGCTAAAAAAGAAAGGAAAATCATGTGATAATTAGATCGTCGTCGAACCTCCAATAGCGATCTGCTATCGAAGTGTTCTTGTATATTTATAATATATGTGTTATATAAATATATATGTTATATTTTAATTTCCGCGAACCCCTGAAACCGCAAGAAATCAGACTTTCCTGTCCCTTTGAACGAATGGTGTATATTACTGAAGCTGAAACCCAATTTTGTTCAAGTATAAAACCATAAGCTTACTAGACGTTGATATCATTTTCTCCAATAGCTTCCAATTCCTCCTCTGTTACTTGAAGGTTTCCAGGTATCCGTGGATTTCGCTTGTGAAAGTCTAGTTTAGTGATCAACAGCCTTATGTACAATTGAATCAGCTGGCCATACCCCTCTCGAAGATGTTGCCATAGTTTTCCAATATCCTCTAGCTTTCCTCGATACCGCTGAGAATCTGGTATCACTTTTGAATGACCTTCCCGTAGTATTTTGTGTAAAACGTGGCAAAACTTCCACGCGACTATCTGATTCTCTTGCAAGGGTTGCCTTAACATGTACATCCAGAAGATCATTCCGCTCTTTTCTTTATGTGTACCCAAAATCGCGCCTACGTTTATGTAAGGCATATACAGTGCAATTTAGAGAGTTCACTTTATAAATACTCAATTCTAATAAATGATTTATAATATACAACAAATAATCAATTATTGTTCGCATATACACAATGTATCTTCCACGATTTGTGGTTGTTACATATTTTTACATACAGAATAATTCTAACATAAGGGACTAAAAATTTTGTCGGTATTACAAATATTACAGAAATTGATTGCTTTGAAAAAATAAATTCATGATTGAAAAAGGATACTCCGCACATGTTTCTCCTTCACCGGAGTTTCCGTAGGATTTACAGCCTTCCCGATGCTGATACTCTAAAAATCAGAAACAACGTTAATTCGTTAAACAAGAAATACATACTGCGATTCGATGTGTATATCACATTAGATAGCATTTTGCTTAGTTTTTTATGTAGATTATTTACCAACTGATGGAGTTGCTTATCGGTGAGCGGAACGACAGTCGTCATGATAAAGGCCTACAGTAGCAGCGACAGAAATGAAAGTACGTGTGAATTTGAATTCCAATGGTCAGTCTGTATGAAAAATCATCGTCCACCAATTCCTCATTCGTTTCGTGATACGTTAGACGAGCGTAACCGACGCCGTGATGTTGTTCCGCATCGCCTGGAAAATTGTACATAACTGTTACGAACAGCCGTTTACGGAACGCAACAATATTCCGTGAAACGAATACTTATCGCTTGAACATTTTGCATTTAAATGCATGAATAATTGCTTAAAAATAAAACCAGAGATTAATAAATAAAAAAGTTGAAACTAAATGTTAGGATTATACAATATTAGAATACCATCTCAAATAACACCAATAATCGAATCAGGCTGCTTAAAAGTTCATATATGTGCAGTTACAAAGTAAAAGCATTAATTGACATTTTAATGAACATTTAATTTTAGTCTTAATATAACGAAACTCTTGAGCAAAAATAAAATACAATTATATTTAAGTTAGTTTCTTCGTAGAATGTCGGCAAATTAGCAACATCAGTTGTATATTTACAGAATCGAATGACACCAATGTGGTGACGAACAAACGATTTCATTATTTAAAAACAGAAACAATGGAAAAATATACATTTTTCTCAATTTCCAATATTTAAATCAATGGTGCACAGTCTTCTTTCATATGGGTAGCATCCTCGGTATTTTAAAAAATTCTCGTCCACCAAGGGATAATACGTAATCCAAGTGTTCGATCTCGGAAGTCCAAATGATGGGTCTTTTATGTTCATTAACCCTCCGAGCGGTGTCACCGTACCGGCGACGCGCCAGAAAGAGTGCCGCTACGTGCTTACGTTCATTCAGAAAACTATCGCATCGGTTGCATTCGTGCATTCAGATGAATAGACGCATGCAGTTCATTATACTACGAGTCAAAGACCCATGTGTATCACTGACGCAATGAAAACAAAGATAACGACCGAAATAGAAAGACATTAGGTGTCAACGAATCTCGACTGATTCCGGTCTCCATATACTACATACATACCGTTAATGTAAACACAAACAATGAACGGAAAACTTGTTTGAAAACACGCGTCCGTAAAACAGGGAGCATCGTGTTTCAAGAGACCGTTAGGCGAGATATTAATTACTTTTTCAAGAATGTATTATTGTTTAGGGGACTCCATATGTCTGTACTGGAAATTGTACATAGACGAATCATGATAAATTACTTTGTATCATTACTAAACTGTGGAGGCTCATGTGAATTTTTAATAGTTCATTTTATAGAAACCCGGATTAAAGAAGAATTTACCAGTGATTATACGTAGTAAATGAAAAAGAAAATAAAGCGTAAGTGCATAAATTCCAGTTTTACAGATTTTCGTCGTCAAGGTCATTTGAAGGGTGTGTTGTAAATCATTCCGTTTGTTTAATACCAATTGAAACATAATACCGAAAAATATGTAGTATTTTTACAAAACTCGGTGAGTTTAAGAAATTAAGTATTTTTTCGAATTATCAATAATTTACGGTGTGTCTTTGTTTATTGGTATAACACTGAAATGTACAACGTTACACATTTTTTTTCTGTAACATATCGGGTGTCTATAAACATCGATTTCTCTGTGATATATTTAGATTCGTTTGCCTCGTTCTGTGTGCTAAAAAGTGATATACAGGTCACAGACACGACCGAACTCATGCAATTTAAAGCCCGTCCTTGACCATGGGGGCACGATAATTCTGTGATGACTTTAATTTGTCAGAAGATTGGGGCAAAGGCTAAGGATGCGAGACACAGATTACTGTTAAGCTGTCACGAATTTTGGAAAGTAAATTAAAAAAATTTAGTAAAATAATAATAATAAAACCGTTACAATAAATTAAACAGCAACAAAAGTCAAGATAACAATAAACGACAAGAGAATATAAAAATAATAAAATAAGAGTATAAATAAAATGAAGACAACATTGAAATAAAGGTGTGCAACTGTTATTAAACTTAATCGAAAAATTTATATTTATTAAAATAACATTGGTATAATTTCTTTTGAATAATTTATAATTTTACCAGTCAATAGTTTCATGAATGAAAATTTAAAATTTTTTATTTTTTTGTTGGTTTAAAAGTTTCATTATAATGAAAACTAAACTGGAGTAAAAAGTAGGACAAAGAATCCACAGTAACATCAGGAAATGAGGGAAGTAGGAGCTCATAAAAATGTAATGCTTAATATGGACAGCACATTCTGAATCATACCATTCAAGTACATATCCTTGATTAGTAACACATTTTCTTCTTCTGTCATCATAATTGTTTTCCACTACTTTTTCCAGATAAAATCATTAAAAAAATATAATACTGAAAATAATTGCCAATGTCTTATTTCATATAGTCTTTTTTATTTTTGATTCTGAATACTTTTTTCATTTTTAGAATTCTAAAAAAGTCACATAGCATACTAAATGTATTCCAGTACGCGAATATAAACGATACTTTATGTCACACTTGATAAAAATACATTTAGGCGTATAAATGTATATAAAACGAACAAGGCTTCCTGTTAGCTACTGTCAGACTTTTCTAAGTACCATGTATACAACACGACATTACGAATAATATTCATCAATTAAACAGAAAAATGTAAACTGTAAAAACTAGCTCTCAAAATTACTTCGATCGTTGAGCGAAATATTACTGTCAACAATTTTGCGTTTCTGACAAGTACGATACCATAATAAACATATTCCCTAACCTATAAAAAGGATTAGAACGGTGTACCGAGACACAAATGAGGTCAAGGACCGCATTTTCATCGGACGTTTAGTTATTACAATTTAAAATGCATCTAAAAATTGAGGCAAGCTCGTTTAATACTTTTACTCGAACATCGAAGATATAACCTTTGGTTGCTGTAAAAGTGTATCTATATACATATTCAAACAATCGTTCGGGGATGAAACGGATAATTAAAAATTGGAATTGTTAATACATACCAGAAATTCTTCCCACGGGCAATTCATTAAATCCAGGCCGCCTCTGGTTCGTTAGAAAACATGTAATTGCGTTAAACCCATTCTTCCGTCAACGCACGAATTGTTTCAGAAGATTACGTAGCATAGATCCGGCTAACGTAAACAGAAACTTTATACGTACGCACAAATTCAACTTATTTAAATATCACCAATTACAATTTCGAAAAGTGCGGCAAGTGCCGGATGAATCGTTCGAGAGCTTTTCCTTTGAGTTAAAAATTGTATTAGTGATGTATCGATAGGCGATGTCACCAATTCAACGATATGATATCAGATACAGACGGATAAACGTTAAAGGTACTGATAAGGGAGGGAAGTTACGACAGATAGCGTTGCCAATAAATAAACTAAAAGTCGTAGTCGAATACGAAATAAATACGTGCTTCCCGTCCGCGCGTAAGATGGAATACAGTGAATCACTTGGAATATAGCGATAGGAGTAGTGTGCATTCAGTATCAAGCCGCTATTTCGAGCGCTCTTCCAGTGGCGTAGCCGACTTCTGAACTTGCTGGCGCGTAAACTTTCTGGTAAGGATATATGTACTTTTACATTTTTAACTTGCATTAATCGTACAATCCGTTATACCTCATGATTTTCTGTATCTCACCTACTCTATTTCCCTCGTACTGTCATTATCAATTCATTATGTTATGTTTTATTTCTCGCCTTCTGGTGCGACGCATCTTATCTTTCTTTACTCGTTTGAATTTTGTCAAGATCGAATAATACGTTTCCACTAAATTCGCCGTAAAACGAAGTCAAAATCCTTAGCAAATTAAACAGTGTACTTAACAAATTTTATAAATATTTGTTTTACGTATGTTTGAACTGGTCATAATTTTAATCGCGAATATTTAGTAAGGAAAGGATTGGACCTAGTTTATCATATTTTAATATGTTAATAGAGATAATAAAACACGTTCTCTAAACCTTCTATAATTAAGCCGAATGTTTTAATAATAATTTATGCTTCTTGTTGTCTCCAACATAACCATCTGTATGTAAATAAGTTCTATCGTATCTACGTTATGAATTTCCTAATTAAAAAAAAATGAATTCGAATTAAATTAATGATGTATACGTATATATTTTAATTAGAGAATTGACTAGTACATAAAATTTGATAATAGTTGATAATAAATAATTGTTGATTGTATTTTAAACCAATCTACATAATTTAATTATAACGGTATATAAACGCTCTAAATATTATGTTGAACGGGTATGAAAATGTATGTACTGTGATTTTCACATCCGATCTATATTTTTATATTATTAATAAATTGTAACATTCGGCGAAAAATGAATTATGTTTTTTATTTTAGCTATAAGAAATTTTAATTGTGTTTACATAGACCTAATTGTCAGCCACCTATCATTGCAATGAAGATAAAATCGCATAGTACATATATAGTATGTGTAGTCAAATCGTTTTTTTCTATTCAATACCTTTTAAAGTATTAAACGTAATAGTAAAATAAAAGTATAAATGTACGTTTTAATCATTATTCGATTTATGTGAACAGAGTACTCTATTTTCCTGATTGGTATTACTATTCATGAATACAATTAAACAATCATTACTGAATATGTATTGACTAGATCAACTTCGTGGATAATGTATAATAGTTTTCCTTTGGCTTATATGTTGTAACAAACGATTTAATTCGGCACTATAGTATACCAAAAATAACAATACCAATCATGATTAAATAATAAGATTCTCTGGTTAGATAGGCCTCATGATAAAATTCATTTATATGTTTTATATATTCGTCATTTCATACATTGATACATACACATACATGGTGTCGCCATAGGTAGTCAAGTGTAAATTATACCTTTGACAGTACGCTTTGATTCGTATATTATCAATTATGATCCATCATTAAATTAAATCAAATTTCATTAATCAGTGCACAATACATACAATATACAATGTGAACAGATACAAAACATCAAATAGAAATGCCTATCCTCTCCCGCTTAATCAACATCCAATGTTTAATCAATTGCCTGTCTTATTTTGCATATATTGTACTTAAACTATTTCGACTATGAATAAATTAGAATTAAATGTACTACTGAGTTAACAAAATAAAATTTATATATCTCTAGTAGCACATTTAAACATTTAAAATAAAGGATTATCGTTATGTGTTAAAAAATTCTACTTTATAAATGAAATAAAAAAAAATAATATTACTATGTTAATATAAAACATTCAATCACATCTGTCTAGAATGAAACGTACAAAGTACTTAATATACAATATTTAAAAATAATAAACTAACATCAGTGAGACTCTGCGAGTTAAAATTTTATTAAGTTCTATGATTTAAGCAATATATAACACTTTACCTTATATTATACCTATTCAGTATGTGTATATACGTTCTTGTAAATAATAAATACACCATTATTCACTTGTTACCTCATGTTGCGACACACAAAAGGAAATATGCAAATTAACTTGTTGAGAATAAAATGAGGAGTAGGAGTAAAAAGATTAATTAAATTGGAGAAGAATGAAGCGGGGGACAGGCAACCCCCAGCCCCTAGCAACACCCACCACCTTGCGTGTTTCCCTGACCACCAGTACCTGCTAAACCACCGGGACTTGTTGGCGAATGTTGTGGTCCGATTTTTATGCCATTTGCCTAAACAAAATTTCAATATACTCATTAGTAAAAAAGAGACTAAAAGATGTCAATACTATTATATTTTATGTTGTCTATTTTACCTCATTGTTTATATCAAAGACACCTTCCTGAATTTTTTCATAAATAACTTTTGCTGTATCGATAAATGCTTCTTCTACATTGGTTGCTGTCTTTGCACTGGTTTCCATAAAAACAAGTCCATGTTCTTTTGCAAAAGCTTCACCTTCTTCTCTCCTGACTTCCCGTCTATTTTCCAGATCACTTTTATTACCAATTAACATGATAACCATATTAGAATTCGAATGCTGTCGCGCATCTTCTAACCACGTTGTCAGGTGATTAAATGTTTCCTTCCGTGTAATATCGTACACTAACAAAGCTCCAGCAGCTCCACGGTAATACGAACGTGTAATAGAACGAAATGCCTCTTGACCTGCCTATAAGTTGAATAATCTCATTAATAACTTTATACTTCTTTGGTATAGATTGTTCCATAATCGATTCAAAATTACAATCAACAATATAGAGATAGTGGAGTTATGAAGCAAAAATATGAACAGAATTTTTTCTCACTTTTTAAAAGGAACTAAAATCTTATGCAGAATTGTATAGAATTATACCTTTTTGTGATGTTTTTAAAAATAGGTAATATATACTTGCCACTGAAGGTATGTTGCTCATGTATTATTTTAAGAACTTTATATAATTAATGTATAAAATGTAATAAAGTCATAACATATATTGAGTAATCACAGATGCATTTTCCATACCTCAGGGAGATCAAATTCATAAAAGTTTATAATGGAAAAGTATTAGGGTCCAATCAGAGCTATAGAAAACTATAGTTTCAACTCCAATTGTATTTCTATTACTTCCACTGTGAATATCTCTATAATGGAATAATGTATATGGACCTGAGTCCTGCTCAAGCCCAGCATGAAGCTTGCTCAGGTCCCTATGTGTTATTCAATAACTAGAACTCCATTATTTCTCTATTATCAAATGTATAATAAAGAAACTATTATTTGATAAAATGTCCAAATATGTATAACAAATTAATAATTACAGTATCCCAAATTTGGAGCTTGATCTGTTTTCCATCAATTGTAATCATACGGGCACCAAACTCAACGCCTATTGTTAAGTCATGCACTGGTTGAAATCTCTTGTCCGTGAATTGAAGGAGAAGACATGACTTGCCAACCCCTAATTAAAAAATTAAACAATATTTTTGTAACTTCTGATAAATAACAATTAATTAAATATTTATACTATATTATTCCTTAAAATTAATAATACTAAATAATAATATAAAAATTAAGACTAAGAATGAATTCTTCGAAAACAAACATTTAATCAAAAATATTTAATATTGAGGTACATTTAAGCATCTGCTTACAATTGTCCGTTTAAATAATTCTTAATGTTAACAAAAAGTTCAAGGCTAAATTGCAGTGGTATGATAAACAATCTTGGCATGATAAACAGTATAATATTAATATATTGGTAATAATATATATAGAAAGTCTGCTATTACAAATATCAACCATTCCAATCTCTATAATGCAGCATCCATTCCATAATTGAAGTTCATATGAAATCTGTTGTAATAAACACGAAATTTTCCAAGATGAAAAAATTATCATAAAAAAGGAATTGTATGTGAGTAAAACAATTCGTTGAAAAAATGCATGATTTTTATCCTAACTATGATCATGCAATTTGCGCATTATAAATTCTACGATTATTTTATGTTTTTGAATCGGGAATATTATGGTGAAGAGAAACGAAAACAATGGGTTCTGTCACGGTCGACGTAGTAGAGAATGTAGGTATCACTTTCACAACGTTCGTTTCTGAAGCGGCGTCACATAATTACCTGTATCTCCAATGATGATGTATTTGAAAAGGTACGCGTACGACATTTTTCAAAAATCACGTAGCTTAACAAAGATAGTTATACAAACTGCGAATATATTAGAAAACAGAGCTCCACTTTTTTTACTGTCTTATCTCTTCTGCTTCAGCATGACGTCACTACATCGTCTCGGCAATCCTCGGGATTTTTCGTATTATTCGCAATCAGTTCGAGTTTCCAATATCGCGCTGCCGTCGCCGAGTGTAGAGTCATCGACATATTTTCCGAACATTGGCAACGTTCCAAAACCATGGCATTTTCATTCTAAGAATAATAGACATGATATTAAAAAAAAACACTACTATGATATTCTAAAATGAAATACATGTAATTCAGTTCTCTAGACGTATCTTCTCTGTCTAAAATTATATTAAAATCGCGCATTGCGATACAACTGAGTAAGCTTAAGTATGTTACTAATAAATATTACTACACTTTTTAAATTATATTTTCCTTGATCGTATGAAAACTAAAAAGAAGAGAGAAAAAGTTGAAATAACTTAAATAAACTTATGGAATAAACGGAATAATATAATAAATATTTGCCTACCCCCGCTTGGCGTCTAGGGGAAGATTCAAAAAGCAGCATTCCCATCTATACTATGATGATCTATGATGCAGATCGCAATGTCCAGCAATGTCATATGCAGTCAGATGCACGTGTGATTTTCTGTAACTACAAAACTTGTCTCAATTTTGAAATTTCACGAATTTCTTCAATGTGTATAATTCAACACAGTTTTATCACTTCGATACAGTTCAAAAGACAAAAAATGATTTGATGTTAATAATAAAGTTGTGCAAAATATACACTAATGAATAATAATACTTATGGAAAAATATATAATTCCATACAGTATGAACAGAATATTATGAACAAAATAGAAATATATAGCTCTATCAAGTGTCTTCTTTATATCCAACTTGTATATATATTTTCATGAACCAGACTTCAATACCTTGACTGATTTTGCAAGTTGACAGTAACGAATTTTGCAATTTTTTGCGGTAAATTTAAACCACAGAACATCGTGTCATAGATGGAAATGCTGTTTTTCATAGACTTTGTTGGAAGTGGATGGACAACTACGTTGTTCGAAAACACACCAAATTTTGTGGAAAGTTGAATTTTCATAACAACGTACACGAATTATAATTAAACTTGGTCCTTTATTGACTAATAAATGTCGTCACTTAAAGTCCATTCAAAGGAGATCAGAAAGTTACTCGAGGAAGAACATGTAGGCTACATATTGTTATACGTGAGTAAAACCGCTGACCAATGAAATCCTTATTCGATAAAATTGATTATCCAATGAAGTAGCAGAATATGAGCTCTGGTGGTAAGTAAAAGTAGTAAACAAGTGTATGGTGCGAATCGAGCTATCGTCGACGTCGAAGCTGTCAAACATGGCGAGAACGTCGATCTCAAGTGCTGGTCAAAAATGTGAATAGAGGTGTCGGGTTGCGGTGAGATTCGTGAATCTCGGTGTTCTCGTCGTTGGCGGAGGCCGGCGAGAGATGCGATCGGGAGTTAGACTGTCAGGCCGATAGTGAATGTGCCGAGTGAACGGCCCCGGCGGTTTTGCGGCCGGGATTAATCTTAAGGGCATGCCAATTCGGAAACTATGGGTGCTCAACAGACTAAGGAAAGAATCGTTCCTGTCGGCTCTACCGCGCGACAGACGCGCAAACAGCCAAGGAACCTTAAGGAATCGCGGCTAGTTGGCTCCAATATATTTACCGAGCACAGTGGTAACTTCCTTTCCTTATTCTCATCCTACTCTTTCGCTTTTTATCTTCTGTTTCTTTCTCGCTTCCGCCCCCTTTTTTCTGTTCTCTTTCTCTTATCCTTCCTTCTCGCTCTAATTCTTGTCTGGTTTCTCTCTTTCTCTGTTGCACTCGTATATTTTGCTACTTCGGAACCGATTCTGAATATAAAAGTTTATTAATTAATTAAAGGTCATCATAAATCAAACGGAAAAATCACCAGGCCGAAAGTAATGGCTTGGTTATATAATTAATGTACACATACGCTTGTATGTGTATATACATATATATATCCTTATTAAATTAATGATTGGTTGTTAACTTAATTCATAAAGTAAAGTACACCAATTATGGATATATTTTACATTGGAAATTAGTTTCCTGGTCTTGTGATTCATCTGCTTGATATGGAAATTTATTTCTAGTACTTGGTTATTTTTGTTATTTTATACATAGTTGTTTTTCTTCTTATGCACGTATCTATTTTCATCAGCTGTTTTTCAAGAACTAGAACCAAAGGAAAATTTGTTTTAGCAATTGAAGGATTTATTAAGCCAGAAAGCTTTTATTTAATTTCATTGAGTTTCCATAATCCATTCATTATATATTTTATAGAGAAGTGTCTTTATTTTATTAATGTTGCATTTGAAACTCAGTTTCACATATTCCAATATTTATGACATTAAAAACAATGATATAGTTATTCGGTAATGATATAAATTATTGAATAATTTTTATGATGTGCAGAGGCTCTTTTACAAAGTAGACCGCTACCTCACATTCCGGCATTACCCGATGGTGATCCCCCAAGCGGTTCCAGCATTCAGCCACTTTCACAGCAAGTAAATATTCAACAACATGCTGGTGTTCCATCTACAGGTCTTCTGGAAGCTGCAAACAGGTGTATTTTTATTATCATTATTGAACATCTTAATTTTAAACCATGTTTTATTTATGTATTTCTTTTATTACATTATCAAGATATTTTAAGTTTTTTTTTATTTACATTCGTGAATATTCTATTTGTCCATATTTTCCTTTAATTATTTAAAGAAGAGAACATTGTACTATCTGTTTGAAATTAAAAATAATACATAAAAGTTTATTCATTTTCAAACAATGAAATATAAGTGGGTCTGCACGTTTTTGTTATAGGTGGACCAGTAAGGAAAACCTATTAGCTCAAGAAGAGGATGACCCGCAGTTGTTTGTCGCTCTCTATGATTTTCAAGCTGGTGGAGAAAACCAGCTCAGTCTTAAAAAAGGTAATTGTTTCTAATATTGTTAGATGAAACTAATTGAAGTGATAGAACCCTGTTTATTCCAAAGTTGTGTTTATTTTCTTCTGTTTATTCTTATGGGGATAGGATGGGTCAGATAAAATTCTGAAATAGCAAGAATTACTGTGTTTTTTGGCATCAGGTTCACCAGACAATAGGAACTTAATTAAAAATTCAATAAATTGAATATTTGAAAACAAAATTTGTTTGAATAAATAGTGTTCTATTCTACATGTAATTTTATTAAAAATAATATGTAAATACATGTTTCCTACACTAAAAAGAAAGTATTGTTACAAATTATAATTATTTGAATTTAGGAGAACAAGTTCGTATTCTGAGTTATAATAAGAGTGGAGAATGGTGTGAAGCTCATTCAAGCACTGGTCAAGTGGGTTGGGTTCCTTCAAATTATGTCACTCCAGTGAATTCTCTGGAAAAGCATTCTTGGTATCATGGAAGGATATCCAGGAATGCTGCTGAGTATCTCTTGAGTTCTGGCATAAATGGTAGCTTTTTGGTTCGTGAATCGGAAAGCAGTCCAGGTCAACGTAGTATTTCTTTACGATACGAGGGTAGAGTCTACCATTATAGGATTAACGAAGACAGTGAAGGAAAGGTATAGCATTTATCAGTATATGAAGGGATTTCAATTACACTTGAACATGATATGAAGAAATATTGTGTTGTTTTAGATGTTTGTCACTACTGAAAGCAAATTTAATACTCTGGCAGAACTTGTACATCATCATTCAATGCTCGCCGATGGTTTAATCACTCAATTACTTTATCCTGCACCAAAGCACAACAAACCTACTGTTTTCCCACTTAGTCCGGGTATGTGAAAAGTAGCGAAAAAGTTATAGACTTTGTACAGTAAAAGTTTACTAGTTTCGAAATTATTTTTTTTTGTTAATGCAATATTACACTGCAGAACCAGATGAATGGGAAATTAATAGAACAGATATAGTCATGAGACATAAGTTAGGAGGAGGACAATACGGAGATGTCTACGAAGCTGTTTGGAAGAGGTACAATATGACTGTTGCCGTAAAGACCTTAAAGGTCAGTTTCCGCTTACCTTGATTACTTTATATAAAATTTACTATCTTTCAGTTTTGAACAAAATTTTCTGTGCACATTATAGGAGGATACAATGGCTTTAAAAGACTTCTTGGAGGAGGCTGCAATCATGAAGGAAATGAAACACAGAAATCTAGTTCAGTTAATAGGTGTGTGTACTCGGGAACCGCCGTTCTACATCATTACCGAATTCATGAGTAAGGGGAATCTACTAGACTATCTGCGGAACGAAAGCAAACATCAAATCAATGCTGTTGTTCTGATGCACATGGCCACACAGATCGCTAGTGGAATGAGTTATCTAGAAAGCAGAAATTTCATTCACAGGTACGACTTTTAAAAATTTTCCCAAAATTGTACCTGTCTTGCTCATCCCTTCACAGATTGCTGTGGAAATATTTCACCGTATTTAATATCAGAATTCACAACAATTAATATATTATCGAGGTTATTTTAGAAAACGTTTTTTTTTTACGAAGGAAGTATTAAAAGAACTCTAACAAGTAAAATCCATCAAATGTAATGCTCACTTTTTCATATAGTACATATCAAGAAGTAACTAACTAATTTTCTATCTTGTCAACTGTGGCCACTTGATCTCAATTAATTTTCATGCGCAGTAAACTATTAGTATTAAGACCGATATGTATTATGTCGAAAAGTAATCGCTACACTTTAAGTATTTTCCTTGGAAGTAGATGCTTTTAGGAGTGATTTATAGCGTCACGAGGATCAGTGAAGAAATCTGACGACAGATTACATTGATACGCATATTCTACGCGAAAAGAAAAATATATTCAGTTAGTTAGGAGAAATGTTTTTAAAGTTTTCATCGCCCTCTCCTCTTAAGAAACGAGCGCGCGTTAACGTCGCGACTTTCGAAACAGAGATCTGGCGGCTCGAAACTGCCTAGTGGGCGAAAATCATCTGGTGAAGGTCGCTGACTTCGGTTTGGCCCGGTTGATGAGAGACGATACGTACACAGCTCATGCTGGAGCGAAGTTCCCTATAAAATGGACTGCTCCAGAGGGATTAGCTTACAATAAGTTCTCTACGAAGGTAACATAACATCTATTTTTCATTCTCACTCTTCAAAAGACGATATCAAGTTATGTGGAGCATTTGGTGCCATTTTCAATCTGCTAATAGAGTTATGTTCATATTTTTTACTTGACCATTGACACATACTGTATCTGGTCCTTTCGCATGGTATTCCGTTCATATCACGTGGGTCATCGATGAGCCACAGCAGAACACCTTTCTTGTCAGTGTCGATGAGTCTTTGAACACTCATCGAGGATTTTCTGCATACACGTTTATAAGTGTTCATCATTAGTGAAATTAATTGATATTACGACTTACAGAATGAAACTTGTTAACAGTTCTTTTACAGGGATATCTGTACAATTTTCGTATTGTTATAGTCGGATGTATGGGCGTTCGGTATCTTGCTGTGGGAAATAGCCACATACGGCATGTCGCCGTATCCTGGCGTCGATTTGACAGATGTATATCACATGCTGGAGAAAGGCTATAGAATGGAGTGTCCTCCCGGATGTCCACCGAAAGTTTATGAACTAATGCGTCAATGCTGGCAGTGGTCAGCTGCTGACCGGCCTACGTTCAAGGAAATACATCACTCTTTGGAAAACATGTTCCAAGAATCCAGTATTACCGAAGGTAAAGTAATTATCCAATGTTATCTTGTTACACGCTAACAATACGAGTTCACGAATACATTAAATGTTGAACTCCTGTTAGGGTAATATATAATGGGTTAATACTATAGTTAAAGTTCAATGATTTTAATTAAACTATGCAATTGTAACCTGAGGAATAGAATATGTTTTTAAATCTTGCGTGACGATATTATTGCAGAAGTTGAAAAACAGCTTCAAGGTGGAGGTGAAATCCCTTTACTTTCGTACAAGAAATCTCAAACTGGTAGTACTGGAAACCTCCATGGACTTGTTCTTGTCTCTGAACCACTATCTTCTTCAGGTACACACATAGGAAATATGTATAAAATTATCTTGTAATCATGTTTTATTTTAACCTTTTACATTAATGTTTTATTTTTAACAAAATAGTACTCTTTGCATTAATTTATCATAGATACTACTAGTTCCGTAACGAAACTGAGTACATTTACGGGTGGCTTGTCAAGTAAGAATAACAGCAGCATCGTACAGATGAGACGTTCCACGAATAAAAAGGGGAAGCAAGCTCCAGCACCTCCCAAACGGACCAGGTACGATGTTTTTCTAATCTCGGTGCGTCGGAACTTCGATTACTGCTTCCGTTATAATTTGTTTGCGTTAATTTATACTTATATAATGTATTGCTTTTATTTTATCATATCAATATACACACACATTCTGCATATAATCGAGGTTTCAATTAATCAAAGCACCGACTAATGTTGATCACACGTTTATACAATAACATACCGATTGGGGTAACAGCCTGCTGTCGTCGTGCAGTTCATTCCGTGACTCTGCGTACCAAGAGCAAGATACTCAAAATACCGAATCAAACACCATGACACTTGACGACGCCACGGATCTAAATGGTATTGATAAGATTCTCGAAGGTATTTCCATTCTACTTTAATCGAGCGTACTGATACGTGCACGTAACTGCTTTAGTTTCCTGTCGTAAGCTCTGTACCCAGCTTGATGCTCGACTTCTTCTGCGTCTATATCTTTCTTCTTGTATTGACGTATTTGATTAAAGTTACATAGCGAATCATGAAAAGCATTAAGATTGAATTTGTTTTAGTATATTTATTTATTTATGTTCTCAATAATTTACGTTCATTGAACCACGATATGTTTCCGTGAACATTAATAGAGTACTAATATACGAAGAACATGTAATATTCATCGAAAAGAACCTATTTTTGGTTTTCATGAAACATTATTTATATTTCGTTATTCGAGCTTACGGGGCATGTTTGCTCTCAGCGAAAGGACTCTAAGCAGAAAGAGAATATGTACCGGTACGGTTTGTTGTTAAATGGGAACTCAGGTATTGCGAGAGATCTCGCGACGATGGCTCAAGGAACGATTGCTGCAGGCGGCTGCGAAATCGAGGAGGACGGAGAGGGTTCTCAGGGTACGGCGGAACCGAACTTCATGTCCCAGCCTTCAACATCTCCGGAACCTATACCTGGATTAGCATGTTCTCAAAAACAAATCAAGTCAAGACCTTATCCATCAAAAGAACCATTACCACCAAAGGTAATTTTTTTGTATAAAAAAAATGCTTTAAACCTGGACTCGTAGAAGAGTCTAAATATAAATGTTATATTCTTTTAGGTGGTACAAGTGGGGGCGTTAGAAGTACAGAACGTAAAAAGAGCGATTAATCGTTACGGCACATTGCCAAAGGGTGCTAGAATCGGCGCGTTCCTCGAGTCTATTCGTCAAAGCGGCATGCCATCGAATCAAGAATCTACATCTGTAACATCAACCATGACACCTGGCTCGGTCGAGCAACACGAAGCTTCTATCGACAGTTCTCAACACAGATCGCTCTCTCCACGTCAGAGCAATCTCAGAAGTCAACCTCAAATGACCCGTAGCAATTCGTCGAGCGGTGTTGTCAATACTTATCAGCCTCCAAATTCTCCCCGTGGTCGAGTAGTAGCCGTGAGAAAGAATAATCAATCCGACGGTGTTGGTCTAAGAACGTTTCGGGTCTCGAGTAACTCAAACTTCCGCACTGCAAGTCCATCGAGGTCCGTTCAACCGTCATTAGCTGATTTAGAATTTCCTCCTCCACCCGCTGATCTGCCTCCTCCACCGGACGAATCTTTCACCGTTCAGGAACAGGCTGATCTTCCGCCTCCCGTTCCTTGCGCTGATATTTCTCAAGTGAGGAGCTCTCCTCTCTCCATTAGAAAGGCGAAGAGTACTGATTGGCGAGCAAAAGAGGAAGACAGCGAACAACAAGAAGATAGGAACGATGTTAGTAACGCCGAGCCTTCAGTTAAAGAAGCCAGTTCGAGATTCGGGGTTAATCTGAGGCGTAGAGAAACTCAAGACAGCGTATCTAGACCTTCCGATAACAAAAGGACGGGGTTTAAGTCTAAAGTTGAAACGGTTGAGTCCGCTGCACCACCGGACGAAGCGCCACCTCCTCCCCCACCACCGCCGCCACCTGCTTCCGCGAATACAGCCCCTGATAGCTTCGAGCGTAAACCCGGTATGAAAGAGATGTTAGAATTGAAACTGATAAATGAGATTAAACAAAGCGCAGAGACAAAACATGGCGCGACCACGAAGAAAACCGGATTCGCGAGTAATACCCCGTCAGCTCCCTTGGATCCAGCATCGCAATTACTTTCGGAACTCTGTGCTAGTTTTAATATGGATTCTGGTCCAAGGTAGTTAAAGTTCACAGGTTTTCGTTTTATGTTATATCTAGTTACAAAGGATTATCATTTTAATCTTTCATTAATTAGATATCATACATTTAAATACTATCGCAACCCGTATATTGTTCAGATTTAGATTTAATGTTAGTTTATTTTTTATTATCACAATAGACACGCCCAAAACGAATACGCTGTGTCGACATTAAAAACCAACGAGGCGAGTCAAGATCAACAGCAACAAACACACACTATTTACAAAGATTCATCAGTGTCCTCTCCAGTGACCGAGTCTATTCTCTCCGCTGGAAACGTTGGGTTTAAATTGAAGAGAGTGGATAAGCGGAGCAATCCGCAAAAGGAAGAGATCACCGACGGACAAATAATTGATTTCAAGGCAAGATTGCGAAAAGTCGAGAACGCGGAGAAGGAGAAACCGTCGGAGGAGAGAAGTAACGTCACTGAGCAATCCTCAGAATCAGAAGAGCAACAGGATGACAAGCGTAGAAGTACTGGCAGTATCAGTAGTTTAAAGAAGCTTTGGGAAAACAAGGAGTCCTGTGACAGCCAGCCTCATAGTCCAAAGCTTAGTGTACGAGGAAGCAGTGGCAAATCAGAAACTCTTGACCCGACGGAAGACTCGCCGGAAGATCATAGTGGAGCTTCAACCCGTAGTCAGAGGTACACAATGCAATGTTCACTTTCAACATATAAATTTCCTATAGGGTGTAAGGCTAAATGTGTTAAAATCTCTTAGTTCTGAAGATAGTAGTGGACAACACGTCTAGCTTTACAGCCTATATGTGTACCTTCAAATAAATATTTTATATGGTATTTTAAATTCTTATTTATAGTTCTGGTAGCAAAAGCGATACTAGATTATGGCCACCACCTGAACCAGAGAAACCTGCCGTACCGGCGAAGCCATTGAAGCCTCTCTGTTCTTCGACAAAGCATTTCTGCTCTTCAATATACGCGACACCGAATTGTACGAAGTCTCAACACACCGAGGACGACTTGAGCAAGCAAAACACAGACTCGAGAACCGCGAAGCAGGCTGTTTTGGAGCTGTCGACGTTAATCGAGAGCAGCGTACTAAATCTGAAAAGTAGCTCGACGATAGTAATGACCAGCTGGCTTCAACTCTCAGACAAGGTAGGGCTGTTGCACGGAATGTGCGCGAACCTTGCGGACAGTGGCATCGCCCCGCACGCACGGTTTCAATTCCGCGAGCTTCTGGCTAGACTAGAACTTCAGGCGCGGCAACTTCGCGCTGCTGGTACTCGAAATGTCGCAGAGAATACAAGACTCCTCGCCGACTTGCAAAACACGATAAAAGATGTGGTCAATGCCGTGCAAAGATAAACCAGGGAGACTGACAACCATATTCTCCATCCGTGTCTCCACCCTTGTTCTCGTCCTCGTTTTCATCCGGCACAGTATGGAATGTTTGCGCGTCTACGCTCGGTCAGACATATTCTTTTGGACTTCTTTGAAGACCTTTTTCGGTTTGTGTTTCTTTTTCGTGTTAATAAGGGAAGTCTACGATTGGGATATGCGCTATTTTTTCGTGATACCCAATACACTGTGTAGTGCTTGGGGTGTATAACCTAACTTCCGAATATTATTGGGTGTATGCAATTTTTATAGCCATTGCATGTTTGTTGATATCATTGTTTTATTTTATTTTAACCAGGGAGAATTCAGTCAATGCTAGGAAAAAGGCAAAATATTATAGGAAACAAGAGAAGCAACTTTAAGTAACAGATGCTTAGTGAATGTTTAGTATTAATAAAGATTTTCTATGGAGAAACTGCTGTTTCTTTTGCATACACCTAATAGTTTGTAACGTTTTATGGTTGTCATAAAAAAGTACTTTAAAAATTAAACATTTCAAAGTGTTCGCTTGTCTCCACTAAAAGTAAAGATGTAATCACTCAAAATGTTTAATTTGTAATGTTATTTTTACAACAGCTGTAAGATGTTAGCAGTTGATATTCGAAACTTTAAGTATACACATCATACTTTACATTTTGTGTTAGGTTTTAAAAAGAAGTACTCGTCTGGATTGGGGATTTCCCTTGTGAGTACTATACTTCCATGAATTTGTTAACCCATTTCGGTTAGGATCCTTTCAACATGTTTCTCCTGTGTCGAACTTCGAAGTTCGTTTACAATACTTTCCCTGGAGATGACTTATATGGAGTCTGAATTAGAATGGCGGAGAATACACGAAGCCAAGAATGCTTAAGAGGAAGGCCTCGAGCCGAACACGGCCTCAGTTAATATCGGTTTGATGGAAAAGTAATAAAAATAAAAAAGGATATAAAAGTAGACACTGAATTATACATGAAAAATAATTCAATTTTCCATCGACACATTTCTTATTATAGACTGCGATTAGTCATTTTTGTTCGAGTTTAGAAATATTGTTATTACTTGGTTGATATCAAAGCAAAGAACGGTCTGATGAGTCAAAACATAATCCACTGATATTTTTTATCAATTATGTTTTTCAATGAACAAATAGTTATTCTCAACAGTAATGTGTGTAACTAGACGTACGATAAGTAAATAAGGATCAAACGTACTGGTTCCTTAAATCTTTTTAACGATAGTTTTAAACTTGTATTAAAACGATGAGCAATCGCAGTTCATCAAAAACGAATAAATATTATGTGTATACATATAGTATATGGGCAACAGAAAAACGTACTTTTTGTACAATGTCAAGTCACACTTACTTTGTCAAATTACATGTTATTACTTTTACGTCGATCCAATATTTCGTCTGCATAAATGAAGTTCTACGTGAATCATTAAACTCGTCCGCTATACAATAAATGTGGTGATTATAGTTGTCGAGTAAAAAAAAACGTCTCGGTGTTCTTTCATCGGACTTTCTTGCGCCGTGCTTCGTAATATCGTACGCAAAATCATAGGCTATATTATAAATCATAAGTGCGAAACTTTTAACCGAATAAGCCATTTTAAATGCGTGAGAGGATGTAACAATTTTTGTATTTGTATAGAGTAAGTCGAATAACAGGTATGCTTAAACAGTACAGTAAGACCTCGATTACACAAACTATTCAGAAGAATGTCGCTACGTTGATGAACTTATCGATTGATCAGACGCAATTGTCAATCCCTTTTTAATTATGTTTCAATTGTTATCTATTTCATACTGTATTGCAAAAGCGATTTATATCAAGTATTTGTTCTGATTAATATTTTTGACGCGGTAATCGTACTAAGCGGGCAAAACCTTAAAATCTTCTTGAATCACGATAGAAATTATCGAAGTAAAATACTTAATACTCGTTAATCAAAAGTTCGATCAAGCATTTGAAGAATCAAAAATCGAATTTATTATATGGTCGAAGAACCTCGAAGTTCTACTGTACATTTACGTAAATCAGCGGATGTAATTAATCCAATTTTGAAGCATTTTATTTTGTCTGCACCATCACGTAGACGTCCTTCCAGAACTGCTGATGAAAAATCCGGATATTTTTCGAAGATTTTAAAAGTTATTCGTTAATTTATACTTTTTTTTTTCACTTATTCACTTTTAATGATAATGCAATTGCATTCATCAATTTTAACAGTGCACAAATTGTTTTTAATATAGATTTTAATTTCTACAGTTTGACTGTAACATATTTCATTCGTCTGATTTCAAAGATTTTAAACGAATTGAGATTCATTAATAGTGTATTTTATTATGAGATCACGGTGCATTTCGAGCTGTTAAACGTAACAGCATTGTGTTTTTATAGTCTTCCATGGACAGATTCCGGAGTCTTTAATTTCTTTTATTCAGCCACGTAAAAGTAAGACATACGCAACGAGAATGAAATACTACTCTATTCGCCAATCAAGCCGTTTCTTCTTGTAATACTGCCTACGTTATGGCTCCTAGAATACATCGATCAACAATGCTAATTATGCGAACCAGGATTTCCCCTTTTTCGGTCCAATTACTCGGTTTGTGTTGAATCGTTTGTACCTGTGATACACCGATCGACTTATCTGTATCGTCAAAGAAAAAAGAGGGAAAAAGGAGGGAGAGAGGGTGGAAGGAAAGGAATAACCTGAGCGATCGTACGAACGAATCATTGAGAGACGAGAAGTCCTAGGTGTATAGATTTTTGACTGGGAGTTTCATCAATTTTTAGTTAGTCACATAAAAGTATTCAATGAAATATTATGTGTAAATACGTAATCATTTTAAAGAAATCACACATACCATCGCATAATTTAATATTCGTACCATAACATTGTAGGGGATTGTTAGCCTAATTATATATAATTTTCATGTTTTAAATATTTTTGATTCTTATTAAATCAAGGATCATGTATTACGAAGACTGTTTTATCTATTGTAGGCAGACAGCAAACTGTGAATTTTTTAATCTAAAAACTGTATGTTGTATGTAACTATAAAATCTTGTTTAATTATTTTAGTCCTTAAGAATAGTTATTAGTATAAACTAGAATGCAGTTGATACGAATAGAAAATTTGATGTGTGATTTCTTCAAAATTTAAGTAATTACAGGCAATATTTATAGGATTTATCAAAGAATATCAGAAACTATAGATTGACTGATGTTTCAATCAAAAAGCTTTATACCTAGAATTTCTTAGAATCTGACTAATCAGTGGATGTTTAAGTTGATGAGCCATCAAAGGATATGAAATCGATGTTTTATACGATATGTATCATAGTAACATTTATGTCTAAGTATTTATATCTATATTTATTTTTAGTTCTTTCTCGTGTAAAGTTATTCCTAAATGATCGACCAACGTACTGATTCACTAATACGAAAATTTTAATATCGCTTTATACATTGATATAAGACCGACGATAGAAATAAAAAGGAATATTGAATCAAACAGTTCTTTGACAAATTTTCGTGCATTCTTATTTTATGTTCTAACTCATATTATCTGCTATTTCTTGTACTCGAAAACAATCGCTTACAATTTTCCACTTATCCCCCATTGCTGTAATTAGGAAACTTTGGTTGAATGGTTTTGTTGTTTCATCATCATACTTTACATGTCCACCAACTTTCACAAGGAATGTCAGTTGATTTGCCACTTCAGGACCTATACATGCATACAGTGATATACATTACAAAACTTGTTTAACAAACAATGTATTGTACTTCCTAGGATCAAAATTTACCTGTTATTGGTTGAGCATCTAAGGTAAACACATTATGCTCTGAAGGTGGCAACTCTGTCCAAAATTTCTGTATATTATCTTTACCATCAATACCATTTCCATTCCAAATTAAAGTTCCCGTATCCAGATATAACCTTGATATAAGCTAAACATAATTTCAGATTATTTATTTATTACTTCCAATTGCTTAATCCTGTTCATGATGAATTAGATTTTTCTGAATAGCTCATTCATTCATTAATTAACACAACAATCTGTATATATAAATATAAATTATATAATAATATAGATATACTATAAATTTACTTTCTCAGAACAGTAATTTTAAACATTATTTAATATTAAAGCACTTACGTATCTACGTTTGTCTATACTTTCATAATAAAGCTTTGTAAATTCTTCAGCTGTACGGCAAGCTTCATCAATCTTACTTTTTAAATCCTACGAAACAATAAACATTAATTACCGTGTACAATGTTCCTTTATTGTAGGCAAAATAATATTCTTTAATATACCTGCTCCATTTTTCATAACTACTGATTAAACCAGGTTTATAAAGCTTAAATGTATTTTCTTCACTATAGTGTTACGAGAAACGAAAACATAACCCCTGCAAAGTGAATAAATTTTTCGTAATGAAAATACAAGAATAACAACTGGTTATCATGACTGATTTTTTATTAGAATTAACAGTTTATATATTTCAAAGTAGTATTAACTAAATGAGTACAGAAAGCAAATTGTTTTCGTATCTTCTGAACAACAGAATTTCAAAAACATTGCAATTTATCACTAAGAGACTAAAATTAAAATCATGTGATTACATTTTTTCTTATTTAAATACTTGATGAAAAATCTTGACATCAGTTTTTACTGAAATTTGGGCTGTCCAAAAATAGTTAAGTTAAATAAAATTGTTATATTTTGTATCTCTTTATATGACAGTATGAAAAAAATTAATAAAATTATTTTTCATCTATGATTATATTGTTACTAATTAAAAAAATATATCTTTCTTATTAGAACGTTTACCAAATCTTTGAATCACATTGCATATCGATGCGTGAGTTCTTTTAATCATAGATTTAAAAGCATCTAGATAAAGCATCAAACATCTTTCCAGAAATGAGGTAGAAATAAATGTGTCTTTAACTGTTACGAAATTTTCAAGCCCAACTAAAGTATTTTATAAAAATATTTATTGAGGATTTAAAATCTGATATTCAAATTTATACAATTTGTTGCGAAAATTGACTCTATACTTTTTGCCATTTATGATTAATTAGTACAAGTAACTCTCATAAGAGAGCGCAAATTAAGTGTGAAACTTGAGTTGCAGAAGTTTGTAATGTCTTCAGTTACTTCATGATTCAGAACGTATTCAAATTCTCAACAAAAGTCCCAGATAATGCTAGTTATTTATCGCACAAAACATAATTTTAGTGTTGATTTATATTATAAATATTGATGAATTTTCCAGGAATCTAATTTCTGTTTTCTGTTTCTTAGTTATGATGCATAACTATAATATAAACATCTTAGTTCGATCTAATTTAAAAGTCGCGCCTACGTCTGTAGGATATTAAGGTGGGTATCCAATTCAGAACATTTTCTCTATCATATAGTAAACATAATTTTTACTTTATTTTCTGCTTCTTAGTTCTGACGCAGGAGAAAATTATTACAAGTAATGACCGATAAAAATAAATAATACAGGTGCGCATTGTACTTAAAGAAGTCCTAAGCAATCATATGTTATATAATGAAATAATTCAATTATATCGTCAAATTACCATTTCTGTTCACTTTTCTTGAAATTTAGACAACTAGAAGCAAATTCAATTATAATCCCACGTATAGTGAAATTACCAGAGGTTTTCATTCTGCTCCGTTTCCAGAGCCGCTGGTGGCCAGTGGATAACAGCGATCGCGAGATCTCGCCGTGTTCTCGCGAGGTCACGTGACTCCGCGCTCAGACAGTTATTTTTTTAGGCATGATGGCGCCAAACAGCAGTATCCACATTAATGTAAATATAATATCGATTCGGTGCACCGCGCGAGGAAGAAAGCCATCGGGTGTCCTTACGGCGGCTATTTGAGGGCGTCGAGCGAGCTCGACAGGAGCCCTCGGCCCACGAAGTGAGTAAAACCGAGCTAGTCGCGGCTGCGACTCGAATCGCTAATGAGGACATCTTGGTTAGGCTGCCGTGACAGAGGCGTACTCGGACTACTGCCATCTCGGAGCTACCGATCGAAGAATAATTCGATCCTTGACGATCAGACGTACCGGCTATTATTCGTCACGTGCATCATCGCGCGCGAAATCACCCTCTCCGTCTCTAGATCAATAATAAGGCATTTACTGCCTTCCGACCATCTCTATCTTTTTCTCTCTACCTTTCTCTCTCTCTCGCTCTTCGCTCTTCTACGTCTGGCTCTCTCTTGCGCGCGCGCGTGCGTGTTCCATGTCGCGTGTGCGTGTCGAACTTGTGCTCGCGTGTTCGTATCCACACCGTGTGCCTGTGTGTTCCTATTCACGTTCGCGGCGCACCTGTGTATTCACGTCGCGTGTGCGTACACTTCCTTACACTCGTGTGCATGTGCATTCGAATTCACACACATACGTGCGCGGTCAGATGTGTATACCTGTGTGCCGAGGTTCGTGTGCGAGTCGAGCCTGTCGCCATCTGTATTGTCAATGTTGTCGGCCAGCAGGAGCACCACCAGCCCAATGGACCCGTGAGCATTTTCGACTCTCCGCCCGATCTTCTTCTAAACGTCTATTCTCAACCGCAAGCCTCGACTTCCACGTGTCGAGTCATCAAAACTCTTACGGCGATCCTCCACGGCCGAGCCTCGGCGCCGCTCGAGCGTCGCCGCGGAGTAACTCCGTCGCAATGTTTACATGCCACCCGCCACGGCGACCAGTTTCTCGGAGATCCTCGCGCTTTTGCAACCGCTCGGGGCCTTATAGCGTCACGGACAAACAGTTTCGTTCGAATTCTAACTCTTCCTGCTGGACTGGCCCATTTATAACCTCTCCGCGGCGGCCATCGAGGATCAACGGCCGCAGACCCCCTGCAATACAATCGGTTCATACCATCAGCCCTTTTGTCCGATTTTTATGTTATCAAACAACTTTTGCGTCGTTAGAATTCTTACACAATACACTTTATTGTGCGCCAGTTCTCTCAATTGTGAATCTGTGTTACTGAATACCTGTCCATCAGAGTGGTACCTTTGTAGAATCACCTTGCGAATGAATGCTTTGTGTCTTACGCTTGTGATCTCTGTGTAATACCAGTTGCAATGTACGTTTTAGTTTTCTGTACTGTATAGCAGTATCTTCAATTAGTTTTGAAGACATTGGTTCAGAGTGCATTGTGCGAAACAAAATCGAGTAGTTACATTCCACCTGTTATTTTTTTCTGTGCGTTCAACACTATACATCAACATTGTGTTTATATTCCATTTTCATTCATTTCATTCGCTATTTTTCACTTGTTCCTTGCAACTGGTTATTGATTTATATTTATTTGACATGGAATGTAAAATTTTACGTATGTACAATGATTTGTTGTCACTTTAACTTAGTGTATTCTATATATTATCTCTTAGCATTGAAACTTTATTTTGTGTAATATTTTTATTGAAATAACATAATGTATTACAAGTATATCATTATTTTTAAGAAATTATCAAGTGTACATAGGAAATCACTAATAGCAACAAGACTAATTTCTTATTTCTGTGAATAAGCTTTGAATCAAACCTCTGTTTTGTTTTAAAGGAGGACAAACTTACAATTGTGTTCCTTTTTGTTACAGCTCCAAGAGGAATCCGCTTTCTAGATAATAAATACATGGACGACTATGTAGTGAGTAATCAAATCAATATTTTATTTTCTGATTTCATTATTTTTATTTGCTTGACTAAAACTAATACAATTTTCCAGGGTGTGCGCGGCTCACCTGCACGTGCCACGTACCGCTAGCTTACTTGGTATAGTAGAATGGCACAGCGAGGCAAACGAATAAACAGAAACGACAATGATTTGGCGTCTTGCCCAGGCGCGATCAAAAGGCGCAAATGTAGGCTGGGTCCAGCGACGGGTTCGTCGTCGCTGGCAGTTGCCATGGGGCCCTCAGAAGAGGAGGAGACGATGGCGTCGTCCAGTCAAGGAGGGGCATCCTGGACCCCCAGACCTCTTAGTGACATCAAAATCTCTAGTATATACAATCGCTCCTCTGCTGAGGCTCCAGCAGAATTATTTCGTAAAGATTTGATCAGCGCAATGAAATTACCTGACAGTGAACCATTAAGTCCCAATGAGTATTGGGTCATTACCGATCAGTGGAAGCAAGAATGGGAGAGAGGTGTACAAGTACCTGTGAACCCAGACTCCCTTCCTGAACCTACAGTTACTATCACCCAGGCAGCACCTGTAAAACAGCAAAATGAGTTTAAACTGTAAGCTTTTTTTTATGAAATTTATATTTTTCTGATGTTACTTCAAGTAAACTGTAACTCTGAAGAGTTTAAATTGACTAAGAAAGTCTTAAACAGTGGTTTTTTTTATTAGGAAGAATTCACTTTATTCCAATTAAAAATTAAAACCGTATGTTTGTATTGATCATAAATTGATATTTAGTATGGTGTAAAAAGTAGGTCAGTAGTGGAACTTCAATTGGTTTACACTTTTATGGAGCATACAATTTTATAGAACCATGTATTTTTTGCTGAACATGTATCACTATTTCATAAAATATTTTAAAGTTCCATTCTGCACATAAAGTATATATTTTATGAAAAAGATGAATATGTTCAAATTAAGCTTGTTCTAATCATGACTACACAGAAAGTATTATTTTGTAATCTAGTTTTAATAAGTTTCTTTGATAACAATGCTTTCATAGACCTAAGAAATTCGTAAGGATATCTCGTGACGACTACTTCAACTCTGAAGATCATCATTTAAGTACAACACCAGCACGAGCTGAGAAAGCTTGTGCTTATGACCTTGATGACACTGATATTGCTTGGTTGGATGTACTAAATGGCGAACGTGCACAGGTACAAACTGTAGTTTTAGCAAACTACTTTTGAAAATACAGTCATAATGAGAAATGTATAACACAATGAGCAAGTAATCTAGCTTTGCCCTTCTTTGTTTATTTTTCATTGTACTTCATATCTTCATCTTGATTAACTATTATTCATAATGAAAGATATTTCAATTTATTGCAAATTATTGATGTATAGTTAAAACTTTAAACAATTGTAGTATTATCATATAAATGGTACTTTAAATTATTCTATTTGCATTATGCACATATAGATTTTTTAATACAGCAAAATTTGTATAAAGTGTACATGTTACATAAGCTCAACTTTATTTCATATCTTGTAATATAAGTATAAAGTGAACATGTTACAACAGTATTTCAAAAGTGAATTTGAAACAATACTCCCTGACGTTGATCGTTGATATTTTAGGCCGGTCAATTGCCAATCACAGAGACGCAACTGGAACGCGTGATAGAAGAACTGGAAGTTCGTTGTTGGGAAAGAATACAGACTATTGTGAAGAATGAGGAAGGTCTCGGCATTGAATACGATGAAAATGTAATATGTGATGTCTGCAGATCTGTGAGTGATTTTTCAATAATATTACGAACATATTTATCAAAAGGTCTGTTCCATAATGTGTGGTTTCGTTTAATTTACCATTAGCCCGATTCCGAGGAAGGAAATGAAATGGTATTCTGTGACTGTTGCAACATATGTGTGCATCAAGCATGTTACGGAATCACCTCGATACCAGATGGTTCCTGGTTATGCAGAACTTGTTCTCTAAGTCAACGACCAGATTGTGTTCTTTGTCCTAACAAAGGTGGTGCTATGAAGTGTACTCGAAGTGGCCAAAAATGGGCACATGTCTCTTGTGCTTTATGGATCCCAGAAGTCAGCATTGGCTGTGTCGAAAGAATGGAACCTATCACTAAAATATCCAGTATTCCGGTACATAAAATCTATTTTGCGTATATTTATAAGCTTGTAAGGAATAGGTATCTCTCTTTTATGAAAAAAGATATATATGTATTATATTAGTCGTTATTTAGAAAATAAAATTTACATATTAGTATTATCACCATCGAACTTTGATTACAGCAAAGTCGTTGGGCTCTGATATGTGTGCTATGTCGAGAAAGGGTCGGTGCTTGTATCCAGTGCAGCATAAAGACGTGCAAGACAGCTTACCACGTGACGTGTGCCTTCAAATACGGCTTGGAGATGAAGGCAATCATCGAGGATGAAATGGCCGATGACGGAGTGAAATTAAGGGTACTTTAAACTTGCAACATTATAAGAGAATAATTGAATACTTTTTTTTTTAATTATAAGTATGTCTCATAACGGAAATACGGAAAATATACTTATAATTTTATTGTGGGAATAATATTAAAATGTAAATTAAAAAAGAATACTAGATCGTAAATCTGCACAATTTCGATACGTAAAGTTATTCAATTTGGAAGTTTTTTTTAAAAAGCAAATGTGAATGTTTAATTTACAGTCTTACTGCCAGAAACATAGTAGAACGAATACGAAAGATAAAGTTCAAGGGGCAGGAGGCAGTATAGGAAGCGGAGCTGACAAAGCAGGATCAGATTCTGAGGATGCAGAATCTAGAAGACGTAAGAGGAAAGACATGACTTCCGAGGAAAAGAATCAAGCACGCGCTGCAAAGTACGCATTTTAGTTATCGTATTGTCTTCAATATTTCTCATTACTTACTATGTATTCCTCTTATACATCCATTTAATAATTAAGTAGAAAAATTCATTTTGCTGTTTATAACTCATTTTTCAATAAAAGTTCTTCATTTACAATACAAAACATCGCATATATGTATACATTTCTTTTCTATTAGATTGCAAGAAATCGAGGCAGAATTTGACAAGCACGTGAGTTTCAAGGATATTGCTTCCCAGCAGTTGGATGTGGATCCTGAAGGCATTATCTACATTTATAATTACTGGAAACTTAAAAGAAGAGTAAGTAGCTTTTGAATAGATGATATTGGATTGGAAAGGTTATTTTTTATCACTTTATTACTCTTTTTCTAATGTAGTGTATTTGTATTATTATTTAAGTTAAATCGAACAAACCTCTAAGTTTTAATTATATTTATTACCAATTTTCGTTTCAATCGTTACTAAAGTAAAACACATTAAAATGGATGATTATTTTAATTCTTTAGGCTGGTCACAACAAACCGCTGTTAGCACCTCGCTGCGGAGAGCTTTCCGGAAGTGGTTCTCGCAATCAGGGCCAAGCAGCTGATCTCGAGAAGATGAGGACCTTTGTTCAGTTACGCCAGGATCTGGAGAGAGTTCGAAATCTCTGTTATATGGTGGGCAGAAGAGAGAAGCTCTGTCGGTCTTTCCTCAGATTACGGGAACAGACGTTCCACAAGCAGGCATTGGTGATGTCCGGTCCTCCATTACCACAGGCTGCGGCGGCCGCAGTAATGGAAGCTAATCACGGGCCCTCGATTTACGATCGTCTTTATTCCCATCCCGATTCCGAGGATCATACTCACGACTTCGATACAATCGTCGCCAGAATCGCTGGAATAGAATCACCGACTAGCGATGACAAGAAAACACAACAGCAACAGTCGCAGCCGCAGTCGCAGCAGCAGCAACAAGACTTCAATGGTGCCTCTAGTAAAAAGTTGTATTTCAATGGCTCCGTCCGAAGAAAGAACCTCTATGGCAGTGATCTGTCGTCTGTTAGCAGCAGCGAGACGGACGCGACGAAAGCGAAAACATCGGAAAAGAAGGAGCTTAAGCTGGAGACTGAATCGAGCACGGAAGAGGAAACCAGTGTTTCGACGAAAACGAAGCTGCCTCGGAGAAAGACGAAGAAGAGTAGTCAGCAGGTGGACAAGTTGCTCAAAGAGAACAACGAGAACGAGAAGCTTGTTAATAGTAGATCGCACACGCTTCAGCATATGGAAAAGGAATTAGGAAGCGCTTCCGGTAGTGAAAGTGACGAACTACTGCCTTTAAGTGCCGGAACGACGAAACACCTTACTGCGTCGGCTATTTATTCGGACACTGATTCAGACTCTCAGGAGCACACGTCTCATTCGGCAGTCTTGATCACTAAAGCAGCAGTTAAAGAATTCTCCGCGGCGAATTTGTCGAAGAATTCACAAAAGAGCTTCAGTAAAGACCCCAGACACACAGAGTCCACGTATCATAATACTGGAACGAAAAACAAAGAAAATCAGAGCAAAATCAACACCAAAAAGAAAGAGTACATACCCTCGGCGTTAATAGTGCCTCAACGACAAGCGGCAAAGAAGGCCTCGGAGAACATGCAGCGCACGCAACAGAATAAGAAGGACAACCCGGTGCCCGAGGTTATACCGGAAACCGTGAAATCTCCCGTGGAGGAGATACCCAAGTGTTCCTCTTCTAAACCACAGAAGGAGAAGAGTCCTAGCAAGAAGCAGAAAGAAAGTAAACCTTCGAAGGAGGTCAAGAATAACGACGTCTACGATTTTGATAAAGAATTTGGCGATGGAACCGAAATCTTGGCATATGTGCCGCAGAGGCAAGCAGCAAAGAAGGCTGCTGAACATATAAAGAGTGGCATGGGCACCAAACCTGCGCAACAGCAGATGGAACAAGAAACACTTGATGGAAGGAAAAAGGAATCTCCTGAGAGTAGCAAACGGAAGGAACCTAGGAAAGACGATTCTTCGTCGTCTAGAAAAGAAGACTTACCTTCGAGAAAGGAGGAAACATCCTCCTCATCGTCCTCTTCGTCGTCCTCTTCTTCGTCCTCTTCGTCGTCTTCTTCGTCCTCTTCTTCGTCATCCTCCTCTTCATCCAGAAAAGAAGAAGTTTCTAGAAAAGAAGACTTGTCTTCGAAGAAGGAAGAGTCATCTTCGAGGAAGGAAGAAGTGCTTTCCAAGGATAATCGGTCGAGAAGACCACGGAAACCTAGTGAAAGGAAGTCAGCGCTTTCCAGTAATAGCGACAGTAGCAGTAGTAGTAACAGTTGCAGCAGTTCCACAGAAAGTAGCAGTGATTCTGAGAGTCCTGGCCGTCGAAGACTCTCGAATGATCTCAAGGATGCTTCTTCTTCCACCACTTCCTCGGAAAGCGATGCCGGAAACAAGACAAAGAGTAAAATTACAACGACTACGAATACGGCGAATAGGAAACCACAATCTGCTAAGGTTTCGCCAGAACGAGAACCTGAAAGTAAGCCAGTCTCAGGGCGGAAACTCAAGAAGCTGCCCGAGAAGAAGCTTAAAACTTCCGACGGGCGGCGGGGACCAGAGTTTCAGCCGCCTACTGAGAGAGAGGAATGGCGTAGAACCTCCAAGGAACAACAACCACAACAGCCACAACAGGAGGCAAAGAGGCAGGATCAAAGAGACAACAAGAAGCAACAACTTACAGCAGGAACGGGGACTAATGAGGATCTGTTCGGTGGGTCTGGAGATCATGATGGGCCAAGAAGTGTTTCTGGGCCCAGGCCTGCCAAAAAGTCTGGTCAGACTGTCAAGCAGCAGCCCCTGCCCCGAAAGGAGGACAACAAGGTTAAAACGGAGGGCAGAAAGCGAAAACCAAACGAGCCTGCCACCAAGGACGAAAAGAAAGAAACGATTAAAAAGTCGGAGAAACGGGTGAGCGAGAAACAAATCAAAGAAATCGAAAAGAAAGACGAAGAAGACAGTAGAAAAGAAGAACCGAAAGTTGTGGAACAAGAAAAGGCTAATGAAATCACAGAGAGCTACTCGAAGATCGACGAAAAGAAAGTTAAGAAGCTCGGAGGCAGCAAAGAGGCAGTGAACACACTAGAGGAAGAAATGAAGCAACGTAGAGCTGAGAGGGACAGTCCTAAGAAATCGCTGCGTGGTTTGGACAAATTATTAGAGAAACGGGAACATCTAGATAAGATATCGAAGAGCAAGAATTCAGAGGTGAAGCTCGAGAAGCCGGTCGAGGAGGAGAAAGAGGAAATGGAAAGCATCGAAGAACCTCAACAAGTAAAGGAAAGTATCAAGAACGAAGATCGCAAAAATCATATTAATGAAACCGAGACAATGATTGAGAAACCGAAACCGGAAGAGCAACTAGTGGAAGACTCCATTAAGAAGGATGTTGTGGAGGTATTGCAACCGGAAAAGATATCGTCTGGAAGGAAGTCTGAAAGAACCTTGGAGAACATTATCGAACCACCAACTACAGAACTCATCGTTCCTGTGGAAGTGAATCTTCAAAAAGACATGCCGGAAGAAGATACTGTTAAGATTGTTTCGGAAAAGATTGAGATCATAGAGAAAGATCATCAGAAGAGACGGAAATCTGGAAACCGATCGATCTTCTCACCGCAACACGGCAAAGATCCGAGCGTTTCCGAATTGTTCGACTTCGATCAGGACATGTTGACCGAGGAGATGGTGAACGAGGATGGATTCGGTATCTCCAGAGACCCGGAGGAGCGATCAGCGCCATTAAGCTTCTCTTTCAACAACGACCTATGGTTCAAGGAAGACTCGAAAGAGGATAGCGCAAGGGAGACCCTCCATCTCGTGGAGAAGCTGCGTATGGAGCTCTCGAAGAAGTCAAATTCTAGTCAGTTTGAATTAGAGGCAGTACCTGTAGACGGCGAGATAAAGAAGGAAGAACCACCAGTGGAGAAGACGTTCGAGCAACAACCACTGCAGCCACCGCAACACCAACAGCAGCAGTCGCAGCTGCATCTGCAATTGAATCAGCATCCAGAGAAGGAGATGAAGATTATCGAGTCCACGGAATCACCACCAGTCTTGGAAGTGAAGAATAACGTTGAAATGTCTGAAAAAGAGATAGCTGTTAACGACGTCCGTCCTGGTAGCTGTAAGGACACTATAGACGAGAAGAGGAAAACGTGTTATCCGAGTAACAACGACAGGTATACAGCCTACGAAGAGGACCGAGAGACGAACAAAGTCAGCCTGGTGGAACGTTCGAAGCTCGACCGTGCGGAAACGGACGAGAGATGGGTGCCACCGAGCATAAACAACTTCGAGCCCGCTGACGTCCAACACCTGAACGCTTTAATGGAAACGCAGAATCATCGATACGGCAATCATCAGTTCCCTAATGAAACTCTTCAAGAGACCGAAACACTGGCACGTTCTCACCTGAACGCGGCCACTATTCAAGAGCAATATCTTCTTCAGCAGCCGCACACTCTACTCCACGGCCAGCGTGAGGCGCACGAGAGATCGTTACTGGATCAACAGATACCCGAGGAGAATCCTATGGAGATGGTGAACAGACACTTAATAGGATTACCGGCGTCCGAAGACGATCAGGCCGCGGAGATGATGGACAGAGCATTGGAAAAGGAGGACGATGTCGTTAGACATCAAGAATACGATCAAAATTCACCGTACAACGACGTTAATGGCCGACCCGATACCAGATGGGCAGAGAGTCAAGTCTTGCCCTCTCGTAGATCCACATCTTCATCGATCACGTCCGCTTCGTCCGCCGAGGATCATTCTATTCCACCGTACAAGAACGTCCCGGGAATTCCATTTCCGCCGTGCTCGATGGAACAAACATATTACACAGACTCGAATTACGGCACCGGCCCAGTGTCCCTGTTTCCGCCTCAGTCTTGCGCTGCCTCGTTGCCATACCCATCTCCCGGAACGGCTCTCTTTCCTCCGGCCTTTGGCGCCGCATTTCCAGCGGCCCAGTCTCTGTTGCCGCACGTGAAGCCTCTGGAGGACTCACTGAACTTACAAGCCTCGCCCTGCACCGCAGCGTTCACGTCTTCCTCGCACAATATGGCGCTCACCGCAGCGATGGTCTCGCCCACTAAAATAGCCACACCGCCGCCGCCACCGCCGCCGCTGCCTCCGCCTCCACAAATACCACCACCCGCTGAAACCATCGACAGGACTCAGCAACAGACACAGGTCACCGAGACACCATCATTGCCCATAAACTTCTTGAACACTATAACTCCTGACAGCCACGTGGTCGAGCCTGTCGTCGAGACCATACCGGAAGCTTTAACGGACACCAAGATCCAACACTCCGGGAAGAAGTCACCCTCGAAGCCCACCAGAACATCCGCCAGAGTTACCTCGTTGCAGGGTAAATCACCGGGCAAGTCTCCCCGACAAGAGGCTCAGAGAGCTGTTCCTGGATCAAGGGGACGGGGCAGAGGGGCAAAGAGCTCGGCTCAGCATTCCGGCTACCACCGAGGTCGTGGTCGTGGACGAGGCAGAGGACGAGGTAGGGCTCAAAACACCGTCTTGTCGTTGGTCTCTGGCGTGAGTGTCAGTCAACACGACGACTCTATCCAGAACAAGCTGGTCGGAACGGTTTACGATTTCGACTCGGACGAAGACTCCACCAGCGAGGCGAACATCGCTGATTTACGCACCATGAGAGAACGAAAGAAGTCGACGGACGCCGCGTCCGCTGGCGTCGAAAGGAGAGACTCGACTGTCGTGGCCTCCGAAAGCGTCCAGTCGAGACTCAGTCCCGGTGTCGGCCGGAAGTACCTGGAGGACAGAAGGCTCTCCTGTTCACCAGGTCACGAAGACTCCGCGATCGTGTCCAACGAGTCGAATGCCGGACAAAGCTTCGATGCCGTCCTACCGTTGCTCCCTGGTCCCGTCGACATGAGAACGTACAATTCCACTCTGGACGCGTCCAGCTCTTCCACGTTGCACGGTCAGAGCTACGAGAATCATTTCCTGGGCACGTTCACCAGCGTATCGACCAGCGATCCCACGCTTCCGGACATCGAGGAGGACCTGGAGAAGGAGCTTAGGTCCGCGATGATCGGTAAACAGGGCCAGGAGGACTGTTCGAAGCCGAATTTCGACGCGAGCATCGACGCCTCGTCGTCCGGTTATGCGGACGCCAATAAGGTCTCGTTGACGGACTCGCGGAACCAGTTGAAGGTGAAGATCAAAGGTCCGTTCCTGGACGCGAATTACGTTCCCGCCTCGTCGGTACCACCGTTGGCGCAACAGGCACCGGTGATCATTGCACCGGCGGCCACCAGCGCTTCTGTCGCATCGGGAACGTCGAATCTCAGACGGATGCGAAAGAAGGAGTTGCTACGGCAATACTGTTCCCAGGACATGAACATGGACGAGCCAGGCTGCGGGAACCTAGCCACGTCCGCGCCGATCATCATGCCGCCGATTAATCGCACGGTGATCACGATACCAAAAGCGGTCGCCTCGATGACCAGTATACCGACCAGAGAGGACTACAAGGCGGTGGTCGACGCGAACATGGAGAAGAAGAGGCGGAAAGAACGACCAGCCGGGTTCCTGGACGCGAACGAAGAGGAAGGCGGTGTCGAAAGACGACGAGGCAGCGCCACCAATGGAGCCGGTTCCAGTGGAAACGCTCCAACGGCGAACGCCGATCGTCGACGAGGTAGACAGAGCAGTTGTGGACGGTCAACGACCACGACCACCTCGACTACCACCACGAACAGCGGTCCGCCGAAACTGAAGATCAAGATCGGTAACAGTATAATCGGCGGCCAGGAAACCGGCCAGGACGACCGTACCAGGATCAGACCTCCAAAGAAACGGCTGAGCAATATTCCAAGCAGCACACCGAGCATAGAGGAGTTACGTAGAGAGAGTATGAAATTCCGACGGATGATCATGGCTGGTTTTGATAACGACGAGAAACTCCGGCAGAAGAGCAAGAAGGACAAGAACGGTAAACGAAAGAAACGACAGTCCAGTCGAAAAGAGGCCAGGGTTCGTATCCTGGAAGGTGGTACTGCTCCACCGAAGCTGATTATCCGTTTGGGAAAAGGGAACGATTCTCCCGATGAATTACCGATCTCGCTCACGGACGAGGAAGAGGAGGAGGAGGAGGAACGACATCCGACCGACAGCCGGGTGGGACCACCGCCCCCTGAACCGGCGAAAGACGAACCGGTTTATCCGGCGGTGGCCGCGACCATCGAGGAGAAACAACCCACCGATCCGAACACCGGCGGAAGCGCGCCCAGGAACGTTCGTTCGGCGAAGGTGACGCCGATCCGATTAAAATTAACCCGTTGCCAGGAGGGTTACGAGCTGAAGGGCTCGCCGGTCCACGGCGAGGAGTCCAGTTTAATGACGGTGAAACCGCGGAGTCCCGAGCCGACGACGAACGAGGAGACGGTGAACAGGAGGAATCCATCCGTGAAGAATCAAGACGGAGAATCCTCCAGGGAAGACGACGAAGAGGAAGAGGAGGAGAGCAATAGCAATACCGTGCAAAGAGACTCCTCCGCGTGTCCTGCCGCGACAACTATACCGCAGGGATGCCAAGTTAGGTGATAATTAATGATACTCGTGGAGTAAAACGGAGCAAGAGGACACGGTGCTCGTTTAATTTCGATTTTTTACCGTCGAAAACGGACTCGATAAATGCAATTATGACCGCGGGTTGCTAAAACGATGTGAACGCGTTGCGTCGCCGTGATAAGGTGAAGAGAGAAAGGGAGAGAGAGACAGAAAAGCGTTCCATGAGGTACGGTTTATTTTTATAAGTGGCTGATCCAAAGTATTTAAGTTAATTCTTCTTTTTTTTTTTTTTTGTAGTCTGTAGATCTTTGTGCAGGGTGTTTTGTAATTGGAGCGACTGTATAGGAGGAAATAAGTGTTCCGGTAGTTGTGTGAAATGGGATAGGGTATTCTTTGAAAAGTTCCATTACTGAGATGATGCAGTGTTTAAATTAAGAAGGGACCTGAAGTTTTGTGGATTTACAATTATGGATTCTGATAGAGAGTTATTTTGAAATGCTGCTGAAAGTGTGTTAAACATTTACATTCATTTTTGTATTATTTTCTCATTTATATATAAAATCATCACCCTGTAAGTTGCAACACCAATTTTGGAACACTCTGTAGTCAATGTGGCGCTGCCGGTTTAGTGGGAGAACAATAAGACGTGTTTTCTTTTGAAAGATTAATATCAATCGATTTAATTATTTATTACCGACGAAGATCATTGATAATTACCATTTTTATGTTTTACAGATTATCCAGTACTTGGGCAAGAAATTAATTGCGTAGAAAGGTCCGAAATTATTAACGGTTGCGGTGGTACCCAGTAACTTCTGGTTTCTTGTCATTTGAGCACAGTGATTCACGAAAATATTCGACGGTTCACAGCCACCCAGTGTAACTCGGTATGTAAGTTATTCTCGACGGTTCTGAAATGTTACGAGAACGATAAGACTCAGCCCATCAGGAATACACCGACGAAAGATTTGAAAAGAATCTGATATAAAATACCTGTTGTAAGCATGTTCCGAATGAAGGACAGAAAGGTATTGAAATATAGTTAATATAACATAAATTATTACACTGTTAGACGTTAACATTTAGTTGGACCACATTTAGGGCTAAATATATGTATAATGAACTTTAGTTACGTTAATAGATTTTATCAAAATTAGCCAATGTGTAGACGATCGGTTGCGTTTTATCATGATTGTAATGATATTTCGAAATCTACAGTTTAACATACATAACGTTCACGCGCGTATTTGACATAACATTATTCGATTATAAATATTTGAATACTTTTGTGAACCACTGTATCTGTCCGGGTACCGCAAGTTCCATCTGGAACTCGAAATATTTAAAAGTAAGAACCATAACTGCCTTACAGATGATTGAATAAAAAAGAAAGAATATCTTAAAATGGGAAACGATGGACACATCGAGGAATTATAAATGTCGTCAGTGCCCACTAAGCCCACAATACGGTAACTTTTATTATTTTGCAAACAAGATTTTACGAAGTTGTAGGAAAACACAATTGTGCTTATACTGCGCTACTGATAATGTTTACAGACTTTTTTTTTCATTCGTTTTCAGTTTTAATTGTATTATGTGGAAGAAGTCATTATTAATTTCTCGGCATTACGAACGAACGTCTTTTATACAGACTTCACCTTCTCACGGCGACCGAAAACGTTCATTTTGGTGAGAGGAAACAAGGTGATAGGAACTTCTAAGATATACTCGTTTCGGACTCGCTACAAAGGACATTCTCCGACGTTATTGAAGAACCTATGCTCCTCGAGGAATCCGGTTTTATTCTTAACAATACTCGAGAGACGAAACGGGCGTGCCATTTCGCGGCGACGACGACGAAATGTCTACGTTTTTCCTTTTGCGAAAGAACAGATGAAGAACTGGTCGAGGCCGTAGACGAAGTTTTCTCCAGAAAATCTAATAGAAATTCAGCAACTTTATGTTTTAATATACGTTTTCTTTCATTTACAAATTTTTGTATATATCGAGGACGGTTACGTAACAAATAAAATTTAAAATCTCTTCATCATTTGTGATAATACAGAAAGTATTCATAAAGGAACATTTTTGTATCAGGAACCTGAATGATACATGAAATATTATATGTCTTTTCAAAAGTTATACTATTTTTTTTAAACACATTCCGAAATAAGAATAAAATAGCCTAGTTCTGTCAATTCACTTATCATATCGTTCTTGAAGACTTTCAAAATCATAATTTATTCGTCTCGTACCGATTCTAACACTTTAGGGGATATTCTTTCTCATGTTATTTACTATCTCAAAGGCAAGGGTCAAATATTTTCTTGTATCATCAAAAGTAATAACGATATTTCGAATTTTATTATCAAGTGGTCGGTCCTTGTATGTACACAAAAGAGAACTTACCAGTAGATCAAAAAGACGTAGTTGGGATTCTCGGAGGTGTTTCGTAAACGGCCTCGTCGGATCCTTTGCAGTAAGAACTAGTTAATTGTACATACTTGTAATCTACGATTGTATTTAGTTTAAGTCGATGAGACAGAGAAAGGGACGAATGATTGGACGACGCGTGTACGTGTGACTGTGTTGTGAGTGTGCGCGAGAGAATTTTCTAATCAGTGCGAAGCTTACGTGATGGCTGTGTTTTACCACGCGGTCCGATCTTCCAGGCAATCCTGGGCCGCGCAGAAACGTTCGGTAACAACAACCCGCCCCCCAGTAAACCGCTGGATATCACTTGGAGTGGTTCCCTCCCCTCAACGAGTGGCTGTCGCTCGATATTTTACACTAGATAAAAAATGAAGAAATTAATAATAGTAATTATAATAATAGTATGAGAGGAAAGAAAGCGGTCGAACGAACGGTGTGCACATTGGGCGGAGACATTCAAGAATACGCGATTGTAATTAGATAAAGCAAAATACCCGTCACGAGGACAATCCAGCTGCGCAGCAGCCTCTTTCTTTCTTTTTTCTTTTTTTAACGGAAAGTACAGAATTTAGTGAATCCGTATAGTCTGTCCGCAATAGTTGTCCATGATTACGCAGTTGCCCGTAGAGATACACAATAAATATACATAATACGCGCGCGTAGCGTAAACCGCGCGTCGATCAAAGCAAATTCGTAAGAACCGTTTAACGTAACGCATTCTCTCATCGTTTTTACGAGTTCATTTGATATTATATATAGTTATCTTAACCCGTCAGGACGTCGTTCTGTTTTTTTTTTATATATAATATATATATTATATATATATATATATAAAAAGAATATATTTTACACCGAGTACATATCGCACGACTTCTTCCACATTACGTAATATATATATATATATATATTACGTAATCGGTAATCTCGCGGTCGAGCGCGTCGAAATATATTCGATTCCCTCGAGGACAGCTGCGTAATTAACGGGATCGCATTCCCATGGACATATAGTTATTTTAAAAAAGGCTATATGAGAGGATACATCATTACGAGCTGTCCCACCGAACTTTGTCGTTACGAAATATTTTCCCCAGTTTTTTTTTTTAAATTCGTTCTGGGAATGTATATAGTGTGCTTTCCACAGGCACTTCATGTAATGAATACACAGTGGGTACAAAGAGTTTCTGCAAGATAGTTTTCACAAATAACTATACAAGTTGTTATTACTATCAAAACTTTTATAACGTAATGTTCAGCTGCAATAAGTATTGAAACAACTTACTCCATTGTATATTTCATCGTTTTTTTTTTCAATGTATGTATTATAAAAGAATTGAGTATACAAACACGTTTTATATCCACTGTATTTTCATTTTTAAGCACAAGCTTTTTTTTTATATAGAATTTCACCGTTAAATTGTTACATATGAAATGAACGAATTTCTGTAATCAAATTTCAAACGATTCTGTAAAACACTTTTACCAACGGACCGATGTCGCGTACACAAATGAAATGATTTATTATCAAAAAGAATAGAGTGACCTTCAATTGTCCTTGACATTTTCACTACATCGATCATCTGATTTACCATACAAGTACATCCAGCAAAACCGCATATCATTACAAACGGACTCCCCTTTTTAAAGTATCTTAATGGAAATGGGGAAAATATGTGAAACGAGAAATTCAGATGTGACACCCTGTATATGATCGCAACGTTGTCTGCATCCGGTTCCGGATCATATTGCGTGCTCGAGCAAAAAGAAATTTTGTTCTCATTTGGGGCTGGGGACGGGGGGGGGGGAGACTTCGCTTCCTTACGCGCGGGAATACGTAATTTCCGCCTCCGCCACCTCGTGACGATGGGAATTAATTAATTAATTAATCAAAGGAAGAAAATAAAACGTAACTTCTTCGCTCGGAATCCGGGGTACGGAATTTCTCTGCGCGGACCGGTGCACTTTCACCCTAGATCCAGTCAGTACATCTCATTACGTCCGCTGTTGCGTACTTATTGTTCTGTTTTCCTTTAATTTTTTTTTTATTACTACCACCGTGGGAATTTCCGTTATGTCCAATGAAACATTTCAGAGTCAGAATCAGACTTTTTTTTAAAGAATGTAATGCGGAGATTTTTCATGTTAGCGATAATTCTGTGTATTTATAGTTATCTACCTTTTAATTTTGTTCTTTAAATATATATATATATTATGTACAGAGTGTCCCTTTAGAAATACCGTATCCGAGACACGTAAAGATTCCTGGGCTAACAGTACGATGAATTCCTAATGTATACTCTTTTTTAGTTGTTGTCTATTTACGTCTTTTAAATTATTGACAGGGTGACAGATCGTAAAACTACCATATCCGTAACTTTATATTGTACGCGTGTTTATCTAGGACGAACCGAGATTGTACTGTTCTGTGTTTGTTTTTATATGAATTTTGATATGCCAACATTTGTGCAAGAAAACGTAACGAAACGTTTTTTTAACGTTTATGAACACCTTGTAATATGTCTTTTTTTTTTTGTTTTAAATCTTCTTGCTCGATATTTGTCTATTTTACGAGAGATTTCATTTAATGGAACCTCCGCAGATGATAATGGAATTGTGATCGATGAAACAGTATAAAGGAACATTTTAGAATTTTATTTTTTTCTAACTTAATATCGATTTTTCGAGCCAGAGTGGCAAACTTTTTTTATGATATAATCAAAGGATCAAGGTGAAACGTAGTCGTGAATCGCAATAAATTTGTGCAGGAAGTGACGATGCAATACGGTGCGAATGCATAGAATTTTCTATATACAATTCGTTTCTTTTCTTGCTCATGATACCAATGAAATAACTCACGGGGGCAACGTTTCAAGATTGCCACTACTTTTAGCTCAAGAATCTATTTATGGTGCATAATTTTATCATTGAAATTTTTGTCAATTATATATAAACCGAACATTCTGACCATCATTAGAAAAATCGTTTACGTAGATCGTTTGTGTTTTTAAGTCAATCCCCGGAAAGCCTCGAAACTATGTCGGCTAACTGGGGAGATCCGTGTACCGGAAGTACATTCTATCTCGCTCAACAACGTCGATTTTGTTTCTATGTTTTGATATGTATATTTTTTTTTTTTTTTTTATAATTTATATCATCGATATCACCCAGCAATTCTGTACACTTGTCCGAGGCCCACGTTGCGTGGTCTTCGGCCGATAAAAAATAAACGAGACAGCAACACGTTCATCACGATGAATTTGTATATAAGAGAATTAAAGTGGCAACGCTGAAATCAAGTCGTGAATTTTAATCGTTTCGCGGTGTCGAGACTGGTTCTAGGATCGAAACGGATGTTAATATTATATATTGAATAGTTAGAATCCTGAATTCTGAGAGGAGGGAATAACGTTGCGCGCCTGGAAGCCGGAGAGAGAGAGAGAGAGAGAGAGAAAAAATAAAAGAAAAATCTCATCGGCGATAAGCGGAGCCTATTGTGTTGTACAGAAAGAGAGAGAGAGAGGTATGAAAGTAGAGAGTGAGAGAGAGCCAAATGGAATCGTTTTATTTCGAATCGTTTCTTACTTACGCTAAGCATAGGAAAAGAATCCGATAACGATGAATTTTCCCATAAAAGAAAAGCCGTTGTACGTGTCCGCATGTGACCACGAATGCGGACCCATATGACGAGCCGGACACATACGCGAGACACATATATAAATATATAAATATATAAATAGTTTTATTATATTGCAAAGTGAAATAATACAATATTTAGCTACTGTATATAATGTAAAAGAAAAAGCTGGTCTTGTAAGATACGGATTAAGGTGTTTTAATGTGCACATAGCCGCGTCATTGTCAATAATCATATTATTACGATTAATAATAATTACAGTTTTTTAAAAAAAACGAGCGTGGAGATTGTTGAATTGTATCTTGTCTATCTGTATTCTTCATCCCTTTAATAGTTATCATGGAATTATTTATTTTTTAATAACAGTTCATTCTTTCATTTTTCTTTCATACTATTAACCATTTATTTCAATACACCTTCTTTAAAGCTTACAACATAGTACACTCAAATCTGTAAAATAGAGTATAGAATTTATTCTGAAAGACTTTACAACGAATGTCAAAGATTTCGTTCTTTTAGATTACTTTAGAATATTATTTTCAGGTAACTTCGATGCAACTTGAAAGGAGTAAAGAAACTTAATTTCAAACATTAAAAAAATATGTACTTTTGAAATGATTGTAATGCTTGGTCTTGTTCACTACCAGAGGGCAGCAAAAGATTTCAAATTTAAGCCCAATAGACCAAACTGTATTAGAACTTGTTTATACATTGCCGTTCTGTCAAAACAAAGAGTTGATGACATTAGACATTTACAAAGTATTTGTGGAACTAAAATTTTAGTGAAGATGAAACCTACGCTGGTTGCAGATGAAATGTTTCCTGAGGGTGCTGGATCCTTCATTGAATTGGAAGAGGTAGTAAGAGTAGTTTTAGGTTATATAAAGAATATACGCATAGTGTTGTTAGTGTTGAATAGATATCAACTAAACATACATTGGTATAAGTTTTGGCATTAAACTTCAATTATTCATAGTAAAGATTAGATTTTTAATTAGTGGATTAATTAAAAAATATTTTTCTAGGTTGGAGGCAGCCGTTTGTTAGTGGATCTTACGGCTAGCGACAAAGCAGTACATGCAGACTTTTTCAATGGTATTAATTATGCATCCTAACATTATTATTGTTGATTTATAATAATAATAATTCTTTTGTTCTACAGACTTTGATGACTTGTATGATGATGATGACCTTGAATAAGGTGATATTTCATCCTAATGATAGTGCTATGAATAATATAGGTCGTATTTATTTACATTTAACATCTAATCACAAGTATAGCAATAATAAATTGTCTTTTGCAGTTTGTCACAATTAAAAATATGCATCATATTCAATTTTATAATTTGACAATAAATTTTTCCACTATGCTTTAAAACGATTAGGTGAGAATAATAAACTCTGAATCCATATCATGTATGCAATATATGTTTCATTACTGCATTCTTACATTCTCTTTAAAAAAGAACTAAAATTATTGTCAACATAATAACATTATATATTTAGAAATGAGAACTTTCGAATATAATTGTAGCCTGAAATAAGCGAAAGCCTCTATCAAAGAATGATGAAAGGAAGAAATATTTATATACACAAGCGCATTAACATTATTACAATTTATTATTTTTAGTTCGAAATTGAATCAGACGTGTGCCCGCGTTCAGAATACCATTCATCTTGGTATGTTAGCTCGGGCGATATTAATTATAAACGTGCCATAAGAAAATGAGTACTGGTCATAATGTCTCGTACACATTAATATCGATATCATTGTAAAGATTATAATTTACAATACATAGATGCTAGTCATATAAACCTGTTAAGATGATGCACAATTAAAATAGCACCCCGGGTTTCAATCGCGCTGCATATTTATGATCCTGACGGAGTGTCCCTTTATTTTCAGACGAGACGTTCTGAAGCTTTTTCGGGTTTTTGTTTCTGCGCGATTTCTCTGCTTGCTTGCATTCATTTTTTTTTTGTTTTTCTCCTTGGCCCCAATCGACATTTAATTCACCTTTTGACCATCCTCATTTCACATTAACAGACATTTATCAACGGTGACAACGAGGTTCCACTTGCAAGAAACCTCCGATAACCGTTACTCGTGCGCATCTTGATGACGTACGAGAATGAGAGCGATATCGATGACGACCATGTCGAATACGCTGCTGCTAACAGTGACGAGTATCCTGTAACGTGAAAATATTTGATAATTAATTTTATAAAACGTTATGTAATTGTTTCATGGTTCTTAACGACAAACCTCAATGAACCACTGTTTCAAAACCATTCTTTTTATGAACTATCAACTTCTTCAATCGTCAGTTCTTTTTTAACGTAACTACACAGTATTCATCTCTTGTAGATTATGGTTCATGCGAAAATGAGTTTAACCATGTTAAATAAATGCATACCAACCCTGAGTCCAGCCCCGAGAAAATCGTTCGGAGTGCTAGTTAACTTCGAGATCACTATCGGCTTGGTCATCCTGATCGCTTTCCTCCTCCTCATCTTCTTCCTCGGAATAATACTGCGAGGGTGGCGACAGAACATCCTCGGAAAGTGAAGTGTGAGAGGATGAAGGAGGTCGAGAACCTTCCAATTTTATATCCAGGTCTTCCATTGAAGTACTTGGTCCAGGAATGGTCACTGGGATGAATTTCTCCAAATCGCCACTTGCCAATTCTTAAAGTAAATTACTATATTGAAAATATCAACTGTAATAATAAGGTGGGAAGTTAAGTCACACTCGATACATACGTTCCACATATTTTTCAAGAGATTTTGGAACCATCAACTTAGCCTTTCGCAAATTCTCCTCGGTGCACTCTCCTTTCTCTAGACCTAAATATAATTACTTTATATTAATAAGATTTATATCGTTTTATATAAAAGTAATCTTATTTAATACTCCTTCATTGATTCCACTAAATATTAATTAATTTAGATAACCAAAATAAATAGATCTTTTACCGAAAGCTAAACCCATTTGTTTTAGAACCTCGATATCATCATGAATTTCGAACTTATCGTTAAAATTGAACAGGTACTCGGTTCTGCAACAAACGTGATTCATTACTATAAACTTAGACAAAACAGAATTCTCACAGTGATAAAAGATAATGTTTTTAGTAAACCGTACTTGTCATTCGAAATGCTGCAATCTATGACAGTCTTTTTGCTAGTATTCACAATCAGGAATGGCAGCTGTATGGCAGAATTTGGTTTCGGTGGGCCACGCAGACTTTCATTGGCACGATTACGTTCCACCAAGTTTTTGAAAGAGATGTGAGAGAGAATCAATTGATGTAATTGTTGTGTTTTCGCCTTGATCCTTTCGATTTTCTTCTTTTTATCTTTTTCAAGCGCCAGACATTCCTGAAGTGAATTAGTTGGTAGACCTAGCCATCTGATTTCCTTTTTCTCTTTTGAGATGATATTCATTGCCATTAAGACGTTCAAAGCGTCGTAAACGCGTCTTCTAATGTTCTTCTGATCATATTGCTGCAAAAGGAAGATAATGGGTTTTAAATATTCTTAGACTTATCTTGTTTGAAAGAGGGAAAGATTAGGTGTTATACCTGATCCGTTAAGGAGTTTATATGAGCAGGATTAGTGAATTCCCCGACGAGCTCATCCGCAACCTCATTATACGACGTAGTTCCCTTCTTTTTAACTTTCTCACAAACTTTCATCGAAAAATGACGTAACCCTTTGCCCACCTTCTCTGTTTTTCTTCGTTTGCTGTAAATATATGGGAAATATTAATTTTGGTATTTGTATTGTGTGGTATGCAATATAAAACATTGTAAGTAACGCATTATTACTCTGGTACAAAGTCGCCACCATCAACATCTTGTCTCTTCCTAGAACCACTGTGATCCAATATTGGGCTGATATACGTTTTTCCACTTGCATCTTTTACAATTGGTTGATTACCAGATTGTTGTTGCTGCTGTTGTTGTTGCTGAGACACTATTGCCTGTTTTATATCACTCTGCACAAATAAAAAAACAAAGTAATCGGATATAATGGAAAATTAATTTTCATATAAAACTAACGAAAAATTGATATTATCGTGTAAACTTTCCAACAGTACTAAATGATCTACTGCATACATAATGTATTCATAACAAAATCCATTAATATGAAACGTTTTTGAGGAAAACATACCATTTGCGCAGATGTCAATTGTATAGTCTTAGTCAACACTGGTTCACCAGCTTTAGCTGTTGCCAATTTTGTATTCTGTAATGGTATTGTAACCAATCCTAGAAAAATATAACAATTACTTTATAACATTTTACCTTCAAAGATATGGTTATTATTTAAGGGAATTATATCTTTGGAATAAGGAGAAATATAATGTTATTAACCTTGATAAATTATTGCGTATTATTAACTGATACATTCAATACTAGAAAGTTAAGGTAAAAATAATAATATTTATTCGAAATAATTACTCACTTTGGCCAGGATTTGAAGGACTCTGAAGACTAATAGTTCTAAGAACTTGTGCGTTCGATGACAAAACCTAAAATAGATGAAACACAATTAAATTTATTTTGAAAAAATAATAGGGACAAACTCCTGAAAGTACCTAAATATTGTACCTGAGATTCTTGGCTCGGAGTCTTAAAGACCTTAAGGCCACCTGCATTTGTTGTACTAACAATACCACCCAATGCCTTATTGGCTGTACTCTGGACTACCTTTATCACTTGCGGATGACCTGTAACATTCATAATTTTTCTTTCATAGTTAGAAAAAATGCAAAAACAAATATATTGTTCAAACAGAAAAGAAAAAGAAAATTGGGTACATCTTTTAAATATATCATTTATTTTAAATGGGAAAAAGAAACTATAATAAACAATGAAAATCCATTAAAAGATGATTGATGGAGACTTTATAAGATACAAAATCCAAGGAGTTACATTATTCTTTCTTCAAGAAAGGCAAAGCTATGATAGACATAAGTATTTATATAATACTGCAGAAAGTAAATATGTAATGTTAATGCATTAAACAAACTAGCTTTGTAATTTATCACAGTTTAAACTACATAAATAATAAAGGTGGATAGAATCTGTGTATTTGATTGAAAGTTTGGAAGGCAAAGGTGACCCCTTTGGCTGAAAAATCAAATGGAGTAAATATACACGTTTTTCGAACAATACGAAGTTGAAGGATGAAGGAATATGGTAAAAGGGATAGTCTAAAGGCAAGATTGAAAGTAAAAACATACGTTATTGAATACAATTTAGAAATATTACAAGGAAACGCGGCATATGACTAACATGAATACAATAGAGGAAAAAAGTGAGCACAGGCTTGCGACTGACAAGAATTGACGAGAATATAATAAAAATATGTGCACGGATCCACAAGCAGGGTGACGGTAGCAAGAATAAGCAGTCCTAACAGAATTGAAAGGGGATTGAGGCATTATCATCGAAGCGAGGCATGCTGATAATTGGCGCGCACTCGGCATACTCACCGTTCGCGTCATGTATGAGAAAGTTCATCGTTTTGTTTTGTTGCGTCATCCTCGAGGTTAGAATTCTGTCCCGGCGTCACCGACGATCACGATAATGCCGAGTGAAAATAAAAAGATCATAGGTACACTCGCTAATCTTGGCTCGGTCTATCACCAAAATGGCGACTATGATATAGAACCATTTGAGATCAGAATTCACGGATATAGAGCGATAGAAACGTCCGACTGAACGTACAATTATAAAAATCAGCCGTTTCTTTATTGTACCAAATCAAGCATTTTAATAAAACGTTCGTCTGTTCGCGAAACTAACGCACGAATTTCTGGCTTCCGCGTGCACAGTACGGAATAGAGACGAGCTTGGCGGCACGACAAAGTTAAACAGCTGATTGGTCGCTCTACCAGTCACGTGGCCACTCCTGTTCCACGTTTATGGACACAGTAATCTTTGCAAGAAAAACCTGTCTCTAGACCTGCAAAATGCAGGATAATATTCCCAGGACTGTTTCTTGAGGATTGAGTATGCTTATTTGCCGCTTTCTGTCCAATAGCCGACGCCTTTTAAAGAAACAGCAAATAGAAAATGCAGTAAAATGTTCGGTACATCGGAATTGGCATTTGAGTCCATAAATGTAACATCGCATAGAGGGTGAATTTCATTTGTATTTCTTCTCGACTCTAATTTTACATATGTTTTTCTACAAGAAAATTATTTATTGTTAATAATTATAAAATTCGTATTTAAGGAAAGCAGTTATTTTTAAAACTAATTACTTATTTTTGCTATAAATCTAATCATAAATAAGTCCATCTAGGGATAATATGTATAGGGTGTTTTGAAAGTTTTTATATCTCTATATGAAACGAAATTGTTACATGATCTTACTAAATCATACATATAAACTATTTATTTCTATAAAACACAAATGATGAACATCACCATTGAGATGATTTTACTTCAGCCTGGCGAGGATTAATTATTGTATATTTAATGAATTTAATATAAACTTTCCATAATTTGAATTACAAAAAACAGTAGAACATTCAAATTGACGCGCCTTTATTTAATTCGTGTTGTATTGGATATAGAAGTAGCCCTAAGGATATTTTTGATGTTTTTAGGCATTCAAAACAGTGACATAGATAGACATAGTGCAAAATAATGGCAAAAGCAACTTTTTAAGGCAACTCCAGTTTAAGTACTGTATCCATTTGCATTGCGAGGAAGAAGAAATTGTCTCTGCGTGAAAAGACATCGAATAGAAATTAGTTATTTTAAATAATGAGTCTTAGATTATAACGGAGCGAATTGAATGGCAATTTTATTTTCCAAGTTTCCCGATTGGCTGAGAGGAAAGTTTCTAGATAGTCAAGACCAATAATGTCTTCGCAAAGTCGGCGTTAGTCGTAAAAGAATTTTGATAAGAGACGTCACAGAATCGGTGCAATTAGTCAAAAGTTTTCAAAGATAAATAATTTATTCGTGGCGTTCTTGAAAAAAAACGTTGTATAGCATCGTGTAGAATTGGGATCCCTGTTGTTAACGGGGCTGTCATAATTGTATAATTTGTGCTTTTAACACGGTACAGCGAATTGAAAAGTAGCTGCCTTATATGTGTTTTTAAAAGAATCGCATAGGATACTTCGAACCGAGGTTGAGGGTTCGTTCAGGGTCTGGCTGAATGGTAAGATTATTTTAAGGCTCGCAAGGTGATTGAAACGCACAGGTTAAACGTTTGCTACCTTCTTGGACGTACTCGCAGTCTCGCAAGTTGCAACCTGACGTCCTCTAATATCTTCAAATTGTTCGATTATCGTTTACTATTGCCCGTCGTTCTCGCAAAAACGTACGAATCTCTTGTCTTGCTAATTTCATTTTTTTTTTCGTTCACCCGAATCTCTCTGTCGTCATTGTATCGTTGATCGACTCGATACACGACCTCCATTTTTGTTGCAACTATTCAATTCGGCGTATTTCTCGCAGTATTACTTGATTCATTCGTTTTCATCATTTTTTTTTGGATCTTTTTACAACTTGTCGACTGCAACTATACAATTATTGAAATTTTTAGGTTAAAGTTAATGCGACCTTTCTAGAGGACAGGAACCATAAATTAATATGTATAAAATATCGCTTGACGTTGGTAGATCGTAGGCTGCAACGAATTTGACATTTACATGTACAGATATAACCTGAAGGGATCTGTTTAGCATTGTTGATCACATACTTGATAGGGTGTGAGAAATGCATTTGTATACAGCATGCTTTTTTAGACAGAGTCACTCAGAAGGATGCAGATGAAAATAAGGCTATTGTGTTTCTGGAATGTGAGAGGTTCTATATATGACGTTTATTAAATCAGAATTTGGAACACTTACAGTGATAAGATTGAATCACATAATTTCATAATCCAAGTTTTACTTTAATAACTTCATTTTATGTATTTGCTTATATTTGTATCATTAATAGAAATAAATTTATTTATCTTGTAAAATTTAGGATTTGCATGACAAAAGATAATTTATATTCAAGTTATATATGTATATAAGGAAGACTTTAAGCTACATAATTACTAAGTAGGTATAAGCAATCAACAATCAGCTATTTTAATACCAAAGCTGTTTGAAAGTTGAGGAGCAATCCCTTTACCTCATAATTATGTTTATATACCCTGTAATTCAATATGACTAGACTGCAGGTAATATAGCAAATTTGTTTTTCTCTGAACTAAATTGAACTGGAAATTATAAAAAAATTAACTTTTCTATTAAAGCATGAGTTAGTTGAGACAGCAGTCAATGTTCTTTCAATTATTAATGCACATATGACCCTGATTGGCCAAAACACGTAAACTTGAGTATAGTATTATATAATGAAAGAAAATTTCATGTTGTCATATGATAAAAGGTTCTGTCTAATATCTCTGTCCAATGTGATTTGCACACAACATATGCAGTATTTTCTCCATTATTGTCCCAACTTTGGGTCCACTATGGAACCCTTATGGAACCAGTCAATGAATATCTCGTATCATAAATTTTGGGACCAGTCCAGAGCAGCTTGCCAGTGTATTTTGCTGGCAGCAGCAGTTTCAACAAAAGGCAGTAATTGGAAAAGAAAGAGGGTTCAAGCATTAATGCCGCCAGCAAAAATTTAAATGTCCACATATTCGTAAGGCAATACCAATGCAACAATGAAACTTCTTCATTCTTGGTTCTTTATTAATAAAAATTTGATTAATATATTGGTGAGATTTTTCTGATTAAAATAAGGCCAAACATGATATAATTTAGATCATTTCTAATATGTCAGAACCTCATATTCTTTCATTATCGCTTCTTATAAATTAAAAGTGATCCAAATTATGTCGTGTTTGGTCTCATTTTAATCAGAAAAATTACATCAATACGTTGATAAAATTTTCATTATCAAAGAACGAAAAATAAAAGAAATTGCATCGCTGTGTTCGTCTTATCGCACCGATATGCGGGCTTTTTTTGACTTCTAAACTTTCAGTTGTCGGCTCGTGAAAGGGAAGCCGTTGACATGTTACATTGCTTGCTTGACTGGTTCCAAGGGAGACCCCCCCTCCCCCCAGTAGTGGGGACGATGCAGAAACTCTTATGGAGTAAACTTGACCAAACATTTATGGAGAAAATACTGTATATCGAACTAAGATATCTAACATGTTCTTTGTTATCTCCACATGCTCCACAAGGTCTGTACATTGTGAAAAACATGCCTCTGTTCGGAAAGTCTCAAAAGAGTCCGGCGGAGGTGGTAAAAGCTCTAAAGGAGGCAGTAAATGCATTGGAGCGTGGTGATAAGAAGGTAGAAAAGGTATGTTGTGATGACGATTTTTTGTTTCTATGACGCAGTACATTCATTTTTAGGCTCAAGAGGATGTCAGTAAAAATTTGGTACACATAAAAAATATGCTTTATGGTACAGCTGAAACTGAGCCCCAAGCAGATATTGTTGTTGCCCAGTTGGCACAGGAATTATACAATAGTAATTTGTTGCTTCTACTTGTGCAGAATCTTAGTCGCATAGATTTTGAGGTATGTTGGGGGTATTTATATACTTTAGACATGATCACCATCCATAATAAGAATAAGTTATTGTCTAAATGCAGAGGTTTCATTAGTTCGGTACATAAAAATAGTAACTATTTAAATACCTTTATATTTTATCTGTGGACAACTAAATGTTATGAAATATTCTTTCTAATGTGTTCATTATTATTTTTAAAGATGTGGCTCAAGTGTTTAACAACATACTACGAAGGCAAATTGGAACCAGATCTCCGACAGTGGAATACATATGCACTAAACCAGAAATATTATTTACTCTTATGTCTGGGTAAATGCGAAAATAGAGGAAAGATGTTATTTTTACTTTTGAAATGAAATTGTTACTAAAATTACTGAATTAATTTTAGATATGAACACCAAGATATCGCCTTAAATTGTGGCACTATGTTGAGAGAGTGTGCGAGATACGAGGCCTTGGCTAAAATAATGATCTATTCGGACGACTTTTACAATTTTTTCAGATACGTCGAAGTGTCGACCTTCGACATTGCTTCCGACGCATTTTCTACATTCAAAGTAAGCGATGATAAGCGCATGATATATCGTACTTAAAGTAAAGCAATACTGTTGGTGCATCCGGTACGTTGGTTTTTAGGAATTACTTACCAGGCATAAAATACTGAGCGCTGAATTTTTAGAAATAAATTACGATAAAGTTTTCTCTCATTATCAAAGGTTATTGAATTCGGAAAACTATGTAACGCGACGACAGAGTTTGAAACTGCTAGGGGAACTTTTACTCGATAGACACAATTTTACTGTATGTATAAGTTTAATTAATTCATTTACAAAATATACATAGGCATATGTATTTTAGAAGAGAATTAATTTAATTCGAACGTTTCAAAATTTCAGGTAATGACACGATATATTTCGAATCCTGATAATTTGAAGTTAATGATGAATATGCTCAAAGAGAAATCACGTAATATACAATTTGAAGCGTTTCATGTTTTTAAGGTATATTCATGTATTTATAAAATGTTCGCATTTCTTTATGATTGGCTTCTACATAATTTGCAGAACGATATGTATTATTCTAGGTTCTTCATATTCATTTTAATTATCGGAAATAATGAACAGAATTTTTTAAAATACAAAACACTTTAGATTTATATTTTAATATGTGAAACTCCTGATTACATAGGTGTTCGTGGCGAATCCAAACAAGCCGAAACCAATTCTAGACATTCTACTGCGCAACCAGGAGAAGCTAATCGAATTCCTGACGCGTTTTCACACTGATCGTTCCGAGGACGAGCAATTTAACGACGAGAAGGCGTACCTAATTAAACAGATTCAAGAACTTCAATCTGTACATGAGAATTAAGTCCAAAATACAAGTTATTGCTACAGCTACCGTTAACTACTACTATTGAAGTCTATTCAGCTGCTGTTGCCACTGTTACACCATCACAGTCACTGATGTAGCCAACTACCATTATTTTTTTCCTCTCTTTCTGTCTCTTACTCTCCCTTTCTTTCACTTGTTATAATTATCGTTGGTCGCAATAAGTCAATTATTATTATTATTAATTAATTATTATTGCTATTACTTTTATTTGCGAGTAGTTCTGTAAATAAAGTTTTTCGTTTAATTACGTATTACTGTATATTACATGAACGTGATTCTATGCCACATATATACCACGTATATAATTCCATCTGAGTGAATGTCTACTATTAAATTGAATGACATAAAGAAAGCACGAGTTTATAAGATACACGTTGATTTTTTCTGATGATCAGTATTGACTGATACGAGTGTAGTGTCTGGCAATTACAGTTTAGTTTGTGGTACAGAATTGAATGAAGTCAATATCTTAATATAAATCGATATTTAATTACTCAAAAGTATGAATTTAATGGACGAATACGAAAATTCAATTCTAAGAAAAAGCAGTTCATTTGAATAGTAGGGGGTATCACATGGTTTTTCATTGCAGCAGTATGATGGTGGTCAGTTTAGGCTAGTCAATAGCGATCAGTGTTGGGACAGGGTATTGTTACTCTGTGGCACTGTGTGGTTCTGGTATGTGACAGATGGTATATTCGTTAACGAGGAATATGGAATAAATAAAAATGTTCATAAAAAATCCCTGCGGCATTGTGTACATCATAGTCACGTATGCTGCTGTCTTTTATGCCGATTATGCCGTTGTACGTTGGGTTATCCTGTATAGTTTACAAGACAGGTGTGCATACATCAATTTTGTTGTTTATAATTATATCTATCAGAAGTATATTTTATTTTTTACGGTATATTAATTGTATAGAAATGTATTATAATCATATGAATACATACATTTTAATATTTTTTATTTAATCGAATGAAGCTGTCAAAGAAGTACAGGGTGTCGAATAATTCGTGATACAACTGAAAAGATGTTTCTACCTGAAAAATACAGCTAAAGTATACACTAAACTTGTTTTATATAAATTTTTATTCTTGAGAAATTCAATTTGAAGATTCATTTGCTACCTTTGATTTGCGGGTAATTTATTAGACACTTTGTATTATTTATTTTATTTTTACATTTTTATAATAATTAGAGGTAGATTAAAAGAAGTATCATTAATAGTGTGTGATGGTTTGTAATTAACATTTGTTTTTATATGTTGTGTACAGTTTGTGGGGTCCTTTTCATGTAGTGGCTTTCAACACTGTTGTATTATTATTGATAATGTCACATTTGAAGGCAGTCTGCAGTGATCCTGGTGTTGTGCCACTACCGCAAAGTCGTATGGACTTTTCTGACATTCATACAGATAATCCAGAGACAAAGATTGAATGTGACGAAAGAGACAATTGGACTGTATGCACAAGGTGCGAAACTTACAGACCTCCAAAAGCTCATCATTGTAGAATTTGTAAAAGATGTGTTAGAAGAATGGATCACCATTGTCCCTGGTATGCCATAGATTTTATAATGCTACTTTATAAATAATTTTTTATTTGTACTTATTAATATTTATTTTAATATCTATTTTTTAATTTTTGATATTTCTTTGATTTTAATAAATTTTAGGAATTAGTAATAATTTGTTTATTTTTAATATACATTGAGAGTCATGATAAACAGGACACTCAAATATCTTTGATGAATTTCATAATATGAAAAATGCATAAGATCACAGTTGCATAGTTTTGAGAGAAATCTAAAGGACATAACGTCATTGTCAAAAAGGAATTGTAATTAGTATAACTCTTGTTTTATGCATTTTTCTCTTACATGTGTAAATGATCTGTTTCTTGTGATTTACTCTATATACGTATGTTAAGTATATATAGTATTCAATACACTTAATATTGGGTTGTTCATAATGCTGCACAAAGGATAAACAACTGTGTGGGAGAAAGTAATCAAAAGTACTTTATCCAATTTCTGGTCTATGTGGGAATGTTGGCCGTCTATGCTCTAGGCTTGGTAATAACATCATGGGTTTTAGATTGTTCTCTTTGCAGTAACGATAAAGCTGTCAAACAAACTCGCACGTATGTGTTTTATATAAGCATTACTAAAAAATTATTTCAAACACTCTTCCAAAAATATTTGCTACCTCTAACAGAATAGTTGTAAAAGTTCTTTTTGAGAATAATTATTAATTTTTATGAAGCATTCTATAGAAATTTAAAAACTAGTTGATTTAATATGAATACAAAAATATAGTACTAACAAAAAAAAACTGATATTAACCAATAAGTTTTTTCTGCAGCTTTCACTGTGTTGTATTGGTGTTGGAATCAGCATTGTTTGGTATGTTTGTCATCGCAGTACTGGTAGAACAATTTCTGGGTATTCTCAGTGAAGAGAACCCAATGGAACATGTGCAAAGTAATCATCATTATAAGAGAAACAGTTCACGTACGTTCGTGTTACTTTCTCAGGTTTGTGGGAAGAGTCATCCAATCTTGTGGATGCTTCCTTGCCAAAACCCACCAAAATATACTTTCCGAAAAGATGCGTACCTGATCGATCATGAAGTTTGAGTATATATGTAATTAATTTTTCTGCGTTAACTTCCTTTTTCTTGGCTTTTAATGCCATGAATACTTTTTTATATTTGTCCAGAACTATCATTTAATGTATACAAGGTGCTATTTATAAGACATTGAGATATATACATATACATAATAGAAGATTATATTTTATTGTTTAGAACTGATGAGTTTATTAAATTTTAATCTTTTCGAATATTACATTTTTTTTCAAAATAGTAGAACATAGAATAATCAAAGTAAAGAATAAAAAATAAGGAATACAAAAAATGTCACTTTGTGAAGTAAAAGTTCGTATGAATTTTGCACATTAGTATAAACTTTCAAAGTTATTTTGCCTCGGTTTTAGCACATAATATTAATTATAGCAATGCCAGGTAAATCATTAAACTACTGTGTAGTGAAGTATTAATTTACAAAGCATTCCAGAAGATTAAATAAATCTAAATATGTATGTTTGCAAGTTCAGTACTCATACAATTGAATCAAGTATTAATAATTAGTGATAATATTTTAATGAAGTCTGTGCTATTACGTATGTAGAAAAATTTCTTAATATACAGTTAACAAAGTTTTATCTTGAATATAAGTTTGAAGTGTGTAACGCGTCGCTGAAGTATGCATAATATTTAATTTTAGCTATACTATGTTGTACGAATACTGATAAGACTCATTTGCATATATATTGTGTAAAATTATTTTCAATAATATGCATATTTTTTTATGATATTTGTATGTGTCATGGAATTATACAGCAGTATGCATTCCAGTGTTATAGAAAGGAAATGGGGGATGAGTGACATCGACATACAACGATAAAATCAAGAGAAACTTGTCCTATCTTTGGTACAAAAGACGTTTATTTTAAGAGATAGCTTTTAAAGGCAAGCAGCCATTAAGCCAGCGACATTTTCAAAATCTATTTTCTCTGTAATATTCTTTGTCTTTATGTTTTCATCCTGATTGGCGATAAAGATAATCGTTTTACTCTCTTCCTTCCAACCATACTTTTTTACCCAGTGTTTCAAGGTAGAATCTAAAATTAAATTTGTAATCGGTATAAGTTACTGATTTAAGAAATTTATATTTTCGGTGAAAATATATATTACCGTCAACACCACCAAGTAGTTGTGCTAGAAGACTTTTTTCTATTGTCTGGAAAGTGATTCCTACTACATGACAAACAAATTTTCTTATTGAATCTTGGAATCCTACAATTCTGTCGCAAAGATCAGACATAGAAGGGACTCTGTCCCAAAAATGCTGGAAGTCACATTGTTCTAGAATATCTCCTAAATACATAATTTGATTAATGGGGCTTTCTTGCATCTGTAAAACATAATTTAACCTATTAAAATGTACAAGAAACATATACTTTTTATATGTTAAATAATTATAAAAAATGAACTGATTTGCATTAGGTACTAATCAGTTGCTAAAGTGGAATGTATATTCCTAATATGTATGTATTTTGAAACGACCTCATTTATAGTAGCTGTATTTGTACAATTTTTGTTGCACTAATAAAAATGACAGCTATATATGAAAATATAAGAAATATACAATGAATTCTGCTTACTTGAGCCATTGGTTAATAAGGTAGCCATTTATTTGGGATAATGCTCAAAGAACAAAACTTAATCAAATATATTGTACATACCTATGTGATACTTTGCATAATTGGGACAGCCATTTAATCAGGCCAAAGAACATTAGTCCTGATATGTCCCAAATAACCAGAATCCAACGTATTTATAAATAAACGACTTACAATTTTTTCACTGAGTAGACACTTGCAGAGAACGAAGTCAGTGTGTGGAAGATTTGTCAGAGCTTTTAATAATATCTGACAAGTGATGTCCATGTTAAATTTATGTGGATTCAATTGGTAAAGCTTTAGAACTGCTAAATTAGCTTCCAAGTCGTATGCATTTTCTCTAGATTGTATTTCAACATACTTTTCAAGAGTTGCTAAATGATCTGGATTATATCTGGAATGTATTTGTTTCATTTCATTAGAATATAAGAAAAATTAGAAGTTGGAGTGGAATTACATAAAAAATATGTTGCAAAAAGCAGGTGAGTTTGTTTAAGAGTTGGACAAGTCTCTTGAGTCAGTACCTTTCAATGCCTTTCAACATTCCAGCGACAGTCTGGCGCATTGCTTCAGCCATTTTGCTGCAGTAAACTTTTGAGACTTTCTGTAACAATTAAATAAAAGCAGAGTGCTGTTTCAATTGATCTAAATTTACAAGGTTAGAAAATGCAACACTAGCTCACGCGGTGACAGATTTGTACAGGGCTGCCAAATTAAATACATGCTCGTACCAACTTATGCAAATTTTTTTGGTCAGAAAAGAAAATACATTGGATGATAGGTCTATCGTTATATTTTGTCTGTGGTGTCGGCATATTAATGTAGACAACTTCAGTTTGTAAATGTACTTGCTAATTTTTAAATTGGCAGTTGCAAATTACAGTTTAAATAATTTGAATTATTAAATATTATAATATGTTGTGTTTTAATATAAACGTTTACACGATTGCAGAATCGTAGCTTCTAGATAGTATTGTGCTAACAGATGAATAGCATATTAAAAAGTATGAATGAGCAGCAGCAATATGATTTTTCCGTCATTCATAGTGAACAATGGTTGTATGTTCTCTTCTGACATAGAGAATACAAATATGAATACCGATCGGATGTCAATCTCGGAGATAGAATATGCCAAGGTTGTAATAATTGATTAATATTCGTAAACATTTTTTTGGAGTAGCCTGCAGTGGTCACAAATTTTTATAAGATTGCTACGTGGACGCTGAAATGTAACTGCATGATGTCGAGTCGAACTCAAATTGAACTGCAAAGGGTTAAATGAGTAATATCTACAAGTTTTTTTTGTTAATCCAACGATCCAGAAAATTATCCAAAGTATTGTGGATTAACACAAGATAAGCCGAATCTGCAGTCATCGTGTCGAGGACTAAGCAGAAGGTCGTTACGTGTACCTAAATTCTTCATATATCTATCTTAAAAAAGTCCTTTAAAAAAAAAAGCATTTTCAGAGTAGTGAATTCGCCCCGCAACTTTTGCCACGGACATATCGAATTTTCTTTATAAAATTGTTTACTGTAAACTAGACTATTTGCGCTTCAGTGTTCCAAATATTAGCAACCATCGTCTTCTACTTCTCATATAGCACATTACGCCTTGAAGACGCCCATTTTACGGCTACTTTAGGTCCAAGACGCCCTTAAGCCATTCGATAGTCATTTTCGATTATTATTTTGTCAATATATAAGTACTGTTACTTTTACTGCCAACGGTTTTACAAAAACCAAAAATATTTTTTTGAAACATTACTCTTACAGACAGACACAGGTGACCATAAAAACCATTTTTTAACTACTTTAGACTGTCGAAATAACATATTTTTAATGCTTTCTAACCAGCAGGCACAACGCGGCACACCCTCTTCTAAGGTTAAGATGTGCCATGAAGTCGAGAGTGGTTCGTCTCGTAAAAAAGAATTTGACCCGCAAAGCGATTCTTAACGTGGTTCCCGCGCCACTTCCCGCACATCCTCTGGTCATTGGGGATGCTCCCCTCTGCCGTGCTGCCCGTTAACGAGCAATCAAACCATACGCGCGCGCGCACGACCACAAGATATAGGAATTAGTCCCACCGAAGGTTTCCTGTTTTACGAAAACATTAACGAAAGAATCATGGCCGTACTCTCGATCGTTCTCACGCACTCGAGATTTCTGATGAAATTTTGCACGTTTACCGGCAGATAGAGGGCTCCAGGTACTACTTCCGGTTCGATGAAAATTCAATCAGAAGACAAACATTCCGTGAAGGTGCACGGGTTTACTTTCGGAATGTCGGTCTGTATCATTAGATCGACCAGCGACTGGGTTTCTATCCGTAGTAGATGCTTCGGAATTTGTGTGAGTTAATGTCGATCATCCTGATGATCTATATTGCAGAGTGTACCCAGAACGGATGTAGCGATAGATCGGTGTCACGTGAACCCTCCGGATATACTAGCTTCCTAGTCTTGCTCACCTACTTTAACGCGCTCTTCCATTTCGTCGGAAAGTAGCGAAATTTGGTACACTACCGAACGATTGATTCCGCTAATGCAGACGATCGCGTGTCGGAATTATGAATCGTATTACGGCGCGTTCAGTCGGCGCCAAAAAAGGTTTGTCGTAATTGTAAAATACCGTCGAATATCGAGTCACGTGACTTCAAGGTAATTTTCATCAATCAAAATGGTTGATGGTGGCTTTTGTGGACGAAATTAAGAAAACTTTTGAATTAAATATAACGAATAACATTGAATTATACTTGAGTTCGTTGACGTTGCATTGACAATTTTTTCCAAAGGACCTCCAACGACGTTTTTAGCAGAGGCAGGAATGTTGGACCAAGTGGTTAGTTGGCTGATACGTGTTAACCCCTAGGACGACTGTGCTTAGGTCTATTGTGACCCATGTTTTCAAAGACATTACCAAAGTCAAGTTCATGAAAATTTACTTGAGGTAACAGATATTTTTTATATTTGGCCAACTACAACTATTACTCGTATTTTTAAATTTTTAGTACACATATATTCGGTCAAATGGACGGTCTTGCGTTCTCAATGGAATGTTACTGTAATATCCTACGATTACAGAAATTTCATTCAGACGATTTTCGTATAAACGATCCACTACGTTTTGGACAATCAAAACCAATACAATGAAGATGATTTACAGGTGAGACAATTACCATCAGTCTTTAGATCACCATCGTGATAGCTCATCACGAAGTTTAAGGGTGCCGTCTGGTCAAAACGCTTGAAAGATACGTGATTTTCACTTATTGATAGTTTCGTTATAATTTTAAGTATTTCCTTTTATGTATCGTGTGAAAAGTTCATTAGAAGTCAAGCAATTATATATTGGGTTTACCATTTCTTATATTTTTGGATCTAATCTTTCGAATGCTTCATGCGGTCGACACGATAGGGTCATTTACGCCATAAACATAATACTCTTGAGATGTTTGAATATCATTCTGAGATTTTTCCAAAAATTTTGATCAGACGGTACCCTTAATTAACACTTTCGTTCCCACGAACGACGAGCGACGAAATAGCAACGAATGAAAAACATTTATAATGTTGTGTAATATACACAAAAATAAATGAAAGAAATGAAAGAAAAGAAAGAATGAAAGGATTAAATCCTTTTTTCTTCCAGGGATGGTCACGATCATAGACAGGGCGCCTCGTGATTCACAAGTGTAACCGAGGAGGTGGTCCGGGTGATGGTGCTGTGCAATAAAGGTGACAATAAAGAGCGCAGCATCGTGCCAGCCGGGACAGCCGTCAACTTTGATGATGATATACTGTTGCGATCTTGGGTGACCCTCTTTCTCCTTGTTTTCCGCGTCCCTTGCTCTTGCGCGCGCTCGGCCACGAGTGACCGCGCGCGCGGAGAATAAACGCGTGACACCGTTGTAAAACGGGCAAAGGGTGGAGACATCGGGGGAGAAAAAGGAAAAGGGGGGTTCCCCCGATTTTGTACCCCCGATATCCATCTCAGCCAGTTCGCTGTCGAAAGCGAACAGCCGATTCTCAGTTCCGAGCGGGCCGGCCGAGCATTCGCACCGTCTCCCGGAGAACGCGTCCACGAGGCAAAACAATCATCGAGATCGAAAGTTGACAGGCGAACGTAGGGGAAGCAGTATCGACCTGAAATCAACAACAGAAACAGAAAACGTCATCAGGCTCATCCATCCTTCGTGTTAAACGTAGATCCTTGGAATCGTGCTCGATGATCGCAACGTCGTCGCTTCGACCACCAGGATCGAGAGAACTCAGCTGTTGATCTCGAGTATCACCGCTCGGTTTCGAAGATTCTTACGAGTCGGAAGAGTTAAAAAGTTCGTTTCAAGCATCTGCTTCGACACATCTCCCTTCCTCGCCGCTGGAAATGCCGCCCGTTCTACAGGATCAAGCTGTTGCGTGAAGGATCAAGAGTGCGTCAGTGACACACAGTGCATACTCGTCGAAACAGTTCCGAAAAATCGGCGTTTCTCGCGTGTAACTTATCGTCTGTCATCCTTCTCATCGTCCTTATCCATTCATTCTGCCGCTGGGAACCCGCGAAGAGGGAAGGAAAAAGAAGAATAGGAATCGTGGTTATCCATAGGGACCGGAAGTTCCGGGACGCCCGAAAGACAGTGGTCCTGAGATTGAAGATCGTTTGTAAATAGGTTCGTATACGCACGATTTTGTTCGCCTTTCTGTGGAAAACGAACGGAAGTAAAACTGTGACACGTGCCGTGATGGAACGTCGTCGATTCTCCTAGGGGCCATCGTCTCGAATCGAGAAAATCGACACCCTGATCGAACAATTGCATCCCTTTCGGTTAGTCATCGGTTTCGGGGTAGTAATCGGATAGAGGGAGATAGAGAGGGAGAGAAATTCAAGATCACAGCAATGTCGGTTATGCGGAACAACGCGTTCTACGGTTAATTAGAATATAGCTGTTTTTTATGAGCGTGGAAGAGGAAGAGGGAGCCGAGCAATAGATCGGCCGCGAAGGGGCCGGGGAAGGATGGAGCTTTGGGGGAACGAGCTCGGGGTATTCATTACGGGGGTTCCCCAGCCGGACATTCGTATTTAACCGTGTCGCATCGATGCTAGTTTTGCGCCTTAATTCTTTCTTATTGATCTCGACGCCTCCACGAAGAAACCGGATGGGTTGTTGCGCCGATGTTCTAAACGAGACTTCGTCACTGATATAAGGAATCGAAGGATATTCGGTGGCTTGTTTCGATCATTTGCGTGCATATTCGATGGTTTACAGGGTACTTAAGGGGTTACCTATCTTTGAGCTGTTAAATAAGTGAGAAAATTAAACAATTTCTTTGTATATGCGGAATTATTTTTTATTAAAAATTCAACATATATATCTTATTATATATTATTTTCTTAGTAATTTCTGAAAAATTGGGCTATTTAATTATAACCCGTTTCATTAAAACATTATCTGCGGTACTAGATATATTTCTGTGGGCTTTTATCTGACACAAGCTTTTTTAATTTTATATCAAAATAGACAAAAAGGACATTTGCTTCTGTTCATAGATATATATCTATAACTAGAATAGCTAGAATAAGTTCAGAAACGATAAGACATACACGTGATGCAGCGATACGAAGATTGCAACTTTGCGTTGATACAATCTGTCACCACTTCGAGCATCTCTTGTAATGTAAGAAAGTTTATTTTACTACCACATTTGACCTTGCACGACCTTCAATTATAGCTCGCTGAAGTCGTCTCAACACCGGCTATCACATCGCGATAAAAAAAACATAGCATTCCATTAAAAAAAATAGAGATGACCTTGATATCTCCTCCATGCCTTCACCTACGCCGAAAATGTTTGTGTCACAATATGCCCCCCTCTATACCGTGTAAGTTTTGTACATAACATTTTTTCATATTATTACAAATAACGGCAATATTCAAAGTGGACATAGTTATTACCCCACCCTGCATAAATCAGTTTTTTAAGAAATTACTAAGTAAATAACATATAATAAGATGTATACGTTGAATTTTTAATAAACAATAAGTCTGCATGTATAAAAATTTTTCTAAATTTTCACTCTTATTTAACAGCACAAAGGTATATAACTCCTTATTACTTTGTAGGATGCCTCGTATTCGTATTGTTGGTTGAATGCTGCTCTTGTCAACTCGAAGACTGACAGAATATCCTATGCTTTTGTTCTTGATCGGTATTTTTAGCGTGTTTTCAGTGTTTCGGTATTGTGTATTACCAAACAAGTAGGATAAACGCATCAGAGATTTTGTTACTAAGGGAGGCAAAATCTAATTTTTTTCTTCTAGGGTGCGGGAGGGGCAAAATTTAATTTTTTTCTTCTAAAGTAGTGCAAAAGCCACTTTGTTCCGTCCAGAGGGTCAAGGCCCTATGGCTACACCCATGGCTCCAAGAACTAATCAGCACGACGTTGAAAGTACTCAATACAATTAATTACTACGGAATCTTCTTAATTTACTTCCAAATGACTGATCATTGAATATTTTTCGAACCTTTATCCGCTTACAAAGTTCCAGGATCCACGATAAAATTAATAATGTCTTCTTAAATCTCACAATCGAATTAATGTCGAAAAGTTTGTCATTTCTGATAAATACAAGTAAACAATAACAGGCACTTCATGTTCGAGCTTTTATTAAAACAATTTCTATAGGCAGAGATATAAAAGTATGAAACTTATCAACTATACGACTATGGAAGTGTAACTGAAAGAAAGAAATTCAATGAATTCGAAACACTTACTTGTCAGACACATTGATTCTCTTCGCGCGTGGCAAGGCCATCGTGAATTCTTCGTCTTAGTTTTGCAACGGCCTGGTATCCTTGAATTTTGAAGGGTAATAGTTTTCCGCCGATTTTCCACGCGAGCAAACCGCGAACTGCATCCGTCACCGGAAGAAGAACTCGGTCGGATCGTTTAAACCAAAAATTGCATCCTTCGCAACAGCGTCGAGAAAAAGGGAGAACAGTATCGCGTGTACGAAAGGTCTCGTACAAAACAGAATGGCTGACATTTCGTTGTTGAAGTATGAAAATAAATAAAAAGAAAAAACAAACAGAAGAGGCGAGTGATACGAATCATTTGACACTTGTGTTGTATTGTCGACAGAAGCTCTGTTATGTCTTCGGGGTAGTCTCACGAGGTGCGGAGGAACACGCGAGAAAGGAAGCAAAGAGGACAACCAGGAACGAGGCAACCTTTTTCACGGCGAGGTGACGGATATCTAACGGAGAAATGACAGAGGCATCGAGAGAACCGGAGCTCGGGGATCCCGAGAGTCCCGACAAAACCGCGTTGAACCTGACCGCCACGTCTGGCAAGAAACCGCTACCAGAACGTGGCACATGGAGCACCAAATTAGATTTTATTTTGAGCGTGGTAATTTGACTTCTTCTAAATCAATTAATTCGTTTCTTTTTCCTTCCCTCCACAATGTGCGCTCTTCCCTATTTCAAGGATATACTACCGGTATGATTTTGATACCGATTTTATACCTACAAAGGTATATCGAAACCGATATATCACCGAAAACCAAAATATACAGGGTGTTCCAAAATAGCTTCGAAGCCCGGAAATGAGGGGTTCCTGAGATGATTTGAAATAACTTTTTCCTTAGCAAAATGTTATCCGAGATTTTGTTAACGAGATATTAACGAAAAACCCCGACCAATTAGAGCGCGAGTCTGCCAGTTGAGTGCCTGCGGTAGCGTTGGCTACCAATCGCAGCGCGTAAAAGGAAAAAGTTGTTTCAAATCATCCCAGGAACCTCTGATTTCCGGGAGTCGAAGCTATTTTGTGACACCCTTATACCGATATAGTACCGATATTTCATGTTTCGGTAGAATTCCCTGCCTTATTCACGCGTTAATCGTCCATTTAAACCCCGTTCGAAAGGTTGGCCTGGCGATCGGATTGGGGAACGTCTGGAGATTTCCGTATCTCTGTTACAAAAATGGCGGTGGCGCTTTTTTAATACCGTACTTCCTGACGTTGGTGCTCGCCGGTATACCGATGTTCTTCATGGAGTTAGCTCTCGGCCAGATGCTTACCGTTGGTGGCCTCGGTGTTTTCAAGATAGCGCCGCTTTTCAAGGGTATCGGATACGCCGCCGCCGTCATGTCCTGCTGGATGAACGTCTACTACATCGTCATCCTCGCATGGGCTGTCTTCTATTTCTTCATGTCCATGCGAAGCGGTTCGTCCTCCTATATATTCTGTGGAAATAAAAATCAAATCTTCATTTACAGTGGATAAGAGATGTTGAACGCTTCTCTTGCTTCGCTCCATCTTGGAGATCCCCAACTTTAGACGTGTGCGAGTACCTGTAATTTATAAGTTGAGCTGAATTCAGTTCAATTGCTCGAGTCGAGTCGAGCATTCGAGTTTTTAAACAAACTGTTTGGAAACAATCCGAGCTACTTGACAAACTGAAAGACTTTGATTTACTTGAATATTCGAGCTGCTTGAATTTTTCAAATAGCTTGGATTTTTTTTCAAACAGTTTGTCGATTTTAAGTGCATAACTTGAAAAATTAAAACGCTCGATTCTGCTTGACCGAACGATCATTATTTGACTCGAAATTCGAGTCCTCGTTCTATAATCGTTTTCATGCATTTTAATCAAATTTCTATAATCTTTTACATGCATTTTAACGTACACGTTAAAGTCATTGGGGACTTTTGTTCACGTTGCCGCAGTGATCATAAACAGACAGATTAATTATTCGTAATCGTAACAGAACTACCATGGGGAAGCTGTAACAACGTCTGGAACACGAAGAACTGCGTGAACCCGTACGACAGAGACTCTTTGTCCTGCTCGAACAAGCGTTTCAAGGGGTTCCATTTCGTCCAGATGTGCACCGTGAACAACGTCAGCATGCCGATCACAGAGCTCACCGATCCGGTGAAAGAGTTCTGGGAGTAAGTTCGACTTATTATTAAACGAAACGAAAAGAGAAAGAACTATTAGAACGCGTATATTTCCAGGCGACGAGCGCTCCAGATTAGCGAGGGCGTGGAATACGTTGGGAACATCCGCTGGGAATTGGCCGGGACGCTTCTCCTTGTCTGGATCCTCTGTTATTTCTGCATTTGGAAGGGCGTGAAGTGGACCGGTAAGGTCGTCTACTTCACCTCCCTATTCCCGTACGTTTTACTGACGATTCTTCTGATTCGTGGAATCACTCTGCCCGGCGCGATGGAGGGTATACGATTTTACATCAGCCCGAATCTCTCGAAGCTAAGAGAGTCAGAGGTGAGTGGTATATTAAAATCCCAGTCAGCCAAACCTGCAAAGCCACATTTTGTCCAATGCCTGTTGTAAAGTTATGGCTGTAAGTTTGATGCAAGATTTGCTATAAACAACTTGCGCGCATATTGGCAGCAAATTAACAACAACGTATGCAGCAAATTGGCTTGCGCGAACCTTGTTCCGGTTTTGCTCTCAATTTGACATAGGTCACGTTGCAAGACTTTCTGCCAATTTGATTTACCATTTTGTTGGCTGGCGTTGCCTGCAAAACCTAAGTCAAACGCGGAAACAGATGACTATGGTTTTTTACATAACTTTTGTCCTTTATTGCTGGCAATTTGCTCGAAACTTGTACACAATTGGTTATCACGATATACTCCGTGTGACCTTTAAGAAACACATTAAATTTTGCAGGTATGGATAGACGCGGTCACCCAAATTTTCTTCTCGTACGGTCTCGGTCTGGGCACCCTGGTCGCTCTTGGTAGTTACAACAAATTCACGAACAACGTCTACAAGGACGCCCTTATCGTGTGCTCGGTGAATTCGTCGACCAGTATGTTCGCTGGTTTTGTGATATTCTCCGTAGTCGGCTTTATGGCCCACGAGCAACAGAAACCTGTCGCGGAGGTCGCCGCTTCCGGGCCAGGATTGGCCTTCTTGGCTTATCCGTCGGCGGTCCTTCAGCTTCCAGGGGCGCCTATATGGTCTTGTTTGTTCTTCTTCATGCTCTTGCTTATCGGCTTGGATTCGCAGTTCTGTACCATGGAAGGGTTTGTCACTGCCATGGTAAGTAAATGATTCGTCAACGTGTGCCTGTGCTGTGTATAATTTCCCTCAATTCCGGTTTAGTGGTTTTAAGACAGATCTGATTACCAAAGTTATCCCAGAGGTTCGTGCCGCTTGACTGAATACCCGAACAAACGAATATTCTTGATTGGGACAATACTGAATCGTATATTTCACAATACAGACTCCTCTCCGATTATCGTCCCGAATTCGGGTCCGCGGCGGGACAATAATCTTATAGGGAGAAATGCTTTAAACCCTCGTAAATTCATTTTTTGCCCGAAACCTAAAGCAAAGGGGCAAGAAAGTATGCGCTTGACAGGTTCCACGGCCTCCACTCCCCCACCCTCAGTGGTGGAGATGACGCCTGGACAATAATCGTGTAGAACAAGTCAGACGATAATCGAGAGGAGTCTGTACCTAGTATATTATTCGAATTTTATCCTTCTATATCACTAACTACTTCAAGATTTACAGTATTAATGGATGGACAAATTTTTCATGTTGTGTGAAGTTTAATCTAAGAATATCTTAATGAAAAAACAGAAGCAGCTTTCAGCGAGAATACATTCCTTTATCAGATACATTCCTTTAATTCTTGTTATCCTTATACTTTGAGATTTTTATGGTTTATGTATCATATGTCTAAGTAATGAAAGATTTTATCCTAGTCCAAAGTGTTGTTCATCAAATAATCCTTAATTCAAGGTGGACGAGTGGCCACAGCTGCTTCGCCGACGCAAAGAGGTCTTCATCGCGATCGTCTGCGTGCTCTCTTACATTATAGGACTCTCCTGTATATCCCAAGGTGGCATGTACGTCTTCCAGATTCTCGACTCGTACGCCGTTTCCGGTTTCTGTCTGCTCTTCTTAATCTTCTTTGAATGCATCTCGATAAGCTGGGCCTTCGGCGTTAACCGATTCTATGATGCCATTAGGGATATGATTGGGTACTATCCCCTAATGTGGTGGAAATTTTGTTGGACGATCACTACTCCATTAATCTGTGTTGTAAGTCAATAATCAAATCTTTATAGTGATTTTACAAAAGCAAAACTCGTGGTAGATCTTCAATCCTTGAATCAAGACGGCCGCCATGATGACAAATGCTCGAAAGACTTTCTCAAATATGTATATATATCGTGTATTTAAATATGACTGATAGCTTTAATATTTTGTATTTTTGGAAACCCTCAGAAGAATTTTTTTAGATATAAATCAAGTTCCGATTACTTTTTATGAAGTTCTAATGTTAATCATCAGTACCGTCTTTGAGGTGACAGTTCTTTCGAGAACGACATTACTATATGTATAATAACAATAACAATAATTGTGTGAATTTTAATGAAATTTCAATGTTAATCCTCGGTATTAGGGCGTTTTCATCTTCAATCTGGTACAATGGACACCTGTAAAGTATTTAGATTATGAGTACCCATGGTGGTCACACGTGCTCGGCTGGATCACCGCCTTATCCTCGATGCTTTGCATACCTGGTTACATGCTCTATGCCTGGATGACAACGCCAGGAGATAACTCAACGGTAAATTACAACGAACTTTTCACTAACCCCGGCAGAAAGTGTACAAACGGTTTACTTTTTGCCGGAGGTGGTATCGTTGTTAGTCCATTTCATTGATTTTTTGCACTGACAATTAACTGCTCTCTTTTATCTTTTCTTTTAAGAAATTCAAGTTATTAGTACGAATAGAAGACGACGTAACGAGTCTGCGAATAAAAATGGGCCAGCCATCGCTCGAGCTAACACCGCTTTAACTGCCATGAATCTGTCTCGATCCCTAAAGGAATTAATCTGATTTTACTAATTCTGATTTTTACTAACCCCTTCCGACTATCATTAATTTAACAAACCAACTAACGTAACTACGTCATTTTTATGTTATCACTTTCCGTGTAGCTCCTCCTAGAACTACCGTTCCTCGTCGGACTGAAAAGTACGTTCATTGTGTTCTTCTATGCGAACAAAATTTCCGTTAATCTAACGATATATCGTCTCTTTTTGTATTATTACTAATGGACTAGGTAATTACTGTTAGATTCCAGTTCGAGGGGTAAGAAAAACTCGTCAATATGCAATTAAATACGAAACGAGTAAAGTGTTCAGAAGTCGCGTCTAGTATGTTAGCGTAAGTGTATTGTTAGTTGTATTTGTAATAAGTACAAGAAATTCTCGGTATACGCGAATTGTTCGTTGAAACGATCGTAATTATATTGAATTACCTAATTTATTATTCGTGAAATAGATTGTAAAAGGATTGTGAACCGCAGTAATTCGAACGTTCGAGATTTCGAAGCTATTCGCGTAAGCCTGTTTACTTTAGCTACGAACTTATTTTAGCGGTATCGGGCGTGTACGATAAATGAAAAATAACTGCACATTTTGAAGTTAATTACAAAATACACTTATCCACGCTGCCATAATTATTACGTTTCGCCGTTCGATCGAACGATAAGCCGCGACGCTTTCTTTCTTCGCGATTTAAAAAACCGAAGAACGTGTCTCGGCTTACGCGTCGATTTTACGAGAGATGCTCGTGCAAATTGTATTCTTAATTACAAATTGTAGACCCGCGTAGAAGCAATATGGCAATAGATATCCATTATATTGTTAATTGTTAATAAAGAACGATTGTCGACGCGTATATTAGACTCAGTCAGTCGATAAATATTTCAAATGTTTTCGAACGAATTCTACTGTATATTTAATTGAAAATGACTATTAGTTTTGTTAGTGCGTATTGTAGTTACATACATCGAAGGAAAAGGAAATAAAGAGAATCTGTACGACGAAATTTTTTTTTTTGGTAAATAAAGATGATCGTTAAAACATCACTTAGAAGTGTTAAATGCAACATCTGAATAAGTTCGTATAAAAATTGTAAAGAAGTTACGTAGAGATCATACATGTTTTATTTTTTACTTTCAGTAACAAGAAAATTCGATTCATTGCGTGCAGGATCTGTTACAGTAGCGTTTACATACACACGCAAGTCCATGGTACATGTAAAACATAGTAAGTATACACATTAGGTATTTCCAGTATATTCTTATTCGTTTTTAATAAATCTATTTCGGTATTTTAATTATGTATATTGTCTCGAATAATTACATTTATTTCATGATTCAGATTTTGACAGGTAAAGAGCGATTTCAAATTTCGTATACCCCAAAATGGCAGTATAGTTAATCTAACGGGTGGAGAATAATTAGAATCCGAATAGTTTGTGATTAGGTTTTAGACTTGCATCGTGTTGGTTTTTTCTTGAGTTAGAGAAATAACTAAAGTTTCAAGAATATTGATTATCGTTTTGTTATTGACAGAAACGCGCGATAAAGCAAATAATTTCAGTGGTCACGATAAATTAATAACATGATAGAGAGAAATGAAGATAACACCGACAATGATAACAATCTTGACAGGAGAAAACTAATAGCTGACAAGAGGACTTTTTTAGAAAAACAGTTTCTTGAGGTAATTTTGTCCTACTTTCGTTGGATTTATGTCATAATAATTTCCCAAAGAATAAGATTTTAAGGTTAAGTTTTAATTGTATTTATTGAACATTTACTACTATTTAATGTTGAGTATTACTAATAACAATTGTAAGATTTCGAAATATTTTCTAAAGTAAAAATTTTGGCAACATATATAAATAATTTTAAGGTTCAAAAGGAGATCAAAGTATCATTTGCTCACTTGGCACAAACATTGTATGCTAGAGAAAAGCAACTTTTACGACAATCAGAAGCACTTTACAGACAACAAATATCTTTAGCGTTGTCCAATCCTGAAATTCTTCCTCCATGTATAACAATATTGGATGACAGAAATACCATTGAAGAACAAATCAGACAGTTTGGAAGAATAGAACTGACAGGTTCTAATTCAACAGCAATTACTAACTTAGAACCATACAAAATTGAGGAATACCAAGACATGAACAAAGATCATGTTAGCTTTGACAAATCTATCAAAAGTTCAGAGAGTATTTTTGGTAATGCAAAGATGGAAGTTTCTTCTTCAATAGAAGACAGAAAGGTGGAAAATGTCTCTAGGGGATTAAAAACTGTTAGCATAACAGATTTAACAGAGACAGCTGGTCGGATTTTTGATTATCAAAGAGAAAATTCTAAAGAAAATTTGAACGAATCTCTAAAAATAAATACGGAATGTAGAAACAATGATTTGAATCTTCAGAGTGCTAATATAGAACAAGATGATGCTAAAAGTTTCAGAAATTGTGGACGAAATATTATAGAAGAGCAACAGGATTCTTATGGTCTGCCAGAACAAGTTCAACAGTGGTTGGATCAGATAGTTCTGGAAACAGAAATAGAACCCACTATTCATGAAGTGGAAAAATTACCTGAAATATCAGATGTATATGTCTGTACTAAATTTCAATTGGAAACTTAGAACAGATATTTAAGTGAACAATCAACTCAGTATAAAGTTTTTTTTATAATGTATTTATTCCTTGTTCTCTTAGAGATAAAATATGGCTCTTCCTTGGGATCAAATTGTTCATCATAATTGAGTAGTCCATATTCATTCTTCCATTCTCCACATACTTCACTGTATTTATTTATTTATGTGTTAAGCTGACATTAATTAAGTGTAAAATGTTCAGTTTAGTAAGAATCAATATTACCATCAATTACCAATAAGTTTCTAATATTGTTAATGTTTGGAAAATGTTAATCATAAGAATCCCTGATTTGTTGACTGTAATTTTAATATCCATGAAGTAAGAACTAATTATTTAGTATTCTGTTACTAATGTTAATGTGCAGTGATATTAAACTAATTTAAAATATATTATGTGTATTGTAATATTAACTATATTACGATATCTTTTAACTGAATAATTAAAGCTACTCAAATTATCAGTTTCAAGTTAATACCCATAACTTATAGTTAATATTTCTTTTATTTATCATTGTGTTCCTTTTTCTGACCATACACACACGTTTCTGTTTCGAAGAAATAAACAATTTCTTGTAAGTTTTAAGTGGCAGACAGAAACAGTAAAGCAAACATTTGAATTGTTAGTTTGTTAGTTCCACAGATATTCCTTAACCCCTTATTGCCTGACATATTATGTACACTTTTTTTTATGTACAAATCAGCTTTAATATGAAGTATTACTTAATTAGTAATTATGACATTTACTATTATTAAAATTATTGCTATCTGAACCTAAGGTGTTCTTGTGTTCCACATTCGAGAAAAATGTTTTCATGTATGTTTGTTAACTTTTATCTGATATGGTCTATGTTTTATATTTTACAGAGTTAATAAATAAATTAAAGCATTAAAGGGTTAATTATTGATATATATTTGTACAGTAATCAAGGTTTTGTATTATTTTCTTTGGAGTTATTTGTATTAAATCATTAGGTGATTCACTTTGATTATTGATAGTTATTAGAAAAAATAATTCAGCACCTTTGTATAGTTTATTAGTTACTAAACAATTAAATAAGGACAGATAACCACCACCTAATATATGTACAGACGCCAGCGTAGTAGAGTCAATTGGGATTTTATGTCCAGCATCGGGATCTTTTTTTCCAGAAACCGACTTGTTAGCAAAACATCTGCGACTAGGGTCGAATATGGGTCATAAGGGAGGAAATGGGTTGTAAGCATGCCTCCCCAAGAACCTCGGGGTTATATATTTAATCCATCATTTTAACGATACTTGGTAGAAGACCCAATCCTCGAAGAAAGAAGGTACAAAAGCACTGTCTTTAGTAAAGGTTACCGGTACACAGAGTTCTGAAAGGACCTGCTCGTACATTTTTAGCGATTCTGGACAAGATGCTCCATTACCCTTTAAGATAAAACAAAAGTTATGTTTAAATATAATCGTTAAGTTTTAAATAGCATTACATTGATAAAAGCAATATATTACATGAACAGTAAGCAATTAACAGTGAGTAATTGAAGATTCAAAGAGTTAGTATATTGTTACTATATATTAGTTCGCGTTTGATTAATTAGATTTCGAACTAGTAAAAGAATGTAAATTTTCATATACGTACGTGGGTCATATATTTCCCAGTCGGTTTTAAAACTTGCATTGAGTAATTCAAGATAAGTCTGGTAAAGTCCCAGGCATCACCATGTGGAGTAGTACTGATCGGTATATCTGTAAGATCGCCAAACACATTAATCTAAAAATAAAATATGTATATATATATATATATATAAAATTTCAAGTAATACGTAACATTCCGCTTTTCGTTTGTTAAACAATTATTTAATTAATGGAGCTCACTTCATAATTTTCTCCCTTTCTTTTATTCAGGCAGTCTCCGCATATACTTCTCATATGTTGATTACAGGCCTTTATAACAACATCATCAATCTAAAAGTAAGAACATTGTTAATAAAATGTAAAACATAACGTCACGTTATAGAATTATAGCTTATCATTTTATAAAACCAAGAAAACGTACTTCCAGCATTGTAACAGATTTTGGTTTCTCTTTGAGCAACTCCCACAACAATCCACCATCTCCTCCTCCTAAAATAACTATCTCTTTTCCTGTGTAATTCTCTTTCCCACGTTGCATCAAAGTTTCTGTGTATATAAGATCTGCTTCAGAGATATCTAAAAATTTCATAATTTATTGCTAGTGACTGTATAACGCGAATTGTAATTGAACCTATTTTAAGAACGGTACAATTTTTTGTTGTTTCTTACTTTGCAATTCATCGAGAACCAACAAATTTCCTAATGATTTTGAATGGACAATTTGAACTTTCTGGTATGGAGAACGAGCCGCAAAGACCAGTTTATCTATGTCATATTCGAGTAGTCTGTCATCTTAAATAAGAAAAAGTAATTGTATAAAACACCCGAAGAATTTCATTGTACAAATGAAATAATCGCATAAGAAAGCATTTAATAGATGCATGCGATGCAAAGCGGAAATTTCTCAAAAGAATAAATAATTAATTCTTATATGTATACTAAAAGAATCAACGATTAAGATATCAGGGATTTTGGAGTTTCATGTGCATATTACTAATCTATCGCATTTCTTATGGCAATTATCATATGGTTCTAATACAGCATATAAATCGGAGGAACATATAACATCATTCACTGGAATAAATACAGCTGTAAAGTGGTAAGTTAGTATTAAAATTTACAATTCTTAATATTATTCAATATTCTAAAATACATCTTTGTTATGTTTCTTTCTGTATGTACTGCTTTTATTTAGGAAACCAGTCAATCTGAGTAAACCATTTGCGTATATACTGCAAAAAAAATTGTTGAAGCAAACATAAACAGCCTGAAATGAATTCTTTTAACAGGAGAAGGAAAGAAAAATGATAATGCGTTTAAAAAAGGACATATATGTATACATCTGCGAGTAGGCTACTTTTAGGGTCCGCAGAGCAGCTCTTTCTTGGTACATACAAACACGATTAAGATAACGCCGAGTGAAATAGACGCTGCGAACGAGTGAGAACGCAAAACTTGGGCATCCTGTATGAAAAATAAAATGTTTATAATTGTTGTTTTTTTTTAATGAAAATGTGATTAATGGATCGATGAGATTTTCTTGATGAAAATAAGCCTGGCATACACAATAAATTGGACTATTTTTAGTTATATATCAACATATGTACACATTCATAAGTCAGGTATAAAAATAGTTTGACTGAGATCGTGTTAGGATTCTTTTTTTCTATTACCAGTTTGTTAAAAATAATTCCAATAACAAAAGATAAAAATTATAGAAATTTTTTTCACATATACACGAGGGAAGATAAACTGGCCCGGCTAGTGCGGCAAACTACAAAGGAGTAGAGGAGGAACATCGGTAGCTCTCTCGCGGCTGAAAAAAGATTGCCTACTCACGGACTTTACTGCAAATAGTATTACCAATCGATATACAATTTCAATGAAATACATAATTTCAAAAAGTCAAAGCGCAATGAACATCAATATTTTCGTCGCGCAAGAAATAAAAGAATATTAAGAGTTTAGTGGTATCAGTGATACAGTCGACGAAATGATTCAAAAAGAATTTTCTTTGATGACGCATGAGAACATAAAAAGTTACACGGAAATAGAATTCCGCTGACTCCGTAAACAGAATAATAAATAAAAAACTCACCGGCGGTTGGAAAGTATCTCTCAAAAGGTCCACCGCGTTTAATTGGTGCAAGCATGTGCGAACGCGTAGAGGTTGCCGCTGCCTGCAACGCTGTCTCCAATTCTCTGGTCAACTAAAGGTGGCCGCGACAAGCGAACCAACGAATAAAAAAAAGAACAGAAACTATCCTGTTAAACCGATCGTTAACAACTCTCCTTTTACATATGCGTCATAAGAGTCTTATTAAATCCCTATGCTGAAGAACCAAAAAAAAAGAAACCCCGGGGAAAAATACCGCACTGATAGGAAACAAATTAATCAATCGGAGCTGTTGGCGTCTTAGAGTGCAACGAAAACGATTCGCACATTCGTAAGGTGCTATAGATAACTAAGTATGGGAACTAATTGGGGAAGCGGTTTCTACCTGATAGTGTCAGATAGAGGTCATATATGGTTCCTCGCCTTACTGGTGGCAGGCACTTGCTGCGTTGGCTATTCAGAGCCATCGCAACGTCCGCTTCCAGGTATCGCCACTGCTACAAGGTCCTCTTTGTTACACGTGTTTCTTCCGCATACAGTAAAATTTCTACTTATTTCTATAATGGCACTCATCAAACGATAATCTTTTACAAGACATTTAATCTTTGTAATTTTTCACTTTCGTATAGAAAGTTGACAAGTTAGAACCGCAAATAGTTTCAGCCCCATCGCATGGAAAAGTTCATATGCTCGAAGGCATGTTCCATACAACCTTTCTCATAATGTACTAACAAAGAAATATGTAACCAGATATACCTTGCATTGACCCCATATTTGAGAGATACCAAAGTTGATTTTGTATTTAATACCCATGAGAGACAACTAAATATTATGAAGTTTGCAACTAGGAATTGCAAAAAAAAAGTGATTGTAGTAATTAATATGAGTGACTGTACCTCATAATTCAAGAGTGCTTCTTCATCGTCACTTTTATAATACTCAATGTTAAGAGTGACCAACCCTTCTGTATATCCACGAACAGTGATCAGGCTACCTCTGGGACCCGTATACAGAACCAAGAGGTTTCCATCGAGATTCGGTTCAATTAATGGTTTCAGACCATCAAAATGTTCTCTAAGAACATTAGTAATTGCTACCTTTAAGTTAGAACGCTTCTCCACATCTGCTATTACATTTGATGGAACTGTGAAATCCAATAGTACAGTGTGGGCTACCATTGTGTATAAACCTAAAATAATTTTCATTACCTATTATTATGAACAAATAATGACTGTATATAAATTTTGTGAAATGCAAATAGGAAAAAGTGTATTTGATTATTAAAATATTTAATAACATTAAATCAAAATACTATTTATGCCAATATTTGTACAGGATAGATTAATAATAAAAATGATTTCGTATAAAATAGTAATTTGACGTTAATACCTTTTTATTAATATAAAATGAAAGTAGAGAGTCCTTTACAAATTGATGTATAAAAAGTTTCGAGCCGAGACACTTCCTAGAAGAGAAATATTAAGGTTATGTTACGCTACATGCAAGATGGAATAGATCAAATTGACTTAATTAATGACTTGTTAGTAATAGAGTAATTAACCACATGAATCAGCATATTTAATAAACTATTGAGTTTCATATAATAGATACTTTCTTAACACTGAGAATATATTACGATTTATATTTATATTTTGTAAATAATTTTCTACAATCTTTTTGATGTCCACTTTTTTAAAAAAAGTAAAATTTAATTACGAGCATATGTTATACCAACATTATTAATGAAGTCCATATATATAAAAATGAAATATAATATTTATTGAATTATTTATTGTCATCAAAAGCGCAGAAAAATCGTAATGAAACGAATCTTACCGCGCACTGTGCTAATGTAAACATTTATAAGTAATTGATAACACGAATTGATTCGATTGGTTAATACCGTAATGAAAACGGTAATTATACTCACAGATAAGAATGTACAAGTGTTCAATTATATGAGAAGATTGGTTCGTTAATTAAAAATGCTTTCGTGGCACAGATCGCTGTGTACTATCAGTGTTGCCAATTATTTCTAGCAAAAAATTTCTAGACCATCCTAAATTTGCGTAACAAATTTCTCAAATAATGTAGCAGAATTATGAAGATTTCTTATTGTGTTTTATTCGAACATAATTAAGTAATAAAGAACTTTAGAAATTCTGTAGGTTTTTAACTTGATTAGAAGTCAATAATTCAGAAATTAATTTATTTGTTTATATTACAAAAACAGCTTGATCTTAATGAAAATCTGGTACTCTAATCGCTAGCATTATCGCCTTGATTGTCGTCTTCTCTTCCGCTTTCCGAACCACTTCCGGAATTTGACTCCTCATCTGAATCTTTAAGAACTTTTCCTTTAGTGTTTTTCTTTGGTCTGAGAGTTTCAAAATCTGAACCTTCTTCGTCCGAAGAATATATGTTTGACGCTGAAAATATAAAGAAACAGTTACAACTCTTCAGTCATTCAGATCAAATACTTTACAATTTTGTTGTGTCTTGTGCAACTTACCTTTTACAGGAGCATTCATTCCCTTTTTATATTTATTCTTAATTGCTGCCAGAGAAATTGCACCCTCATCATCTGAACCGTCATCGTGATAAACATCACCACCATAGCCACCAACAGATCTTGCAGCATTTCGACTACCTGTAGTGCTCTTTTTTGTCTTACTTTGAACTCGCATTGCCATTCGTAACTTCTCTTCTTCTTTCTAAACATTACAATAATATTACATGCAGTAGTATCATCAGAAAATGACTATTTTAGAACATTTTTTTTATGGTAAACTTGAATTAATGAAACTTAACTTACTTTAATCATTTCATATCTATTTTGATCTGGATTGGTTCCTACTTGTGACAATACTTTTATACCAGAAGTCTTTTGGGATCTATCCGCAAGTGACATTGTCATCTTTCTATGAGTAAACGATTCTGTAGAATGTGGTCGGAATGTCAACTTAGTTCTAAACACTGCTTGACCTTGAAGACCAGTTCCTTGACGAATATACAAGTGATTGTGATCACCCTGAAGTGGTTGCTTGTATACGTCAAAAATCTCAGAACCAAGATGTAAAGACATGCTTCCATCAGACCATTTCACGAACCTAGCATTGCTTTCTTTAACAACTTTACCCTGGTCATTGAAAACGTCTTTCCAACGGAGGGTATTTTCGACCTTTAATTTTAATCTAGCACGACCTTCTTCGTCCAAAGTTTCCTCCTCATCAATTTCATCTTCGTACGTTTCTGTATCAAATGGTCGTGTTTCTACTGAAAGGAAATTTGGAAGCTTTACAAAATGTATTTCACGACCCAAGTCTGTTGTAATTTTTGGAATTTCTACGTCAATTCTAGTTTCTGGAGGAGGCTCGGGTTCTTCTTCCTTTTCTTTATCTACATCCTAAAAAAAATTACATTATGGTATTTTAGAATTCTTGATTCTCTCTATAAAATAAATGGTAAATTATTATTATTTGTTATACACACATCTTCAATAAGTGGCTGACTAGGTCCCTCACCACCACTGTCTGACTTGCGACTTCTGCTTCTACTCCTGCTTCTACTCCTACTTCTGCTTTTACTTCTGCTTCTACTTCTGCTCCTACTTTTACTCCTACTTCTGCTTCTGCTACGACTTTTCTCTCTCTTATCATCTTCCTTGTCTTTTTCGTCATCTGTACTAATGTCACTAGCATCTCCAAAAAGAGCATCTGCAGTTGGGGCTGCAGTTCCTTTTTCTGCTGGTTCACTTTCTGAATCAGAGTCTATTAGTGGCTTTATTTTCTTAATAGCTTCGTCTTGTTCTGAAGCAGAACCACTATTGTCTTCTTTTTGAGCTAGACTACCTTCTCCATCACTATCGTTTGATTTTGTACTATCTATAATATAATAAAGGAGACAATACTTTGAATATTACTCAAAATTGTGATTTAGCATATTCAGTTCACAGACCTCTTGTTTTCAAAGATTTCTCAGATTCATTGTCATCTTTATTTTCTTCTGAGCTATCACGTTTCTGTTCAGAATCTATAGGTTCAGTTCTTTCAGGACCAGGAGAATTCAAATTTCTGGAAACATTACATTCATAAACAATACAAATTTAATTAATTATTAGTATATTTATTTACTAACTCTGTGGATTTTGGACTTTCTGATCTCCTTTCCTGTGGAGAACCTGATCTTGACCTTTGTGAGTCACTGTTGTTAGATGCAACTGATTTCGGAGTACCACTTCTGGACCTCTGTGAACCAGATTTCTCACTTTGCGCAGATCCTACACTTGAATGTCTAGAATCTGATCTAGCTGGAGATGGACTTTTAGAATTTTGTCTAGAGTCAGCTTTTTCTTCTGCAGATTGACTACTAGATCTAGAAGACCTTCCACTAACATTTGAACCTACTGATCTGGCTTCATTCTCCTCATCGGAATTCCTCTCGTGGCCAGAATTTGCAGTATTAGATGGTGAACCACTACGACTTGATCTAGATGATCCTGATTGATTGTCTGAATCTGAACCTAAAAGTTTTTTAATAAGTTACTCTTAGGAAAGGGAAAATATACAATGTATAGTAATCTGATTCAAGGATTTTATATTGTTGAATAGAAAATACATATTCTGAATTATAATTGTTGATTTTTTACCTGAATCGCCACTTGAGTCATGTAAATATCCTCTTGTTGGTGACATTTTTCTTCTTCTTTTTAAAGGAAAGTTAATTTTTTAAAAATGAGTCCTTGGAGCATTATTTGAGAATATTTCACAATGTTGATAGGTTGAAAGACAAGTCGATATATTTAGTAAATGTGTAGACGCTTTATGAAGTAACTTCAGTAACTTTTCGGAGGAAAAAGTTGCTAAATGTGAGAAATATGTGAAAAAATGATTTGTAGAGATACTAGGAAAGTAAGAAAATGGTTGCAAGATTATAAGATATGATTGGCGCCGCCACATTCGAGTAATTGTTGTATTCAGAAATACAGGAAATGTGTCCTCTCTATATATACGTATATACTTTGTGACAGTAGTATAATATGAAAGGTCATAAAGGTAAATAAATATAACACATTTAATATATTAATTAAAAAGACAACTATTCATTTAATTGTTGACTATAAAGATATATCAATCTTTCATTTTCGAGTATCAATTGTTCATATTCAATATCAGTTGTTTCATATCACTGCACGAAATGGTAGTTTGAAATGGGTTAGAAAAATGTAAACGAATTGATTTATGAAAAACTACTACTTATTTAAGTTACATATTAAATCAAATATAATTAGTGTGATAGATTTTTAAAATTACTATAATAACAAATTTATGAATAAAGTCATACACAGAATTATGTTAAAAAATGATTTATAAAGTTGTGTGTTTCAACGATCATTTATAACTTCTTAAGGGATTAATAACTCATACTAAGAAGAAAACTTCCCCATGTATTAAACTGACTTTTTAATGAGGTTTTGTACAGTGATAGAGCTGATAAATCTAAAGCCAGCAATATTTGTTTCAATTGTACATGACTATTAATGTGTAAAAAAATGAGCATATGTAATGTTAATCCAAAGGGTCTGGAACTCATGCAAAAAAAGACCATCAGTTTAATAGACAAATACCTTATCTACCATGCTATGCTTTTAATTGTGAAAGGCATTTATCTTTTAGCAGATAAAGATGGACCGAAACTTTAACATTAAATATCTCAAACTAATGGCTATATATGGCTGAAACAAATACTCCTGTTGTCAGAAATCTAAGCTGTATTATTGTGCAAAATCTTATTAAAAAGTCTGCCAAACATTTGATAAACTTTCCATGTAAATGTTTTTAATGTAGAGTTCAACTTGATTATAGCAACTACATAAGTAAGGCCATTGAACACATTATGTGTGAATCTTATTCTTCTTTCTTATTTACAAATTCTGGATTATCGTACTCATGAGTTTCTACTTTTTTATCTTTGTTTTCCTCATAAAAACTTGATCTTTCATCATTTTCACTATACATACTGCGATGAGATTGTCGTTTCTTATGTTCTACTATAATTTTAGAACGATGATTTTCTAATGCTTCTATTGCATTCTTTGATATATTTGAAGATAGTACCTTGGAGAAACCTAAGGCAATGGCATAGAATAGAAATTGAGAAATGTACAATAGATAAAAGATAATAATGAACTAAAATTAAATACCTGATGTGTCAGATTCTCTTAGTTTTCTATGGAAAAGCACTTCAAAATTAGTAGACATCTTTGGCAAATTTTGATTGTCTTCTATTATTTCTCGAATATTCTTCCTTGTTCGTGAATAAGGCATTGTAGTATTTGTTGTATTATATATTGTTTCTTTTTCTACTGCATTTTGGAGTCCCTCGACTATGTTTTTCACATGGTTATCGGTAATTAAATCATCTGAAACCTTTGGATTTACCAACAATTATGGAATGTAAGTCTTATCTAAGTTTTATTATGGAATAGTAAAATCAATTTTATACTATATTACTTTGCAATTGAAAAGTTGACTTAATTTCACATGAGCAATGATGTGAGCAAATGTATTGAATCTGTGAACCAACATTGCTAAAAATTGAATAAACAAAATCACAACAAATGCAACAATGAAGAGGCCCCCTATTGGTTCCAAATGCATGTACTTCTTTGTGATCTGCACCTGGAAAAAAATGGAGTTACATTAATTTTCATGACTTCTTAAATTATAATGTTGTCCTGTATTGCGAGAATAAAACTTACTTCTTCTCGTATTTCGTCGAAAGTTATATTATATGTAACAGCAAAAGGCCATTGGAGGTGTAAAATGTCCTTATTAATTTGTAACAAAAAAATTGCAACTACAAACAAGGTATTTATCATAAAAAATTTTAGAAGGTACTCGTTCCGTATATTTATCAAATCCTTTGCAATTCTTTGCTGCAAAAAACATGTAATATTTTTATATCTTTCCAATCTTAACAACTGATTGTCTAAGGAATCATACTTGTTCTTCTGCATCATTATCAATGGGATGTAAATATTTTTCAATTAGTTGCTTCCAGAATTCTTCTTCTGATGTAGATAGGAAATCTACCTTCCCATTTTTTATATGTTCACTTTGAAGCCACTTAGGACTTACTAAATAATTGGAATATCCTCCGCAAAGAGTAGTAGATGATCGAACTGAACTTTCTGTTGCTGAATATTCGTCTGTGTATAATTCATTTTTAATACCTTGCAATTCAGTTTCTGAATCATACATGTTAGTTTCATTATTATTTCTTCCTTCTATACTATCATTTGATGTATTGCCAATCCTAAAATTATTATACATTAATTTAAGATTAACAAATTCATTATAAAATTAATCTCTGTAAGAGTAAAAATTGTAGTATGCCATTTTTTTTTTTAGATTATATCTATAGTTTTGTATTGATTTACCTTTCCATTTTTTCTAAGCGAACATTAATTTCATTTATCGACCTATAAATAGACTGCAAGTACTCTTCTTCCTTTTCTGAATTGCATGTACAGAACACATATTTGAAAAAATTGATCAACGAAAACTTTTTCCAGTCATTTCTAGATGTTTGGTTATCCTCGGATTGTAATTTATTAGTTTGTTCTTGTGCCTGTAATAATCAAAATTATAATGCTTCAGTAATTTAATTAATGCTTATGTAATCAATTTTATATAGCAAATTTTTTTTTAATGCTTCTCTCGTGTCTTTCATGCGTAAACAATGTAGTTTTATGGAACTGTACCTTTATCTGTTGCTTAGACTCTCTGGTACCCCATGTAACATTATGGACATTAAATATGGAATAAATAATGAGCAACATGTACATTGACGGTACAGTAATGTAATAAATGATTCCATTATTCAAGCATGATATCTCTTGTGGGTGCATTACACCTGTTAGCACAAATTGGCTGATTACAATAAAGAAAAGAAGAGTGTTGGGTGCAAGATATCCTTCTTTTGAGACTTGCAATATTATTCCAACTAATACTATTATCATTACCAAAGCATATATAACAGTGATAAACTCAGCCACTATAAGCTGTAAAATATCAATATATTGTTATAGTTCACAAAAAAGTTTCAATTTTACATTAATCGTGTGTTCTATATTATTGTTAAACCAGTTGAATGTACATCTTACATTAATACATTTATTCAAACAATTACCTGAATACGTTCTTCACAGAAGAAACATACTACAAGGAAAATGACTATTGGAATTAGATTATAGCAAAAACTTGCCCAGTTATCTATTTGGAAACAGGTGACAAGTGCACCAGCCATCATTAAATAGATGAAAGATGGTCCAATAATAGTACTACCTGCAATATAACATTTAATGTTTATATGTAGAAATGGAATGCATTTTACTACTGTTTGCACACTAATTATTATTAATTATATGTAGCGAATTACCTGTCAATATCCACTGATATGCGATATACATCCATGAGACGGCATTGTTTACTTTTCTAGTTTCCTTTGAGGTATTCAATAAATCGAAAATATTAGCTATAGTTGATGGGATCCATCGACGACGTTGAATATAAAAATCTTTGAATGTTTCTGGAGCATGTGTATAAGCATCGCCAGCTGCACAATATTCTACCTAAATGAATAATATAAATAAAAGTTAAAAATTAAAATACATAAATTGAAATCGAAGTAATATTATACGGGGCACGGAAAAAGTCGTAGTACAAGCGAGAACAAAGTGATTGCTCGTGCAAAAATTGTAAAATAAATTTAAAAAAAAAACGTTTAATTTCATCGATTACCCGTGTATTCATGCTGCAAAAAATTTTATTCTAGACTTCGGTCTTATTTTTATATGAGGAATCATCCTGTTCTCGCTTGTATCACGAATGTTCATACACTCTGTATAATAACGGTCTTTCAATGTTATAGTTTATTATCATCTTACTCTACAACCAGCTTGTAAGAGCAGTGTGCAGAGCCATCGATCTTCTCCTTGATCGCGCTGAATATAATGTCTGGGTTCAGTCGATTTAGTTGCATACTTTGCTATGACATTATGTTGCATTAAAGCTTTTGCTCTAAAAAGAGAAAAGCAGCCAGGACTGCAAAGGACAGAGCCTGTAATGTGTTCTGTTGATTTTTGAAGCCAATGCCCTAATGCATATTCAAATTTTTGGAACCAAATAATTGGACCTGCGTAAAGATATTTTATTTTATTCATGTTTAGTAACTAATTGGCGATATAAGAGTAATGTTTTATACATCATACTTCTGTGGACTATAGAAATACCTTTTCCTATTGGATGTATTCGCCCGCAAGCTCCACCTAATTCTTTATCTCTCTTCATTAAATCTACTAGCACTTTAACTGTTGTTGGTTGAAAATCAACATCACCATCTAGTGTTAAAATGTAAGTGTTTTCTGCTATGAATTCTTTGCGATCAATATCCATCGAGGAACCCATTAAACGATAGCCAAGGAGGTAATACATGTACATGACCTAACATATCTTAATATTAACATGAGATAAAAATCGTTGTAGGTAATTTAAATAATAAAAAGATCGTTGAAATTCGCTAAAATATAACTTTTTCTATTGTTTAATGTTAATTACATCAAACATACCTGGCTCCATCTTTTTCGGTGTCTGATTTTATGTTTATCTTTAAAGTGCACTGTTAAACGTGTCTTCCCAGGTAAATTCCAGATTAACTGACCACCGTAGGGTGTTGGATATTTAATAGGAGATAATGAATGGATACCAAGATTTTCCACACTTTCTTGCATTGTTTCCAAAAATGTAGCTACATATTGATTTATTTGAATTTCATTTTCATCGTGATTACATGGTCCAGTACAACCATGCATACAGCAAAAGGCATCATCGAAAAAGATATGAGCTAAGATAAAATTAAATTACTTTCATTCGATAATTTAAGAATTTTATTTTACTTTAGTTAGAAACTATATTTACTTTCAAGTTCATAATAATCGTTAATAGAAATGTTATAGTAGTCTTGTGTAGCTTTCATAGCACACTGATCTTTATCTAATCGTAATATACTTCCAATTAATTCCATCATTTCTTCTTTTGTTTCGTGCCACATAGTAGCACATGCATAAATTTGAGTAACACAAGCGTTTTTCTTATTATTGATATTTTCTTCCGAAAATACTGAGTGAGCGCTACTTGCTCTTTCCATTTCTTCTAAGTTACTAGTCTGGGAAGGAATTTTGAATGCAATAATTATCATAAAAAATATAATTTACAGCAGATGAATGAAAAAAGTACCTCAAACTGTGTATTTGAAGCTATAAACTCTTCCTCTTCAATGATATTGTAGGTTTCATACCTTCTTTTATTTAATCCTATGAACTGATCAATCACGAGAGAATCAAAAGTTGAATTATAGAAAATTTTCTCCACAGAAGCTAGTCTTTCCCTCTGACCAAACCATAATTGTATTGTTATCCAACTATGTGACGACCACCATATTATCCAGCACCAAACACGCCAACTTACAATGAAATCGTTTATATTGTTGTATTTAGGATTTTTAAAATATAGAAAATCTGGTATTATATCATGAAAGGCACATGAATCCTTATTTTTCATATTGCAAAGCATTATTATTAAAAATATTGATCCTGGGGTAATTAAACTTAGTGGCAGAGCAACACCAAACTTGTGCATCTGTGTTTTATATGCGAATATTACTGGAATGATATTGAAAGAAAATTATAGACAATAAGATTATTGGAACTAATTTTTCTAAGTATTTTTTGTTGTTTCTGTCTTATGATTATTGTAAGGTTTTCTACTCACCTATTTGATACATCAGGAAAGTACAGAAAATGTGTACTATAAAGGTGTTCAAAGATGAAAAAGTGTTTATAGTGAAAGCATAAATATCCTCTTGTTGAAATACTGTGTCACCGAAGTAGTAACTTGTTTCTAGTTGATTTTCAAAAGCAGTGGAATTTGAAACTGGAACTAATTCAACATTGTATTGACTTTTCCACAGAAATTCAAAAAATTCCCCAAACTGAATTCCATTAAAAATTGAAATTACAGCAGCACTTAAAACAAAGAATAAGCTTCTCCAGAGTGCTATACATCCTTGTAATAAATAACGACCATTAGTTAGATCCTCTTTTACTGATGCTAAAAACCTAATGAAACCTGTTTGAGAAACAACTTGTAGTAATTGGACAGTATGGATATGCATACAAATATTTATCTACATCTGAACATTTTTTAAGTACGCATTAAATAGTAAACAGCTGAAAATTATAAACTTCTTACCGCAGTAACTATGATGAGAGACATAATTTAGCCACCAACGACAGGAAGATAATAAAAGTGATACAGGAAGGATCCATATTATAGTATCATGCATATCATAATGTACAAAGGAATGCATGATCACTCCAGATCCTTGGGCAATTAATGCCAAAAAATTGCACAATATAGGTATATACTCCTGGCGTTGAGAGAGTGAATCTATAATAAAAGGATTCATGTTGTTTACAATTTAGGGCAGGTGAATTTTTTCTGACTTGTTAGAGAATTAGAAAAATTTACTTACTTATTAAAACAGGAATGAAAAATAAACAACTAGACATTGCTGCAGCATCCACAGAGTTGATCTTTGGAAGACAGTAGAAGACTAAAAGTGCTAAACCAATTGGATGAAGAGTTTCCAGAATAAGAAGAACTGCTATACTTCGTTTTCCGGGCGTGTTCTCTTTGTTTTTAAAAATATAATACCATATCGATTGCAAGAATACAAAACATTCGGGTATAAGAAACATGAAGATGATGTACCATGTCCAAATTGTTCTACCCTCTTTGGAAATCTTTGCATTCAATTTTTCGTCAATATCTAAGATGTTAGTAATCATTATAACATCATTTATAAAACATTAATTATCTTATATAAGTATCTGTAATTATATATGAACAGTACTTAAAGAATACCTTCGTAATAATCACAGAACTGTACAGACTGTTCTTCATCAAGCTGTGAGATTGCAAAGAGAACTGTACATTTAGCAATTAAACCACAACAGAGAACAATACAGAAAATAATACCATACATAAGCAGTTTAACAATACACATGAAATAATTTATCCACTTATTATTCTGCATTGATGCATTTTTTCCTTTTAATGGGAAATGTTTAAATGCATCCCATGGTAAGACTTCTTTTTTGACACTAAAAACAAGCAGGACAAATATGAATATACACAAATAATCTTTGAATTATGAATTAAATTATTAATTTTAACAAGTGATATGTTTTCGAAATATTAATACCTACTAAGAAATTGTAATTTTTTGTATACATTTCATTAATTAAAAAAAAAAATGAATGTAAATAATTATTGATTAATTAAATATATTTACGATTGTTCAGATATTGCTGTAAATCCATCTTCCAGTTCAGAAAAGTCATTTTTACAATTTGCCGAATCGTTGAATACTAAAGAATTTAAATTATTTGATTTTTCCGTGCGTGACATATTGAAACATAAATTCTCTACCGGTGTCTCATACTTTATGCGTCATCTACCTCCGAAATTTTCATTGATATATCAATCACCTCGATAAAACTGATAAGATTCCAAATTTGTCTAAAATAGTTACCCGTTATCTATACCTTTAGGAAAATAGGGTAATAGGGGAACGTGGGAAGAGATAAAAGATATCCTAACTCTTTATTGAGTTCCAAACGATTGGAAGAATGAAATAATAAAATTCTGTCATCAGTAATGAATGTATAGCATGTTTAAAAATACGATTATGTTGAACATTATTATTTTACCAAAAAAAGTATAATCAAATAAGATTATATCAAGGGTTTAGTTAATTTAAGAAAGAAAAACGTAGTGAATATTATAAATTATATAGATAATTTGTTCTAAATAAAAGTTTATCCTTTATGAAATATAATAACTTTTATTTACATAAAATTACCAAAAGTCACAGCAATTTTTTTCATTTTATTGCGAACGAAATATATTCGTATGGAATTATTATGAAAATCCTGAATTATCAATATTATAAGCAGGTTGTCTGATGCGGTTTAATTGTATATTTTAAGTTTACCGCTGTGCCTGAGGTCGGAACTCGAATTCAGGTATCGTAATATTCGATAACAAATAATCGATAATGAATGATCTCGTTTGCAGCACCTTCATGTGATAGGTTCCTATCTGTGAGTTACGCTTTGTAGTTGATTTGTCAATAATCAAGAATAAAGTTAAATGCCGGATTAACTTGTTCGGCGTGATTTACGTAAGTTCGGAAAGGGAAACAGGAGTCGAGAAACGATGTGGCGCGTCCCAGAGGCTGGCTCTCGGGGCCGGAGCCTTTCTTGCTCGTATGAAAGTATTAATACCGAAGGCTGAAACGGGTTTCACTGCGGAATACTTTCATCCGGGTACTTTCAAAATACATACTTCGGCCCGGGGATCGTACATCTTTTTCACGGGTAGGATCCTCCCCGATAATTCGTTTCCCTCGAAAATGGCATCGCCCGGTCAAAATGCTACGACCGTGAGTTCAACCGTTTCACCGGCGAATGGGTCATCTGGATCGTCAACGACCATCTCGGTCTGTACCACGAAGATGCAATCGTACACCGCAATACCATCCTCGCAACCTAATCAACAACAACACTCGCCGCCGTCGTCGTCGCCGTCTCCGTCGCCGTCGCCGATGCAACAGCAGCAGCATCAACAAACTCTGCAGCCTAATAATGTAGAAGTTCTTGACAAGAACACCTCCAACACATTGAAAGTACGCGTTCACGAACTCGTAACATTAGTCCTTTAAAAACTAGCGTCTATTGATGAGATCACATACTGGGTCCACACAGGGTATAGGCCAATATGTAACATCCCCTTTTTAAGAACAATAAATTTCACACTGAAACTAATGGAATCTAAATTTGAGCTGAACCAAGTTGAGCTCCAAGATCTTCTCATCTCTAATTTCTATGAGGAGGATTATGTTGAAGTAGAAAACATGATCCTATGGTTGTCTAAAGATGCTCGACAAGTTTGATATCTCTTGTTCATTAACTATATTCACAAGATTTTAATTTTAAACATTTAACTGTCCTTTAAAAGATATCCTGTAATTCATTTTTATTTATGCATTTCACGTGTGCCGAATTATGCGTCTCCCTGTAGTAATTATTTAAATTTTCTATATAGCGTAATCCAAAAATGGAAATGAGCAAAAGTGATTTATTCAAATTGTTGGGACAACTGGAAGGAGAATTGCAGGCAAGGGATATTGTAGTAGCAGTATTAAAGGTAAACGAATTTTAGCAAATGATTAATAATTATCCAATAGATTCATGCAAATGAATTTAAAGTAGTGTAATAGCTGATTAAGAATGTGGTGAATATATTTATCACATTTTTTTTTATTGTATTTTGTAGTCAGAAAAATTGAAATATGTATTAAACGCTCTATATCTGAGTAAAGTCTCAGATCCACATGCTGCATTCGTTCGCGATACAGCATTAGTAGGAGGTATAATGGCAGTTGATGGACAAGAACAGAATCAGATAGATCAACAAGTTGCTAGTTTAGAAGCACTTGTGACACAACAAAGACGTATGCAGTCTAGGATGACCAAAATTCTTAAGGATGCTGAACTTAGACACAGAGCAGTATGTTAATTTCAAGTTCACGAGTTTCTCTATGTTATCGGTAATACTTTCTTTGTGTTATCTGTGGTGACTATATTTTAGGTAATCAAGGAATTGGAAGAAGAAAAACAAAAACACGAGCATGATACTGCCCAAGGTGATGATATTACATATGGACTAGAAAAAGAGAGAACACGATTGAAGAAAGAATTAGAATTAGAGAAGCAAGACAAAAAAAGACTGGAACTAGATTTAAAAAAAGCAAACGATACGCTAGAGGAAGAGAAAACACGACAAAAGCAAATAGTACTTCTTTTGTTGGCTGAACGTAAAAAGATAATTATGAAGTATATAGAAGAAAGAAAAAGATCAGAAGATTTGGCACAGATATTAAGCGAAGAAAAAGTGCGAATAGATTCTATGGCTGAAGGACTCGAAGAAGAAAGTAAGAAGTCTCTACAAATGGAAGCAGAATTAGAGAAACAACTTGCACAGTTTGATATGGAAAGGCAGCAATATAGACAGGCGTTAGGAAAAGAAGAGAAAAGAGTGAAAGATCTCGAATTAGAATTAGATAAACTTAGAAACGAAATAGATGTCTTGAAAGAGACCCAAACACGAGGTTCTCCAAGAGGAGTGGGTACAACTCCACCACCTCCTCCGGTCAAGCCAGCTAACTTAGTTGCTCTGCCTACAGTTAGGCCTGCTAGTGCTCCACAAACAAGTATGTAATAGTTACTATATTATGATATTTAATATAATTAAATTTTATTGTATGACATACTCATAGTAAACGAAGAATAATATCAGTGTTATACTATCCAATTTACCTAATAAATAGATCAGTTTTTTAAAAATTACACATTATATACAGTTAAAGGCACAGTACTGGGCACTGGGACGCCAATGGTTAGTAGCAAAGTTGTTCAGCCCACTGCCACGGTATCTAGTGTTCCTGTCAGCGGTCCAAGTAAGAACAACACATTTTACCCTAATGTTGAAGTAGGATATAAACGATTAGAATATTTTGAACATATCCTCTTCAAGAGAATATTCGTGTCGTAAAACAGTAGAGGAATAACAGATTAAATACTAACAGTTAAAATAAAGGTAAATGGTAATTTGGAGTTCTTGTTTATAATACTGTAATACATTCAGTTGCAATAGGAATCTATTATTCTTATCGAAATTACGGTGTCTAAAATTTTACTTAATGCTAATTCATACGAATGCTGTTTGAACGGAATAAATCATTTATGTTACTCGTTATAAAGTGATATACAATATTTTCATATTTTTTCTTATAGCTACTGGGATTGCAAGATCAGTAACTCCTGGACAAGCATTACGTGGAGTCACGTACACGTCCAATATAACATCTACTAGCGGAGAGACTACGGCTTCATCAGAAACCCAGGTAAACCATCCTCATTTTCCTTCTCATTCTACTTTAATTTGAGGATATTATTTATTGCATATTTCTGCATACACCTATCATAAGAGAAATTATCTTTTATAACTGTGGCGGCACTACCTCCTACATTCGCCATTAGAGGTCTACCGAGTTGACACCTTTCCCGCAACTATCTGAAGCCTTCCTCGTTCGTATATACATATACGTCCTTAACCGACCATCGTATATCCCCGCGTTTAAGGCAGGGTCTGCTAGGTAGCCTTACTGACGAGTCCACTAGCAGGCCTAGGACGAAACGCTCACTCACCTTTCCTTTTCACATTTTCCAGTCCACAAATTGCCGCCAAATAACTATTTTCATAGTTGATAATAGAATTTATTTTACTACTATATATCTATGAAATACAGGAAGAGTATGTAAAGTATGTAGGACTTCCATTATATATCTTTGACAAATATATAATATATGCATAGAAGTGATCATACAAGTAATATTTTAAAGCACAGTATATTATTTATGATAATAAGATTTTCTAGTCTTATCTTTTATGAAAATTGAATGTTATATATAATATTGGCATTATATAATTACTGCATGATAACAGTGACGATTATAAATAGGTGTCGTTATCTTTTCTTAGAGAACACGAGTATTGCGCATTATTTGCCTTTCTTTATTAGTTTTAATGAAACGATGTAACAAATTGAAACTGCTTTGGGGTAAAACTGGTTCGTTTCTTCTTCTAACACATGGGTATGTCACTGAGAATGTACTTATTGTTACAATGCAAAAGGAACAATGAGTACCATTATTAAGCTAGGAAAAGTATATCTATGTATATATTTAGAATTGACATTTACATTACAATCAGTAGATACTTTCTACAATTTTATACAAGATACGAACATAAATTGTAAAGTATGCAAAGTGATGTTGAAAACAAAAAGTAAAGGTGATCAGTGAATTATAGATATGAATGCATTTACGCTGCATGCACACATCTTGTAGATGCGTTGTATGTATGCGTCTCCAATTCGATACACATTTTTAAAAATAGTATGTTTTTACTTGGAATAGCCGTTTATTAATAACATATTATATAAAAATTATACACTACACTGAGTGCTGGTGCATAAAGCAAACCACTATTTCATGGTGTACAGTTATAGTTATAATTAGACGTTCTTCCATTACCTACGTAAAAATAAAAGCCTGTCTTTTTATTTGCATTATACACGTACATTACACACACAGACACACAGATTTTTAATTATTTGTAAAATTTTGTTCGTACCGACTATATCACACCGTATTATTTTATATAAGTTAGTACACCATCAGATTTTAAATCTAAATTGTATTACGCTATTCTTATTTTGTACATAAGATTACCATTTAGTATGTACATTGATTATTTCCTTAATTAAAAAAACTGTATGCAACTCACTTTTTGAGCCTTATTTACATATTTTCCCTGCTTGCCCTCCTAATTGCAACCCTTGTACTCGCTACTGCTAACTTTACATGGTTTGGTTGCTCATCTATTATTTTTCTCGATCTGTGTGATGTACTGTCCGTAACAAAGAACTTCGATCACCGTACAATTTCTATGGTAGAAGATTACCATCCTTCGAATTCAGTTCTCTGTTGTCAGTATGTTTCGCTCGCCGAAGAAGTCCTATACATTACATTTCAATGCTCTTGTCTAACAATAACATTACCGAATTACACACGATTACGTTGATCCACCGCAACCGGTGTTTTTAAACTGCTCGCTGTCGCCAGGGATCAACATCTGAAGCATATATTCTAACCCTTTGCACTCGACTGTCCCCTCTGAAGGGACAAAATGTATGGAAAATTAGGAATTCCGAGTGCAAAGGGCTAAAGAAAAGAAACAGAATTGGAAAGTAGGCATCAGGCATTGCTTATGGTAACAAGGTGACCCTTACTCAAAATATACTCTGAATAACCACTATCCTGAACATTTCTGTTTTTTTTTTAATTTTTTTATTTCTTTTTTATTGTTTCGCTTTGGATCGGTGTCTTCTTGGTGTAATCTTTTCCTCTTTTAGTTGATCCTTAGACCGCCAGCTCTAAAAACACATGTGTACCTACCCCACGGTCGGGTGTTCCAAAGGGATACAGCCCGATGGCTAAATCGGTTCTCGTGTGTGATTCATTCCCCAGGCTGTAGACAAGCGCGTGGTGGTTGTGCCTGCCCCTGTTAATCCTGGAGGCGCGGTAAAACTAATACCGCCCGCCGCCGCCGCAGCCGCAGGAAAGCTTGGTTTTCATGTTGGCTCCGCCGGCCCGCCGGTTCAAGCATCCGGTATGCTGCCCTCGTCGAAAAAGCCACCGATATCCCGCGGAGTTCCTCCCCCAGTACCGCCAAACAAACCGGTGGTGCCACCTAAAAAGGAGGCCGCTTATCTTAGGAGGACCGAGTCGTCGTCACAGTCGACACAGGACGCCGCCGTGAAGCTCGGTAAACAAGCCACGGCGCATCCTGCCAGTGGTCCCACCGTACCGCAAGTCCAACAGGCAATAGCGGCGTTTACTCAAGCCTCCGAGGATGAGGTCAGTAACGCAACATCAGCTATATCTTAATCGTCTGATCTAACTTGAATGGATAATGGAATATGATTTTATAAGTGTCGATGCTACTCTGTATATTCAGTTCTGATATACAGACTTCTTTCGATTATCGTCTAGCTTCTTCTACATGATTATTGTCCAGGTGTTATCCCTACTACTAGAGGAAGGGCGTGGAACCTATCAAGCGCATACAGTAGACTCGCGTTAAAGTAGCGGGGCTCTCGAGGCGGTCTTTTCTTGGAAATGTTATTTCAACGTGAGCCAATGGGCACACAGGATCTCGTGGCAGTTCGGTCGATCCACCAATTGGATCAGAACTTTGGTTACACATAGCGACCGATAGTGGGGTAGGCGCACCTGTGTGTGTAATGCGTGTTAGCTGGAGTGTTTCTACCGCTACTTTAATGTGCGCTACTTTAACGTGAGTCTACTGTACTTTGTTGTCGAGGCTTGGGCTTCGGGCAAAAAACCAATTTACGAGGGTCTGAAGCATTTCTATCTATAAGATTATTGTCCCGGCGCGGACCTGAGTTCGTGACAATAATCGAGAGGAGTCTGTATAATACAGTTTATTTCCTTCTGTCGATAAGATCCAAACGACTCATCAGGTTCCCAAGAAGCTGTCTTCCTCTTTACACGAATTATTAACTATTAAAACGGAGTAGTTTCTTCTTGGCTATGCTTGTTCAGTGGTGAATTGTACCACGGACGGATGCCTGAAATCACGTTTAATACATATTTTATTATCCTGCTCTATACTAACGCTTTAGATCGCCTTTTACTGAAATGTCATTCTTGTGAGAAGAAGCTGTGCCTCTTGTACAACATAAGAATATAACAAGTCTAATAAATACTATTGATAACCGGTGAACTGATGACCCGAGAGTCGCCGCCATTTTGTTTAAGAGGTTGCCTCGGAGCGAATTGCACAGTATTAGGGATACGAAAAATTTGTTCTTTCAACAAAAATCTAAATCCATAATTCTCCAAAACGATCCCCGTGAATCTATTACTGTTCAATAATCTTGATTGTCGCCTGTATTATCATTAAATAAACATATCGAGCGATTAAAACGTGCGAAGCTATTCGAAACCGACGACTTCGTGGACTGGGGATCGGAATCTTTTTTGGGCGCCTGATGAATCGAAACTATGTATATCCTGTAACGTGCACGAACGGAATTCAGAGCTCGTGATATATGATTTCAGACAAAGCCACGTTGATTTAACGACGTGTAGGAAAAAGAAACTCAGTAAGCATAACTACTTACGTTTAAATAAAAAATGGCTAAATCCCGTATACCGTGAACCGAGAAAGAAAAGAAAACTCAATAATGCTTCTGTTGGAATCGCACGGCGCCCGGGATCCATATACACAACGTTTCTGTATCAACGAAAAAAAAAATAACAGAGAAACGTAGCCGTGCCCCGAACCGCTCGGTTCATCGATCCGATCCTTTGTGTCGCGTGCATAGGGGATACCATCATTTATCTATATCGCTAGATCTCGCTGAGCCACGGGGGCCTAGATCCCCGTGGATCAGGCCAGGCGGTTATCGACGAACAAACACACGACACGAAACCCGATGCTTGTAACATTGTACTATAGCCGTGAAATCGAATCGAAATCGGGATTAATCGATACTATTTAAGGTAGACAGTTGTAGATTCTGTAGTTTATTAAACCGCGACCTTTCCGAATTATCGTTAACACAAGGAACCGAGGGAGAGAAGTCATTAGATAAATTAGAAATTGTTGTAACGCGTAATGGAAATGGACGGGGAATAAAACCGTTATCGACACTTGGGTAGGCGAACGAATAAATATATGTTTATGCGAGAACACAGGGAACTAGGCCGTGTAATATGTTAAATAAAAGGAAAACGAATATACCGACTACATTTATGTAGGACAAAGATATGCGAAAGGGACATTTAAACGTTGAATTTACGAGGTATAGTTTCATTCGATGTATCGATTCATTCTTTATTCTCTTGTTTCTTTCGCCCCCTCCCCTCGTCGATCATTGTTAGAGTATATATACAATTGTGTATAAGGTACAATTCGATCGCTTGGAGTAACGAGATATCGAAAACGTCTCGCTAGGGAATGTAATCGTAATTCCAACGATTCGACCGCGGATTTTATGCATTTATAGCGTGTACGTAAACATAAATAGAGTGCAATAAGATAAGAGAAGTTCTCCCGATTTAGAAATTGTATATCTCGTTTCTCGAATAAACGGAAATCCATGAAACGAAATAAGTTCTCGTGTGTCGAACTCCTGCTTCTGTTCGATCGATCTATAAAGGAATGTGGGAACTGCGTAAATAAATCCGTTGTCTGTTCAATAACCATTAGGAATCGGTTATCTCGGAGCCCAAGTTGATCGTCCGACGTGAGATCAGGGCCGGTCCTGGTGGAGGGCAAACATGTGCCCCACACGTGTACGGCCAAACGTCGCCCTCACGGTCTTCATGTTGATATGTTTGTTATAAAGTTTAAATGTTCTATAATTATTTGGCACGGATTACTTTTAAAGATAGATATTGTTAGTAAAATGCTTGAAAACCGAAAAGTAGCTAAAAAAAATAAACGATGAATGTTTCAATATGTTCATTAGTAATGCTGTTACAGAAGCTAAGAAACTTAACATACAACCAGAATTTGATATGGTTCGTCATATAAAAAGGTCACGTTAATTTTTCTACGAAAACAGCGGATTCGGTTGCAGACCCTAAACAGCACTTGTCTAGGGTCTGTTTGTTTATCTTATCCTATATGAAGTAGAAGTTTTTTTGTATTTTCCCAAAATTTAATTTTAACAAAATAAGGGGCAGTGAAAAGTGGGTCTGCACAGGTGCAGCCAAATACCCAGGACCGGCACTGCTTGAAATAACCCCCCCCCCCCCAAAAGAAAAGAAACATGTGTACTTACATGCTATGATCACTGCCTTGCCTGACGTGACTGCGTGCATCGCCAGTATATACAAAAACGTATTATTATAATATGTATACTGATTACAAACATCGAGCTGATTCATCCGTACGACCGAGCGAAGCCGTGGATAGATCAGTCGATCACGATTTGCGTTCCACGAAACAATAAAGAAATGAAAACCTGTGTAAAACCGATCGTTCCTGAGAAACAGGCATTTCGAGATATATGTACATGTATTCCTCGACAATACACTTCTGTGTAAAGGTAGCAATTAAAATTTCCATTCTCGCGATCGTCTGTATAACGTCGACAGGCGAGCGAACTTATTTTCTACGCGTTTCTATGAGATAGAGTAAACCAACCAGTGAACGACCGAATTGTTGAAGTTATGGACGTTTGAGATTAATACCTGAATGTATTTATTTATAACAATAAAATAGCTGTTGAAATAGCAAGTAAATTTATTTTTCTTGAAACTTATTGTAATTTTTGAAACATTATTTATAATGTGCAAAACGCGTGAAAGCCCAGTAAATGACTGCTACATATTTCTGAAATATTTTTAATAAGACTTGTAGTTGTTAATGTTTTGCTTAATACGGTGAACTAAAAATATGGCATATTAAAAGTGCAACTACACTCCATTTATAAAGATTTAAAAATTTTAAATTTATAATTTACATTTCTTTGCTTAATGGTCATTCACTGGTATTCAGTCAATTACTGGTTGATTTACCCTACGTTACTACGGGGATGATTTTCGTGGCGGACGGGAGTTTTATCGATAACTTGTGGGCCAGTCACGCGTGACGATGTCGATGCATACGATTTTAGATGATATTTAAGAATAGTAAATCGGCCAGTGGTCCCCCTAAGATGCGTTGTATCAAGGAGAATCGTGTGCGATTTCTAGATCGGAGATGAGGAACCGTTGATACCCTATTTTCCCGTACCGCGAGATTTTCCCCGTCTAATTATTAATTCATAGACCTGTTTATATTAACTCGGAATGCGCAGGTGTGGTTACATCACCGTGGATCGTGTTACCAACAGAAAAAAAAAATGTTCACGAACAATGATCGCGCGCGTACGATAAAAGAATAATTTTCGGCCTTAGAAATCCTCTTGTTCGCCGTGGTACAGCGCACCTTTCGAAATCCCTGTACGCAAATTTCGTTCCCACAGCGTAGTGTTTGTAACAAGGACACGAATAAGATTATTTGTTTGTACACACACATACACACACACACACACACGTCAGACATTACACACTTACATACACAAACACAATACGAATCACACACGGTTTCTCTTGTATAAATTATAAATGGATGGAATTACGTTCTCATAAACTGTGGATTTATGTACACGAAAATTGTATCGAGTTATTTAAGCATGTATCTCATCTACTCCTGTCTCGTGTTTCCGACGCGCGACCGTGATTTCAAACGGTGGAGACGAGACGTGTGAAAAAAAAGAGACGCCGCAATCCTCCTTGATCTCTTCGCGCCACGGGATTGCTCCAGGCGCGATCCAAGATGGAGGATCCGAGTGACCACAAAAACGGGACATTAACGGAGCGAGATGTACACATTATCGTTTTAACGTGATCCGAGCGAATTGATTGTTATTTTAAACTTATGAACGACGCGAATACTTTGAGATTATTACGAAGATATTAAAGATAAAAATTATTGCGTAAGTTCGTTCCTATTAAACTTAGAATGAGCGCGGATAGTTACGAGGGTGTGCAACTTGTTAGGCTCGATGCAGTTTTTTTATTCAAGATTTGTCAATTTTTTTTGCATGAATATTAATTTTAATGTAATTAAATTATTACTGATAATGATTAATAATTATTATCATGTGTTTACTGATCTATACTTTGGACGTTTCCTTGATGTTACAGATTAAAAATGGTAACAAGGAAATGTTCTTTCGTTTTCTTTCTGAAAGTACAGTTGTTTTTGTCCTATTATCTTAACTGTTTGAGTATTTATTTTCATAGTGATGCCTTTCTACGGTATGTTGTTTCGGTAAATCAAATTGAGTTCTGTAAAATTATCATTC